GTAGACCTCTTTCGGACTGGGGGGGGGGGGGGGGGGATTTATTTTGGTAGACCTCTTTCGGACTACAGACCAGTTCCACTAGCAGACCTCTTTCGGACGCTAGGAGAGTGGTGGGGGAAAGGGAAGAGGAAACGGGAAGAGAGGGAACCTTTTTATCCTTTCTGACAGGTCGATCCAGCGGGCCCCGGGGATAGGCAGGGAAGGGATCCGCGGGAGCTCGGAGTTAAGCTGCTCGATTCCGTCACGTCAGGAGACTCGAATTACGGTCGACGGGTCGACGCGTCGACCCTAATTCAATCGCGGCACTAGAGCAGTGTCGAGATTGGGGTCGATGCGTCGACCCGTAGACAATTTGGGCTCCAGAGCAGAGATTCGAATTAGGGTCGACGCATCGGAGAGTCGACGCGTAGACCCTAATTCGATCGCGGCTCTAGAGCAGAGGAGAGATTGGGGCCGATGCATCGACCCGTCGACAATTTGGGCTCCAGAGCAGAGACTCGAATTTGGGTCAACTCGCCGACCCCGGCCTGCTTGTTGGCCACCTCGGGTTCATTTGCACGTAATTTCAACATCGCAGTCGCATGCCCTTCCGGCCGGCTCGGGCGTGGAAGTTGAATCAGTTTCATTGGGCCGCGCGGCCGGCACTCTAGGTTACGTGCAGTGGGTGAGAAGGGCGCCTGCTCTATACCTTCCTGGCCTGGTTCATCGGTGGCGCATGGAGAAACCCATTCCGCTCGTTGCGGCAGTGAACTAGGGTCGACGCGTCTACCCTAAAAATTGTGGCTCCAGAGCAGTGGTGAATTTGTGTCGACCCGTCGACCGTTTTTCAGCCAGCGGCCCCAGGGCGTGTCCATTGGGGTCGATGCGTCTACTCCAAAAACAAGCAGTGGTCCAGTACGAAGGTGAATTAGGGGCGACGCGTCTACTCGAAAGCTCCAGAGCGATGCACCAGTGCCGGCCGCGCGGCTGGATGAACCTGATTCAACTTCCACGCCCGAGCCCGGCGGAAGAGCGCGGTTTTTGCCGAGGCGCTTAAAAATCATAGGCAGGGTTCAAGCCCCACGTGGCACATGGGCTCGAGGCGGCTCAGAAATCGCGTGCACATCAAGCAAGCTACTTGGCCAGAAAGAGTCGACCCGAATTGTAGTCACTGCTCTGGAGGCCTCGTTGGGTACGGGTCGACGCATCGACCCTAATTCACGCCTCTGCGCGAGAGCCGCCAACTTTCAGAGTAGACGCGTCTACTCTAATGCACTGCCCCTGTATGATCTGATCTTCGTGCACGGCAGCGCCGCTGGCAATCAAGAAACTACGTGCAGATCAGATTGAGGAGCGAGAAAAATTACGTGCACCCCGGACCAAGAGCCTTGCCGCACGACCGTCGCCGCAACAGCCGATAGGAAAATGGCGGGGTGAGCGCAGGAGAATACAGTTATCTCCGAGCTCACAGCAAATTTTTGACCTAGGCCTCCTTATCCCCGGTGACCCATGGGCCAGTCAGAAGGTATAAGTAGGTGCCATTGTCGGCCCCCTATCAACCTCCATCCCTCGTACTCCCTGTGTTCTGCCGCGCCAGCCGGCCCGAGGACACCAGTACGAAAAGAAGCCCCTTCCCCTTAGGTCCTGTGTTCTGCCGCGCCAGCTGGCCCGAGGACACCACCTCCGAAAAAGCCCCTCCCCCTCGGTACTCCCTGTGTTCTGCCGCGCCAGCTGGCCCGAGGACACCAGTACGAAAAAAGCCCCTCCCCCTCGGCACTGTGTTCTGCCGCGCACATATGTGCCGTTGAATGTAGTACTTACTACGGCCGCTTCCGCCCTTAAGTGCCCAGCGAGATGAAGTCCCCCTCTCTCGGGCACCTCTGTCACGCTCGTGTGTTTGATTTGTGCCAAGCGCGCTAGTTCTCAGCACCCCGCCTTCGTTGTGTTGGCAAGTCGAAACGCAGTCCGAACATCATTCTTACGCCCTTCATCGCTCAACCGTTTTCGTCGAGAAGGAGGATCCGCAGCTGCTGGGCCAGGCCGTTTGGTGTTCCCCCTTCATACAGCCCATGAAGGTGGTAGGTACTACGTTGGGGTCTGCCCGGCATCAGCTGCGACAGTCACTGCCGCTAGCTCACAATTGACCGTGCCGCTTCGTCATCGCCTGCAAATGCGCCAGTTCCGCAACATTTGCTCTTTTAGACTGAAGACACGCGTTGGGACACACGATGCGCTCGCGAGGCAGCGCAACTGACCGGCGGGGCAACCGGGGCAACACGCACACACTCCGCAAGAATCCCTCTGCTCGAGTGCATCTGCCCATGTGTCATTCGTGCCGACGAACGACCTGATGCCTCCCATCGGACAGTCCGAGTTCTCGCAAGCTACTCATCCATCGTCATCTGCCCAGCCACCTGCAAACAGGTGTCTTGTCTGGTCAGTTCGCGGGTCGGAACAGAATCGTTCGCAACGCGTACGATCCACTCCGTCCAGAGACGAGCGACGGCCTCTTCTCGCCCATCGGGTGTCAGATGGACGCCTGCTCCGGTTACGGAGGATCCGCTGGACGGACCATTGAGAGCTCATCCTCCTTCAACGTACTCGCATGTCAAAGGCCGAGGTCCCGTCGCAGGGCGCGTGCCTGTCCGTCCGCTCTTTTAAGTATCGTCGGTAAGCCCATCGACCACCTTCTTTCCCCCGTCGCGCCCCCTCTTGTTCCTCCTCACTCGATCCGTCTCGAAGCCTGGTGCTTTCGATCTCGCTCCTCCACTCTCCTTTGGCCAGGTCGCCACCTCCTCCTTGATTCGTTTAGCGGGACTGGCTCCCCTACTTTTGGCATCGTTGACCGCCCGTCTGTCTCGACCCCTGACCGTCAATTGTGCGACCACGACGACTTCACGAAGCGGCATCATCTCTGCAGGAACAGCTTCTTCCAAGACCGGCATCAATCAATCGATTCAATGATCGTACCGCGAAGCGACATGTCCACCTCCAGCATCGCCCTGACCCGCGCTGCTGCCGCCTGCTCGGGCGAAATCGCGGTTGAGAAGCCGGAAAGCCTGATCGGCGCCTCGAATGGCCTGCCGTCCGGTTCAGGATGCGCCAAGCTGCCATCTGGCTGGCTGCAGCACGGCTACGTCGAGTTCGACGACAGCGACACCTCCTCTGACGGCGACGAGGACTCCGACTCCGACTGTGGCAGTTTCAGCAGCCAGGACAGCGATGACACGATCGTCTCGGACGAAGTCACGACCGGTCTGTCGGACGAGTCAAGTCCGCGGCCGCCTGAAACGTCAGCATCCCATGTCATTCGGATCGCCTTCACCGGACCGCCGTCAGGGGTCAGTCTGCAGCGTCCCGGATGTACACCGCGCGGAGCAAGGGCATTGCCGACCGCGCGTCAGTCTCCCAAGGTGCGCTGGGACGAGCGCAGCCTGATCAAGCCTGTTCCTATCGCGCCGCTGCGCTCGCTCAACCTCGACGTGCCGCTGCGACGACACTCGATCTCCGCATCTCTGACGCTGCGGCATGCCGCCGCTCTGCGTGCCTTTCAGCTGAAGCAAGAGGAGCGAGAGCTCGCGAGGCATCGGGCGGCTATGGCGACGGCATCACGCTCGCGGCTCGACGAACAGTACGACATCGTTGGCATCACGTCGTACCCCAGACCCGCTCCGCCGTCCGTACTGTTTCGCACTTCGCGTCAAGGTCGTCAAAGGTCGGCCGGGGACACATGTAGGCCACAATCGAGACAGGATCTCGCCGTCGAAATCGCAGCCCTGGACGGCCCTGGTGGCAGCGCAGGCCATGTACGCTCGAGATCTCACGAGGCGGACAGCGATCATGGTGTTGCGATGCCCCTGCCAGCGCTCTGTGAGGACGAGCGCCATCGCGCGGGTTTGCACCTCCTGCGCACGCTTGGCCAACCGGATCAGTCACAGCTACGGACGAAGGTGGCGCCTCCTGCCAACTCGACGCGCAAGGTCAGCCGCCATAGGAGGCCGCCGTCGCTCGACGAGATCACACTCCGTATCGGTGGCGGGCACATCAACGCGACCGGTGATGCTGGTGTCACGGGCGGGCGCGGCAGGAGGAGTGGCTGCCTAGGTCAGCGTCCTCGGTCAGCCAGCTGTCCATCACCCGTCATCGGAGACCCGACATTGCGCGAAGTTGTCGAGGTCTTTGTGACGCCGCCGACGCCACGGCCAGATGACGTCGACCATCGTGTCCACGGCGTCGTGCTGCTGCGTTCGCCCGGTTCCGCTCCGCTGCAGACTAGGCAGAGCTTCCTGGCAGCGCCGGCCTTCGACGTTGCTCCTGGTCGAACCAAGGCCTTGGAGGAGAGCCAGCGGATGATTGACCAGCTTTCGCTGTTGGTCGCGCAGCAACAGGGCTTTCTCCTGCAGAGATCAGGCGTCAGCGCTCAGACTGGCCAGGCCACTGCCCCGGCCGAAGCGGATTGTGAGCTACCGCGTCAGGATCCCAACGGCTCGAACGTAGGAAACGATCGCGACGCTTCGCTTCTCACCCTGCCTAACGACTGCATGGCACAACGGACCTGCAACCGTCCAGCCAATGCAGACGAGCAGCGGACCGGCTGTGCCGTCCCAAAGTACGTGGCGCCTGGCCGGCGCGGCTACGGCCAGGCTGGCAAAGGCTTTCCATCCACCTCGATGCGGCGTGCAGCGCCGCAGAGGCAGGTTAGCTTGAATCAGATGTTGGGTTCTGTCTCGGCCCGGGCTTCCCTGGGTGCCATGATGGGCTACGGAGTGAACGCCGACAAGCTGAGGGGCTCTCACACACCGACGCAGCACGCTCACACCGAGTCGGGCGCCATGGAGTGCCGGCGCGCCACCGTCCGCCAATCGATGCTAGAAAGGCTGGAGCTGCGCCGTAGGAGCAGCAGCGTCGTGTCCCATGCCGCTCGTTGAGATTGCGCTGCTGGCACTCTTGCCGCATAGTCGAATGTGCGTTCGTTCGGTCAATGTGCAGCGTCGAATGAGATACAGCATGGTGCAAGACTGTAGTGTGAAGCACCTGGGATGACGGACAGTGGAGATGGGGTAGGCCGAGGCGAGCGGCGCATCACGTGACTTGCGAAGGAAATTTGCAGTTCTTCGGCCGAGCGTTCGGATTCGGAGCCGCACTGAGATTTTGCGGCCTGCAGGCCTTTCTCTGGCGCCCGCCGATCGCTTGTTCGGAGCAGGCAGGCGAGCCGGCAGGTAGGCGGGGCAGCCCACTGTTGGCCGCCGGGCGGGGCAGCAGGCCCAGCGCCCCCGCTCGACGGCGCTGCGTGGCCCTGGCCCTTGGCGCCATCCTCACCACCTCGACCCGACCGTCACGCCCACTCACCTCCCCTCGCCCATACCTCAACACACCCAACCTTTCAATATGGATTCCGCAAAGGTCCCCGTCAAGCTCGCCCGCGTAAGCATCCCGAAGCCGACACCGTTCCAGCCTCGCCGATCGACTCGCGGAGCAGGGCTAGCCAGTGAGGTGGAAAGGCGGACAGGAAACATGCTGGCTGGAATGCTCGTACGCGGTTGCCTCGTATGACTTCGACGAAGGAGAGGATCTCGGCACGCAGCGACCCACGACTGCTGCATTCTTGAGGCAATCACAGCGGCCCCATCTCATACCGACCTCTTCGACAACGACCTCGACTCTCGACTTCCCGAGCTCCTGCTACCGCCTCGATCGAAGGCTATCCCTTTCGCCCTAGCCTGTCCATGGGCTCGGTATCGTCTTGCGCTTGTGCCCAAGAGATGCGTGGACCTCTGGCGGCGTGGGGAAGTCAAGAGCAGCTGTTCAGTGGCTACGCATGCCACGAACATCCACCGTCACGCCCCGACAACGACGGCCCACCAACGTTCGATTTGCGATCTTTTCGACGTTCGCTGGGTCGTACTCTACAGCGGCTCTCACACTCGATCAGGTGGCTATGTAGATCTTCGATTTGCCGGTTATACGACGCGGTCCAGGAAGGGAACGGCTGGAGCTGAGGACGGAATGGTCGCCTCACTCCGACTAGAGGGTCTCACCGGGGACGGCTTGTGGCTTCGGCGTCATCGGAACCGTCGGGCTAGCCTGCTCCGCGGCATCAACCACGCTGTTGCCTTGCCCGCCACTAGACGCTGACCGTCTTCCTGTCTTCCGCCACTACATGACTCTTACGATCCGCAGGTTACCAAGGTGCTCGGCCGCACTGGCTCGCGTGGTGGTGTCATCCAGGTCCGCGTCGAGTTCATGGACGACACTCGCCGCAGCATCATCCGCAACGTCAAGGGCCCCTGCAAGGAGGACGACATCCTCGCTCTGCTCGAGTCCGAGCGTGAGGCCCGGTGAGTCTTCGGCACATATCACTGTGGCGCCGCCGCGCCCGACGCAAACCTGCCTTAGCAGGCTCGGCAAGTCCCCATGGGAGCTGCGAGCTGACCAGTCGCTCGCTTCCACGTCCTCCTTTTCTCTTTTGTCCATCACAGTCGTCTTCGATAAGCGCATCGCAGCCGGAGGTCGACGTTGGCTTCTCCATCGGAACCTCTCCCGCTGTTTCCCGCCCCCTTTCCGTCAAAATTGTCGAACCGGCAGCCCAATATCATGGTCTCTCTGCATGCACACTCACCGGCCAAAAATACGCACATTCTCGGCTATGGCGTCACTCGCTCTCTCGCCCTCGATCTGATCAGAGTGGCGTCAACTGCCGACGGAGGTCTTGCCGCGGCAGGCCACCGGCACCTGGGCGTGGATTGGATGATGACAGCGTCTTCAGCCGCCCCCTTGTACAATCAGCTCCGAACTCGCACCCCCGCAGTTCACACACGCAACCTTTCCAAAACCAGCTATGGCTAGCTTTGTGTTTGACACTGATCGTCCTATGCCAGTCTTCAGCGAAGATCGGGATGGACACCAAGGGGCGAAAGCTGCGGGACGGTACAGGGTTGGTGCTAAGCGGACCAGGGGAATCACCGCTCTGCTTGCTTCCTCGTAGACTTTCCGCTCTGCGTCTTGCGTGTGCCTACGCTTTTGGCTCGCCGCCCTGCCGGAGTGACATGGCCTGGATGGCAGCAGCGATGGCATCGACGACGAGGCGGTGGTCCTCTTCCTGAGACAGGCCCGAGACGGCAATCGCGCCAATGGCACCGGTGGTATTTCCCCGGATGTGGATGGGGAAGGCGCCGCCATGAGCAGCGTATTCCGGGCCGAGGTAGTCGAGGTCGCGGCCCTTGGCGAGCAGGGTGCGACCGACGAGGAAGCTGCTCTTGCCAAAGCGTCGGACGGTGTTGACCTTTCGCTGGATCCAGCCCCAGTTGTCTGGGCCAATGGACGGAGCGTGGCCCACGGCGGCAGAGAAGAGCGTGTGGCCGCTAAACAGCTGGATGCTGATGACGATGCCCTCGACGCCCGAGGCGCATCCCGTCTCGTGTGCTTGCAGGAAGGCGGAGCGGATGGCGCTACCGATACCGAAGGCTGCGTCAAAGTCGAAAGTCGGCAAGCGCAGCCTGGCCTCTTGGTCCGTCAGCTCCGCAATCTGGGCGGCATAGTCGGTCATGTCGGCTAGTCCGCTGGGTGGTGAGTTCCAGGCGGCCGTGTTAGATTGATGCCGGGGAGCGTGGTGATGGTGTGGACGGGCCAAGTCAGGCGTGCTGTCCGAACGGGCCTCGTTCGAGTTCCTTCCGATTCGACCCGATCTCAGGACCGACCTGATGCTTTCATGGCTCTGACAGATCGGGAATCCCCAACCCCAGATTCCCCCCAACCACTCCAGGCCACTTTGACGCGCCCATTTCTCGACCTTGGGGCTAACGATGGCCCCTACTGTGGCGTTTGCCCCTTCTGCATTTCAAAGGGCTTGCGCCGGACGAGACATCATCAAGTCGAACGGCCTGGTCTGTGCCCTTGCGGGAGAGTGCGCCGATTGGTAGGAGCGTTGAAGCTCAGCCGGCAACCAGTGCTACCGACCAAGGAGACAACGACGACAAGCGAAAGGGGGAGACGCACTTCAACAGCCTGCTCGCTGGCAAGAAAAGGTTGTATTGCAGGCATGCGGAGTGTGGGGATGAGTCAGGCCGAGACGACTAAGCGATGGCGCTCATGACGAGCTGGGCAGCGATGTCGGACTCGGCGCGGACCGAAAGCTCCATTGTGACGCCCTGGCCGGCCTGGAAGGTCATGCGGCAGCGGGCCAGCGTCTTTGCCGGCTTGTCTGGGAGGGCCACCGATCCGGAGAGGTTGAGGGTATGGACCGACGACGATGACGGCACCTCTGTGCCACCCAACGGCTGCAAGCCCAGCAGTTCGACGAGCGTGTCGCAGGCGCTCTTGAGGCCGTCGAGGGCGGTGAGGGCAAAGGTCTCGGTGGCCGTCGAGGCATCGGCCAACTCCTCCCATTCGTGCGCAAAGTTTGCGTACGTCGGCGTGATGTAATCCGCCACGCCCAGCTCCAGCTCCTCGGTCTGGTACTCGTCGTCGTAGCCCTCCTCTTCCGGCTCGCCGCTGGTCGGGTCCACTTCCTTGGACACAAAACGCAGCGCATTCTGCAGCGTTGCCTGCGGGAAGTCCGTAGCGCCGCCGTCCCTCGTGAAGGAGACGTACACGACGCCGCTCGGCTCTTGCGCGGAGAGGGCGGGCACCGTAACGATAAAGTCCTCGCTGAGACCGGCCTCGGCCGCACCGCTCACGACGACGGCGACGTTCTCGAGGACAATCTCGGGCAGCGTGTTGGTCACGTTGTACTGCGCATTGTGCGAGGAGGGAAAGATGGGATAAGCGTGGAGTCAGCGATCAACGAGATTGTGAAAGCGTAGGTCGACAGGGTGCTCCGTCCTCGACTCACCTGGATCACGATGTGTTCGGCGAAAACGTGCTTGACGGCGCTGACGACGTACTCGGTCTCGGACTCGGTGAGCTCGACCGCACGGCTCGAACTGCGCAGGACCGGCCCGTAATCGGCGAACTGCGGAACCGCGGCGAGCTGCTTGGCGTAGATCGACTGCGCATCGGCAGAACCAGCCGCGCCCGCACCGCCGAGCGACGACATCGTCGACGAAGGTCCCGCTGCTGCGTTGTTCGAGCCGCCCATGCCGGCGTGCACGCTCTTGGACCCATCGGCGGCCATGGCGACGCTGGCGGTGGCCTCGCTCTTGGCGCGCAGCGCCTCCTGCCGCGCCTCTTCGCGCGTGACCCTCGGCACCTTGGAGGCGTCAAACACGCTGGTCGATGACGACGGGTCCTGAACGTAGCCGGTGAGCGCCGCCTCGAGCGCGGAGAGCTTGAAGCCAGAGTCCTCTTGGACAATCTTGTCGGCCAGGCGGCTCTGCTGAAGGATGCGGAGGTAGAGTGCGGCGCGGTCGCGCACCTCGTCGTCGACGTCGTCCAAGCAGCGCTCGAGGAGGACCTTGATGCGGCCGTTGAGCGCCTTGTCGCCGAGTCCGAACTTGGCCAGGCTGCTGACGGCGGCGGCGCGGACAATGGCATTCTCGAGGATGACGCGGTTGTAGATGTAGCGGATGTACTTGTGGGGCTGCGGCATCTTCGGGCCCTCGGCACCGAGCAGGTGCAGGATCCGGACGCTGAGCTTGGTGAACTCGCAATCCTCGATGAACTCGCAGAGGTGGGCCAGGGCGGTCTCCTTGCAGTCGCCGATGAACTTGACCATGTCAAAGATGGCCTCGACGACGGCACGCTTGAACTCGTATCCGCCCTCGTCGCGGAGGACGCCGGAGAGGAAGCCGAGCATGACGGTCTGCTTTGACGGGAACTTGAGGCAGAGGCTGCGGATGGCGTCGACCACAATCACCTTGAACTCGTCGCTGATCTCGGACATGAAGCCGCTGATCTGCTTCATCAGGCGATCGACCGAGGCCTCGTTGCCCGTCTTGAGCAGGGTGGTGATGGCGTAGGTGGCGATGCTGCGGTTCGGGTCCGTGATTAGGTTCTCCATGTCGACGTTGCACGTCTGCACGGCCATCGGTTGGGTCTGGGCCAGCTTCGCCAAGGTCCGGATGGCGGCAAACTTGAGCGTCGACTTGGGCGACGAGAGGAAGAGCTGGAGCACCGCGATGGGCCGGTAGAGCTCCTGAGTCGATACGTGGCGCATTTCGCAGATGACTCGGGCGGCCTCGTAGTTGACCATGTCGCTCTTGTGGCGGAGGTATCCCTCGAGCAGCTCCATCATGGGCTGGCGCAGGTTGGGGTCCTCCTCGGCCACGCGGGCTGCGTATCGGACGAGCATGCAGAGCGCGTAGGGGCTGCGCAGCACGCTGCCCTGGCCGCTCGAGGCGCCTCCCTTGCCACCGCCGAGTTGCTGAACCAGCTTGGTGATGGCCATGCGGTCGCCCTGACGGATCAAGTACAGCAGGCCGAGGGCGTGGTACTGGGTGATGTAGCTGCTGCTCGCGATGGCCTGATAGCCGCTCGGCGCCGACGACTGCTGCTGCGAGCCACCATATCCGGCGAAGCCGAGGTAGCTGCCGGCGCCGCCAAAGCCGCTGGCGAAGCCGCCACCGCCCGAAGACGATTTGGAGCTGATGGCCTCGTTGGCCTCGTTGCCCCATCGGCGAACCACGTCGCGGGCCGCAATCTGTAGCTGATATGCCGACACGAGCGCGGCGGAGCTGATCGAGGTGTTTTTGTCAACGATGGCCGACTTGAAGAAGCGCTCGAGGCCCTGGACCATCGAGGGCTGTCGATGTATCGAGGGGCAAGATGACGACGATGCAAGGAGATGCGTCAGCAAATGGTTAGTGATGGCGCGCAGATCAGGACGTGCGGCCCACTCACATCCACAACCCTGCTGAGGCCTCGGATGGCGTTAGGACGGTAGATGACCTCGACATTGGGCTGCATGTCCTTCATGATGGAGGCGGTGACCATGATGATGTCGTCGGCAAAAGGGCTGAGCTCCTTGATGGCGAGGTAGACCATTTGTCGGAGGGCAGGGTCCTTGTGTTGGAAGAGCTTGGTGGCGCCGAAGAAGAGGGTGGTGGCCTCCTGTCGGCTGAAAGTTTCGCCCATGTAGAGCAGGTAGACGACCTTGGTGAGGAGGATGCGGCATTTGCGCGGGCTAATGGGAGTCTCGTTGAAGACGCGCGCCTCCTGGATGACCGAGGTCTTGTCCTGGTAGAAGGTGGGCGCGCCGACCTCTTCGTCCTTCTTGAACGACATGATGGAAGGTGCTGAGAGAGCGGAACGGGGGCCTGAAGGAGGGTGTGACGATCCGGCGAGATGTCCTGGAGGATAGAGCGAGGATGGTCGAGAGGAGAAGCCTGAGCAAGCCTCGCTGGGACTTTGCGGGCTCGACCAATCGTCGCGCCAGCGAGCAGATCGTCTCTGTTGAACAGTGAGCGAGGCGGTGGCAGCAGCTACGAAAGCTGACGGTGAATGGCGATGACCAGGGTCGAGACAGGAGGGCGGCGGAAGAAGGCGAGCAGGTCGGGTGTCGGTTGAGAGAGGAAGGCTGTTGGCGCGGGCGTTTGAACGGACGGCAGCAGCGAGCAACAGCAGCCAACCTGACAGCGAGCCACCGACGCCGTCGACCCCGCCGCTCGCTCCTTCCACGCCCCTCTGCCTCGGCACCGCCAGCACAAGCCCGCTGGCAACGAGAGACGAAATGTGGCCGGTGCGCACCACTTCCCCGATCCCGTCCATTTTTTGGAATGGGATCTCGAGATGTGTGCCCGATTTCTCGGAACTGTATCGCGCGAATGAAGCCTCGGTATGACGCCATCCCGGGCACCGCTGGCGGCAGGATGGCGACAGGCGCCCAAGCTCATCCCGCTTGCTCGACAACACCATCAACGAACGAGACAGGGAGCTGATCGTCGTCTAGTTAGCTGAGAGACAACTGCGGTTGCCTTGCAGTGCATGGCAAGTTGGCGCCACGGCGCAGGGCTGCAAACCGCGCGAGCCTCGTCCACAGGGGAGCGAGCGTGCTTCGCGCGTGCACATCGAAGACGGCCACCAGTCTGAAAGGTCTCTTCGAACGGCCAAAGCTGTCACCATCTGTCGCCAGCTCAGCTCGAGAACCGCACCGCGAAGCTGCCATCGAAAGTAGTCGGCCCAGGCGATCCTCTTTGATCTGCTCCTTGTGACGGAGGCAGAGAGGGTGAAGAAAGGCCCGATCGCGAGTCCACATGCCTCGACGGCTGAGCAGGACGATGGCCGCCATAGCAGGCCGCCAGCCTGTGCCGCGTCCAGCGAGGACGATAGCACCATCTCTCCTTGGCTCGTCGCTGCAACGTCGCCGCTTCCATCTCTGCGACCCGTACCTTTGTCGTTCAGCTTGATCGTCGTGCCAGGACCGGCCGCCGAGACTCCTACAGGTAGCTCAGCGTCAGGCAGTCAGGATGGACAAGAGCTGGCTCGGTGCTGATCTGTGGAGCTCGCCGTCGCCGCTTGGGCTTGAGAGGGAGATAGGGAAGCAAGGGGGAGGCGTCGGACTGGTTCGTTTCCGCGGGCAAGGTCCCCTGCCTGCCTTCTAGAGTCGACGCATCGGCCGACGCGCGGGTTGAATCAGCTGCCGGGGCGCTGCCCGGCCAGGCTGCAGCTGAGAAAGTGGGGGCAAAAATCCGAGGACAAAAAGAACCCTCTGTGCCACGGGCCGAAGCGGCTGCGCCCTCACTATCACGGAATCCACCGTGCCTGTTCCCCGCGCTGCCCAGCCCAGGCCAGAAGGGGGGGAGGAGGAGGAGGGAAAGGCCCGGCGACATCAAGCAAGGTCGACTTCCACCATCATCCTCCTGCCTCCGCGCACATCATCAACCTCAGCACCGCACGACCATCGTCCGGGATCCGACAACGAGCACCCACACATCCGCCCCGCCATACGTACCGACTTCACCCTAGCCCAGCCTCTCCCTCTGAAGCCTCGCCAGCTTCATATTATCCGAGAGCACAGCCCCTTGTCAACGTCCTGCATCGGCGTCCGAGGACGACGACCACGGATACGATCGACGAGCGGCGACTGCGGACTCGCGGCGCTCGGAATCTAGTGCTGCCCGCGGAAGTATCCGGCCGTGCACCTCAGAAGCCGCCGTTGCCCGCACCATCACAGCCAGCACACCCGCCGACGACAGGCCTCTACCCGTCCACACCTGACCGCTGCCAAGGGGCTTGATCCCTGTCTTCGACGTTCCGTGCTGGCCGAAGAAGGACGGGATATTGCGGTTGCAGGCTCTCCAGTTCGCTGCTGCGCGATCGCGGCGTCATCCCGGCAACGATGCCCTACGAGGAGGATACCAACTCTTTCCTCTTCGGCCTCAACCAGTTCACATCACCACCCGCAGACCAGCAGCGTGAAAGCGCCGGACACGGCGGTGCCACCGACAGCATGCTCGCCGGTCTCGACGCCTTTGCTTCCGATGATCTCGGCGGCCCCGCCCGAGGCGAAGACGGAAGCCAGGCGCCTAACTTTGCCGATCAGCTGGCGCTCTGGACCAACGCCAACTTCAGCTTCGATGGACCTACCGGCCATGCCCTCATCGGCGACGAGGAAAAGGAAAAGGAGGAGGCCGAAAGCAACCGGCGTCGTGAGGAGGAGAACCGACGCAACGAGGCCGACGACCGAGAGAGGATGGCACGCAACGCCGCAGCCAGTTCTCGCGGCGGAAACGCGGCGCGGGGCAAGGCCAGGGAGTTGGCGCCGCATCCCAGCGACGCTCAACATCACGATCCGACGAGCCGTCCGCAGAACCTGGGACATGCCGGTCCGATGATGCAGCAGCAGCAGCAGCAGCAGCAACAGCAACAGCAACAGCAGCAGCAGCAGCTGCGCAACTTTTTCGGCGCCCAGGCGCAGGCCAAGTCGCCTCCGGCTGCTGGAGAAAGCTTCAGCAGCGGCGACCACAGCCAAGCCTCGAGGAGCCAACAGATTCCCAACAGCCACTTTAGCGCCGGACACCAGCAGCAGCTTCCTCATGGCAGCCAGCCCAACCCCGCCGCCTCCACCGCCGCTGCTGCTGCCGGTTTCGCCCCCTTCTTTCCCGGTTTCGCTGGCTTCAATCAGTTCGGCGGCATGGCGCCATTGCAGCAGACCACTGGTGCCAACCCGATGGGCGGCCTGCCACAGCTCGATATGACGTCTGCGCTGGCGCTGCAACATCTGCTGGCTAGCAACCCGCTGGCGCTAGCTAGTCTGGGCCAGCTTGCCGGATTCTCGAACCCTCAGCTACAAGCACATCTCGCATCGCTGGCCGGCACCCCAAGCATGGGCGGCGGGCTTGCTGCGTTCGGTCAGCCACCAGCCATGCATCCGTCGGCGCCTTCGCAAGTCTCCAACGCGTGGGATCCCAACCAGCAGCAGCAGCAACAGCAGCAGCAACAGTCGCACCAGGCACTCCGGCAAGGTAGTGTCCCGAGCGCTTCGGGCAGCGTGGCAGGATGGCCGCTGACACCGCAGCAGCAGCAAGCCAGAAACCTGCCTTCGACATCGTCCACGGCCGGTCCGGCCGCTGTCGCTCCTGGTCCGAGCCCCTCATCTTCAGACAGCATCTTTGGCAGCGGCGCGCCGGCCGCCTCGGATAGTCATGCTGCCTCGATCTCCTCGGCTGCCATCTCACGCAATGCCTCGAGCTCCCATCTCGCCGGTCTGGCGGGCAGCAGCAGCGGCGGCAACACCAACGGCTCCGGCGACGCCGCTCAATCTACCGATCCCGTGCCCTCGAAAAAGAAGCGTGTCAGCATGTCGAACGGGAAAAAGCCGGCCGCTGCCTCCGACGACAACTCAGACGACGGGTCCAACTCTGGTCTCAAGCACGACGACGAGAGGAAGTATGACATCCCGCCGCTGAAGTTGATCGACACGGGCAACCCGGAGGCCGATGCCGAGGCCAACCGTCTGGCAATCGAAGAAGACAAGCGAAGAAGGAACACTGCCGCTAGCGGTGAGTACTGCAAGCACGCAGCCTGGCGGCAGCTCTGACTTGTCGTCTGCGACTCCCGGTGATTGACCTTGCCCTCCGTACCCGTCCTCCGCTCCCGTCCCGTGCTTGTCGCAGCGCGCTTCCGCATCAAGAAGAAGCAGCGGGAGGCCGCGCTCGAGCACACCGCAAAGGAGCTGCAGCAGCGCGTTGCCGACCTCGAGAGCGAAAACGCACGGCTGCGCACCGAAAACGGATGGCTCAAGAGCCTGATCACGGTGCAGCCCGGTCAGCAACCCGCTGGTCTCGACAGCGGCGGAGTCGCTTCCGCCGCGACTGGCGCCTCGCTGCCCTTCGGCCCGGTCGCGGGTCCGAGTCGCACCAGCGGTGGCAACCCCCCACTGCAACCAGCGACGCACACGCAGCCTGACCCGTCGTCGGACGTCGCCAGCGCAACCGCCGGCAACAGCCTCTCCACGTCGAGCCGGAGCGTGCAGGAGCAGGCAGAGAGGAATAGCGGCCTCGTCCCCCGCGGCGTCGGCACGGGCGCCGATCAGGCCAAGGAGGGCGGTGGTGCGGGCAAGCCCAACTCGGCTCCAAGTGGTGCTGCCTTGAAGAGAGATCGCGAAGAGTGAACGGGCTCGCCTGGGCGCGCGGCACCCGCTACGATATGCCCATAATTACTGTCCGTCTCTAGTCGTCATCAGCCTTGCTCTTTGTAGCGTACTCCCGTCGACCTGGTTCACGTCAGCCCCTCCTCGGAGCTGGTCGCTGTCTCGGCCTGCGCTTCATTACATTGAATTGCAGTATGAGTGATACCTCTCCAGCTAAGGAAGGGCCGGACAGCGCTGAGGTGTGCACAGAAGTTCAATGAGGTCCAAGCTGCAAATACCCAAGACACCATTTCAGCAGGCACCGCAGGGGACTGTAGCAACGTGTTGAGCCCGAGCAGTGCGGTCCCGACCTGGAGAGGTACCTCTATCTATCTAGGCGCTCTGCCGGCTAGACCGTCGACGGTCTAGCCGGCGAACGCCTCATTAGTCGAGGGGCTTTGCTGGCGAGAGCTAGACACCGGGCTGGGGCGGTCAGGGAAGGCGGGCCGTGCGCCCCGGGGGGCCTGGAGTGCCTGACCCGCCTGGCCTGGCCTGGACTGGCCTGACCTCTGATTATTCTGCGTTCGCGAGCGAGCGTGCGTGCGAGGCGGGCGTGCGTGCGAGGAGGGCGGGCGGGCGGTCAAGCCACGCAGGTGAGCAAGGCCCTCTGCTCTGGGCGAGCCGGATCCTGTCCAAGCGCAGCGCTGCACACACTTCTCCCTCCCCCAACCATCTCGCCACCAGCCCCACAACTCTGGCCTTTCACAACAATGCAGCTCATCATCAACGAAGTCGTCGCCTTCTTTGTCGTCGCCATGTTCGCCTCCTTCGGTATGTTCTGGCGCTGCTCTCCTGCACCCTCTACCGCCCCGTTGCGTCGCCACACGGATGTATGCTGACTTTGACCTGCCCTTTCTCGTTGCATTCCTCACTCTCCTTATCATGTTTTCTGACATCCACATACGCAGCCTTTGGCATCTTCATGGGTATTGGCGTCTCCGCCTCGTGCGAGAAGGCCTTTATGGACAAAATTCGCCATCAGCAGCAGGTGCTCTCTGGACCCTCCAACCCTGTGCCTGACAAGCCCGCCAGCGAGCACGGTCGTCAGGATGACCGCATCGACAAGATTTTGGCCCGCTCCGACGCCCTCGAGGCCGCCGTGCGCAGCCTCCTCGCCAACTCGGCTCGCACCAGCGATGCCGGCGAGTCGCGCTGAATCATGGTGAGTCTTGCGCAATTCCTTCACAACCAAGCTTGGTTTCTCGACGCTGAGACTGGCCCTATTTCTCTCCCTGGATTCACGTGTGACAGATCTCTTTCAAGCGCCACAACCAGAGAAGGCGAAACAAAATCTCGAAATTAGGGAGAGACAGATAGGACCGGCCGTATCGAGGAGGGCTGAAGCGGAGCGGGAACGGGGATCGATGCCGCCGAGGACATGGGCCCAGTCAAAAGGCGGCCAACATACGAGGCCGGCCAACGAGGGCCACTGTGTCTCAAGCACTCTTCTCTCAGCAATGAAAGTCTTCTGGCAGCCTCGGTCAGGAACGACACGCAGGGCCCGCTTGCCTCAATTGACGACGGTAGCAGCGGCCTGAAGCTGAGGCGTGCTCGAGGGGCTGCTGACGGTCGAGCTCGATGGCGAGCCCGTGTTGCGCACGACACCCGGGTGGCGGATGCCAAGGGCACCAGCGACAAGGCGCTGAGACGGCAATGAGCGACAGAGACGAGCTGTGCTGTCAGCGGCAGGTCCTGACGAAGCAGCTTGTTCGCTCTGCATCTACCGCCAGCCTGGCCGGCTGCACCGCCGCTCAGATGCTCACCTTGCCAGCATCGCCGATTCTGCCGCTGCCCGCGCCGTTGGCAGGCGCCGATCCAGCCGACTCCGAGAGGACCGAGCCGTCGTTCTCCTTGCCTGCAGCAGTGCCGTTGATGTCGAGCTTGCTCAGATCGACGTCGACATCGCTGCCCTTTTCGGCGCTGTCACTGGCGCTGCCGTTGAAGCCGGCACTGCTGCTTCCCGCCTTTGGGCTGGTGCGGGCAGCGACAAGAGGGTTGGCGGGAAGACCTGCGATGCCGTTGAGACTCTCGACGCCGGCGAGGACGCGGTTGGCAGGCGAGGGTCCACCGTTGGCCGCGTCAAAGAGAGCCGCCGCCACGGGCTTGGCAGGCAGGTTGGGGTTCGAGCCGCTCTGCTGTCGGCGGTGGCCAAAAGAGCGGCCAAATGAGGGTGTGTGGGCGTGGCCGCGGAGCCCCTTGGACGGGCTCTCGGGAAGAGGGTGGACGAGCTCGGCGGCCGTCTTTGAAGGGCTTCCGAATCCGCTGGCGTTGGATCGGGAACGCTGCCTTGCGTTGACGCTAGCAATGACAGCGCTCGCGTCGTCCTTGTCGTAAGGGCGGACCTTTGCGGCGATGCCGTTCTTGTTGATAAGGGAGAGGGGGGGGGACATGAGGGTGCGGAGGTAGGCCTTTTTGGCGACGATGGGGTCGTTGAAGATGATGAGGGCGGTCGTGTCATCGACCCACTTGATCTTGAAGCCGCCATTGTCGTCCTCCCAGGCGGAGAAGACCTGCTGGATGTCCTTGGTCTTGAGCTCCGGCGGGAATCCAGACAGCTCGAGGATGCGGGTGACGAGAGGCGAGAGGAGCGGGAGGGAGGTGGTGGCGGACATGCTGGTGTTTGAGAGGGGTGCGGAATGTCGTGATACAGATGCTTTGCTGAAGAGTGCTACAAGGGCTATCGAGAAGAGGTGCGAGAAGCCGTGGTCGAAAGAAGGCGATAGAGGCGGCCGAAAATGCTTAAAAGAACGGGCAGAGTTGGAGTCGACAGTACACGGCTGAGCGACAGGACAGGAGAAGAAAGAGAGTAGGGGACCAAAGGGCGACGGGCAATCGGTCGGATGAAGGTAGTTGCGGCGCTGCGATGAAGGTTTCCTCGTCCGGGATGAGCTGGAAGTCGAGGCGCGGAATGCTTGGTCGGCGATTGACTATGCGGAGGAGGTCTGGGCGACGGCAGTGGTGGGTGTATATGGCTGGCGATAGGACAGGGGGGAGGGATGATTGGGGTCAAGGGGAGATCGGGTTTTGGGGGGGAAAAGGGTGATCCTGTGGACAAGAGGAATGATGTCTTCGGATGGGGACGGTGGAATGCGGCTGGGAAGGAGGCGATATGGTGGAGCAGTGGAAAGAGAGATGGCGATGAGCGCGAGCGCGACAACCACCAAATGGCGCCAGAGCGTAGGGCGGAGGTGGGGGCCGAGCGGAGGCGCCTCTGCTCTCGACCCTGCCTGCCTGCCTGCCTGCCTGCCTGCCTGCCTGCCTGCCTGCCTGCCTGTCCCTCGCCTGCCACGACACTCGGACGCCGTGCCTTTTTGGGCGTGCGGTGGGCGCAAGAGAGAGTAGTCAGTCGAACGAGAGAGCGAGAGCCGATAGGGCAGCTGCGCGCCCCGCCCAGCCACCTCCCCACCTCGACCCTGCACACGGCTGAGGGCTACCGGTATCTCTGACCGTGCGCCCGCGCTCGTCCTCACCTGCGCAACATGCAACCGGGACCCTTCCTCACGTCCGCCACCGGGCCCTCTGCCTAGCCACCTAAGATGCTCCTTGCCATCCTTCTTTCACCCCGTCCTGCTATACTCGACTCAAAGCACCGGCTTGACACAAGGTGGCGGCCCGACTCGTCCACTCGCCCTTGCTTGGATCTGATCTCTTTCTCACCGCCGTGTCTCCCCTCTGGCGTGCTCTGGCGCAACCCCGGCTGCCGTATATTTTCGCGACCCCTTGCATTGTTCGCCTGCAGAGGGTAGCGGGCGACCGCCGTCCCGGAGAGCCTTCTGGCCTCGACTTGTCGCCTCGCCGCTCCGTTGGACTACTCTGCCTGTCCACGACTACCTAAGGCCCATCAACGCAGAGGCAGCTCAGCACATCTCTAGCTGGCAAACGACAAGCAAACAAGCTAGACTCTCCGGGCGGGACTGAGACCGGCGCCGTACCACCGCGACACCGCCACCGCGCGTGCGAGGCGCGCGCGCAGGCTAGCGCCCAGTGCAACCGCTTCGACGCTTGCTTCTTCGCAAACAACCGCTCATGGTGCCGTAAGTTAGCAGGGATCACGGCTGATTGTCCAAACTTCCTGTCCTCCAGCGCAGCATGTTGATTCATGGATCCTCGCTCCTCCGGCAGCCCCTGGTATCCATTTTGAATCGCCCGCCCACCGAACTCGGATCCGACCACAGGCAGCCGCGACTTCCACGTCAGGAGGTTCGAGGGTGCAGACCGGGAAGAAGCGTCAGCCACGCCATCGCTCGACAGACGCGGCAAGCTGCCCAGCGACGACGAGCTGTACCAAAGCACCGACTCGGCGCAGCACGCATCACGACGATCAAACCGATGTCCGGAGGTAGCCCACCATCGGATGCGTCTCAGAGGCGGCAGCGTCGACAGGACGAGTCTGCGCCCGCATCGCAATCTGCGTCGAAGCCTACTTTTGGCAACTTTCGCCGATACTACCACATCCGCAACCCAGGGCACAACTCTGAAGCGGGACAAGGCACAGGCGCCGACGATGTGGCCGCTTCCTTCAGTACCCTAGATCCGCGCGTACCGGCGATGCTTGCATTCCTTGAGCGCCACTTTGCCGTAAAGCATGCTGCGTGGCGGGGCCCCAACCGTGTCCTCGACATCGGCTGCAACTCGGGAAAGGTGACGACAGAGCTCGCTCAAGGGCTCGCTATCTCCTGGAGTCAAAGCAGCACAACAACGAGGATCCCGGAGCTGGTGCTGGGCGTCGATGCCGATCCGGGCCTCATCGCAGAGGCGCAATACGCGGCCGGCATCTCCTGGAGCCAGTGTCGACCTCCGCCGCAGGCGATGGGCGATGAGGTGCTACCTCTTTCGGATCAACGTTCCTTCCAGTACTTTCCCGCTTGCTTCCCATATCTCTACGGTCCGCTACCGTACCCCTTGTCGGTGGAAGGGGCCTCTTCGCGGGAGCCTCGCTCAAAGAAGCGCAAAGTGTCGCCATCGGCCCTCGACGCGTCTTCGGACACTGCGACCGAGCTCCTAGGTCCCGCTCCTTCTCGCGCGTTTAGCGCACTGCGCTTCATCGCAGCTGAATGGGTCCGTGCAGACCTCGACGCCGATGGAACGCGGGAGCCCAAGGACGGGGCACCAGCGCCGGAGACGGAGGCGTCGAGCCGCCACGGCGGTGCCTGGCAGCGTAGTCTCTCGACTGCATCCATGGCCGTAACGCTGCAAGAGCTTTCGGCGCACGAGCGCGCGGGCTTCGATGTGATCGTCTGCCTCGCCGTCACCAAGTGGATTCACGTGCACCAGGGCGACGGCGGTCTGACCCGCCTGTTTGCCCGCATTGCGCGAACGCTGCGTCCCGGCGGCTGCCTGCTCATCGAGAGCCAGCCATGGAGGAGCTACGAAGAGGCAAGACGGATGGGACCCGAGATCCGCGCCAGAATGAGTGGCCTGCAGCTGAGGCCCGAGGGCGACTTCCAGTGGATCCTCGAAGGCCTCGGGCTGTTGCACGAAGGGCGCATCGGCGATGGTCCAGGCATGGGTGAGCAAGAGATTGTGGGAGATTCCGCTGTCAGCGGAGGATACCGGAATAAGCCGCTTGTCCCGATATGCTGACGTTTCCCTCACTCATCTGCGCCTGGTCTGGTTGCCCCGCCCGATCAGGCTTTGTGCGCCAGGTCGAGGCTTTCGTCAAGCCGCACGGGCCGATTTCCGCCTCGGCGATGCAAATGGGCGACACCTTGCTCGGGATTGGCACGGATACCAGGGCAGGGTTACCATGGGTTGCGAGGTACCCCAGGCGCGGTGCGAGGGAAGGGGCTGCGGCGGAGGGGGAGGCGTCAGGAGACGCGTCGGTCGAAGACGGCTTTGCGGCGGGGGCAGGCTAGTGACGATGGTGCAAGCGTCTCTGCATCGACCTGCCTGCTGATTGCTCTGGCATCTTATCTGATTGCAGTTTCGTGAGTCACCTCGCGGGGCTGGGTGATGAGCGCAGACCGTTGATCGCCCGCATGCGCCTCGGCCACGGCGCCGGCAGCAGGCCAGTTCCTGCCTGTCCTCGCTACACTTGACTCTTGGGGCGTTGCTGATGCGAGCCGTGTGTATACCACCAGCTAAGGAAAAGGGTCTGTGAGCGACACAGAGGACGGCGAGGGGGCAGCCACCCAGTCGCGACCACGGTGCGATCGCGATCGGTCTAGCGCGACCAGGTCACCCATCTGGCGCCTTGCGGCAAAGCGAGCCCGACGCGGTCTGCGATGCGATGCTGCCCGAATCCACCCGGGACATGTATGTACGTACGCAGGCAACGCATGCATACCTCGGTTGGCGTGCTTGGCGTTGCTCGGGCAGAAGCAAGCGGGCGCGCGCCTTGCCCTGCCCTGCCTTGTGTATGTAATGTACTGTAGTACATGCCCGTCGATGCGCAGGTTTATCTGATAAGATGGCGTGAGCCTTTGGCTGCCGCATCCTTGGCGCCCCTTTGAGGACGATGGGCGCTCCTTGATGCTTTCGCCGGTCGTCGTCGTTGATGGGTACCATGGCGCGCGTCGAGAGACCAGCTGGCTGAAAGAGGCAGCTCGCTTGGCTGCCTGTTCGACCTGCCAAGGACAGCGGCCAGCCAGCGGCCACCTGCCAGCGCGCCCGGCCTTGACCGGCCTGGCCCAGAGGGGAAACTTTTTTTCCCGTGGCCGTGGGGCGCGGCCCCTGCTTGGACCCTGGCGCTGTCCTGGCTGGACTGCCTGCCTGCTGGCCGGGCGGGCCTTGCCTTTGTCCTCGACCGACAAGGGCGCGCACCCTCTCCCGCCAACGACCACCTCAGACTGCCCCTCGACGGCCCGCCAACTCAGCTATCGCTCGACCTTTAGGCACCAAACCATACGATACCCCGCTCCTGTCCGTTGAAACGCCGAAACCCCCCTGTCCGGCCTCGCATCGGCACTTCTATCACACATCGATCCGCCTTGACCGGCCAGCCGACCTCCCACCACTCCTCTTCGGTCAAGCCCTCCTGCTCTTGGCTTGGCTTTCCTTTCCCGGCAGCCTTTTCACCTAGAGCCTAGCCTACCCATCTCGACCTTGATCTTGCGACTGTTCCTGCCAACTGGCTTGCCTTGCCTTGCCCGGGTCTGAGGTGGAATCCCGCCGCCACCCTCCAGTCCACCCCATATATAAAGTCGGCCATCCTCTCATCCGCCTTCCTCTTCCCTCAGCACCTCAAAGGCAGTTCCTCCCTTCGAACTCGCAAGACATCGTCCATCGGCTCGACTACCGCACTGTCCATCCCAGGGACTCCCCCCAACCACAACCGCCTCAATTCCTTCACAATGGGTTGCCCCTTTGCCCACCTTGCCTCACTGGCGTCGGCTGGCAAGACATCCTACCACGACCGCCCAGCTGATCCTCAGCCACGCACCAGCCAAGTCACACTCTCACAAGCCTTGCGGGATGGAACGGCCGCCAGCCACCGACAGGTCGAGAGGTCAAAGGGTGTATCGCTGCTGCTCAACTCGGTCACCACCGGACGTTCGGCCAATAGTGACGATCACCAGGACCAGGATGCGCTCCTCTTCGACCGCAAAGACTACTTGCGCTGGCTCGTGATGCTCGCCTCGATCTACATGTGAGTACCGCGTGTGCGTCAAGCGTCGCCACTCCACACCCGCGCTGCCCGCGACCTCGGCCTTTAGGTCGTCGCTGAAGCTTCAGCTCACGATCTATCGTGACTATCTCCCTTTCGTCGCTTTTTCACCTCATCCATGCTTTTAGCACGCTCGAGGCCGGCTTGAGGCGTACTCAGACGGCTGAGGCGCAGATGGTCGCGCCACTCCTGCAGCCGCTCCTGAACTCGCCCCTCCCAGCCTTGCTCGGTCGCACCCGCTCGCTTCTCCTCGACATCGCCGCCCACCTCGCAGTCCTCGAGTCTCATCATGGCGCGCAGCTTGAAGACCTGGTGCAGGAGACGCGAGACACTTTCGACATTGATACCGCTGAGGGCATCGACAAAGAGGCTCCCGCCAGCCGCGCTGATCTCACCGACCTCGTCATTTCACTGCAACCCGACGCTCTCGACTTCGCCGTCTCAGCCACTGCTACTGCTACGCCACCCCCTCCGACTTCGTGTCCTCCCACGATTCAACTGTCGCCGGCGCACATCGACCTCCTCACACCAGCCCAGGTCCACGCCACTCGCGGATACGCCCGTCATCTCGCCTCGTTCTTTTCAGACACCCACCGCAACGGCCACGACGCAGGGCCGCTCATCGTCCATGCGTACACGCGCTACCTGGGCGATCTCAGCGGCGGACAGCACATCCTCAAGAAAGTAGCGAAGCGCTGGCCGTGCGAAGTTGAGGAGCAGCCTTCTTCCGAGTCGACGGCGCTGGGCGATGGATTCGACTTCTACCGCTTCAAAGAGGCGGCCGCCGTACCCCTGACAACTACCGCCACAGGCGCCGCACACGCGTCAGAACCTGGACTCGACGGCCCGGGCCCGTCCGCGGCTGACCTCAAGGTGCTGTTCCGCGATTGCATGGACGAAGGCCTGGATCGACACGTTGGACTCGGGGCCTCTCGCTGTGGAGCTCTGACCGCCCTCGTCAAGGAAGGCAACACGTCGTTTGAGCAGAACGCAGCGCTCTTCGAAGCTCTACTGCCGGCAAAGCACCGGATGTCGGCCCAGGACGATGATGTCCTCGTTGAGGGGACCCTCCCGTCCCATTCGCCCATTGCTCTGCCTCAGCAGAGCGCATCGCCTGGCCCATCCTTGGGCTCCACGGCTCTCTCTCTCGTTCAAGCTGTGCTGCTTCCGACCTCTGCTCAAAAGGGTCGATCGGCCATGAGCGCAGCCATCCCGTCCACCTTCAGCAGGTCCCTTGTCGCCCTGTTGATCGTCCTAGTCGCAGCTTTGCTCTGGTCCACTCAGCGTCCCGTCAACTTTGCCGCTCGCGCTATGCTCCGCGAACATAGCATCGCACACAACGGCACGTCGCTCCATTGAGCAGGACTCCGTCTCAGTCTCTTCCGCGTCATCTCGATACTCGCCATGAAGGTGACTGGCCCGACTTCAGCCGCAGCAACAAGAGCATGCCCATCTTGTTTTCCAACCGCGCGGGCAGTTGCTTCGCGTCCGACCTCGATCGAACCAACAACGACGACGAGTCGAAGGCAGTCAAGGGGGCAGCAGCACTCCGGCACATGTGGCAACGGGCACATCGACAAGGCGCATGCGCGTCCGCGCAATCTAGGCCGCCACAGCTGCACGGCGGCAAGGATAGGCGATGGCGGAACGAAGGCCGCCGACGCAGTGACCTCTCTGCCGATGCTTAGTGGGTAGCTACCGACAGGCGTCCGCCAGAGCTCAGCCGTCGGCGTCGCCCGATGAGCTGTCGCATCCTGCTACCTGGCGACGAGGCTTCAAGATACATCGCTTCAAGATGGATCAATGTTGTCGAGGCCGACGGCCAGGTATTGCGTAGAGAGTCGATGCTACGGACGAAATTGGAGAAGGATGTAGCCCGGGAGATGGGCCGACCCTGGAAGCCTGCCGCAGTCGCAGGGTGGGTTCATCTGCTGCCAAACGGTCGCGCTTGTCGAGGGTGCAGGTAGACACCTCGCCGTTTCGCCGAGGCCCGATCGGAAACCATCGCCGTGACTGCCGCACCATGGCATGTCGTCCTTGCCGCTCTCAGCAGGCCCTGCGGCTTCCTGTCCTTGCACAGCTGCAGCACCACGACGAGACGGCCAGGAGGCAGGGTCACGTACGTGTCCTTGTCGAGCCCGCTGCGAGACCCTTTCGCGGCCGGCCAATTCCGCCATTCCATTCTCTAGGTCGGCCTCTTGAACGGTGCCATGGCCGGTGTCAACGGCGAGCCAGGCAGGTCTCCTGGGAGTGACTACTCTGTCCGTGGCCTGCGCCTTTGTTCGGCCGTATCTTCCGAGGCTGTCTTGGACCCCGCAACGAGAAGCGGGGGACGCCCTGCAACGTCCAACTCGAGCCGTGCGCACGACATCCTGCACAGCGTCTCGGACGGTCTGCACCAGGGCCGCGTACAAAAAGGGGCAGGGGCGGCTCGGATTCGGACCCCACACTGCCGCCCTTCGCCCCAAACTCATCCCATCCCTTTCCTGTCCATTCCTCCTAGCTTCTACTGCCCTCTCTCCATCGCTGCCTCTCCCGCACCGCCCGCCTCACTGGGCCAGCCCCGATGACCTGCCTCTCCTTTGGCCGACGTTCCAAGACGTGCTGCAAGTGCGGCGGCGAGCGCAACATGTCCGCTTCACCCTCCACCTCGCAGGCTCAGCCTCAGCCTACGGAAAAGGCGCCGGCGACTGCCTCCGCTCCTTCCACCCTGGCGTCTGCGGGTCAGGCGCACACTTGCTGCTCCTTTGTGCGCGATGACCTTCGTCCACCGACGTACAGTGCCCACGCCAGCAGCGCGACGGCGCTGTCGGGCCGCCTGCAGGAGATGGCGTCGACCATCGAGCACGAGGTGCGCCAGCTCGATGCGACGCTGCGCGACCTCTCGATGGCCATGCACGACAAGCCCGAGATCCTGTGGCAGGAGCACGCGACCCACGACCTCTTTGTGCGCTTCTTCGAGGGTCGCAGCTCCGAGGGATGGAAGGTCAAGCCGCACGCCTACGGCCTCGAGACGGCGTGGGAGGCGCGCTTCGAGCACCGCCCGGACTCCAAGGACGCCCGCACCATTGGCTTCCAGTCCGAGCTCGATGCGCTCCCCGGCATCGGACACGCCTGCGGCCACAACCTCATCGCCATCTCGGGCGTAGCGGCGGCCCTCTCGGTTGCGGCGGCGCTGCGAAAGCATGACGTGGCGGGCACCGTGGTGCTGCTCGGCACCCCGGCCGAGGAGGGCGGCGGAGGCAAGCTCCGCCTGCTCGAAGCCGGAGCGTACAAGAGCTACGATGCCGCCCTCATGGTCCACCCGGCGCCCACTTCAGGCACCGGAGCCATGCTCGCGGTGCAGCCCGTCATGGTCCGGTACACGGGCGCCACGGCCCACGCCGGCGCCGCGCCGTGGGAGGGGGTCAATGCCCTCGACGCCGCCGTGCTGGCCTACAACAACATCAGCGCGCTTCGCCAGCAGATGCCGCCCGAGTACCGCGTGCACGGCATCATCGAGGGCGACAACTGGGCCGCCAACGTCATCCCCGGCGCCTCGCGACTCCACTACAACGTCCGCGCCCCCACCATCAGCGGCCTCAAGGCCTTTGTGGCCAAGGTCGACAAGTGCTTCCAGGCGGCCGCGCTCGCCACGGGCTGCTCGATCGAGGTCGAGTGGGAGCCGGCCTACGCCGACGTCTGGAACACGCCGCTCCTCTCTTCGACCTATGCCGCCGTCCTCGAGCAGCGCTACGGCAAGGTGGTGCCCAACGACGATTTCACCGCCTCGACCGACTTTGGCAACGTCTGCTACGCCCTCCCCGCCCTCCACGCCGAGTACGCCATCCACCTCGACGACCCAAAGACGCAGGGCAACCACACGGTCGGCTTCACCGACGCCGCCGGCAGCAAAGAGGCCCACGAGCGCACCCTCGAGGCCGCCGTCGGCATCGCCGTCACGGGCGCCCGGGTGCTCCTCGAGGAGGACTTTGCCAAGCAGATCAAGGACCAATGGCGCAAGTGGAGGGATGGCGCCGATGGCCCCTGAGCCGGCGCCTGGGTGCATGTCGGGACAGGCCTTGGGCCCCTTCTTGGTCTCCTATCGAGACCGACGTTGCTCTCCCCTGCTTTCGCTCCCACACCTCCCTCTCCCTCTCCCTGTCCCTTGGCCTGTCTCTCGATGCTGGATTAGTGCAGACCTGCAATGTGACTCGGTGCATGTCGAGACAGCCATCCGCTATTGTGGCGTGTGGGCTTGTTGCGATCTGCCGGCTTGTCGAGCAGAGACCCGACTGAGTAGCACTCCAACAAGTGCTCGCCTCCGGCCGCACCGGTCTAGCTGAAGAGGATACTGAGCTCCTCCCTCCTCTCCGCCTTTCGATCGCCACCGCCCGAACTCGAGGCGGCAGCGATGTTTGCGGTTCCGGCCGAGCTGGCGCCGCCGCCGCCGCCGACCTGGCGCCGTTCGCCAACCTTGTTGGCCAGCTGCATCTTGCGCTTCTGTAGCTCGAGCTGGATGTCGGTGCAGGTTTCGATGGATGAAAAGGCGAAGAAAACAAGGACGGAGCGTCGCGAGGTAAGCGGGCGTGTTGCAGGGTGCCAGGCCACCAGTCCAGGAGGAGGCGGCGGGCAAGATTGAGAGGCTCACCATGTTTTCTTCGATGCTGTCCTTCATGATGTACTTGACGGTGATGACTGGTCGACGCTGTCCCATGCGGTGCACGCGGTCGAGGCCCTGATTCTCGACGGCCGGGTTCCTGTGCCAGGCAAAGGCCACGATCGGATGCACATGAGTCAGGTGATGCCGTGGCCGACTAGCGGTCGCGCCCGACCTTTCCGCACCCCCTGTCGACGGCGCCAGAAACTCACCAGTAGGGGTCCATCAGGTAGGCTCGGCATGCGCTGACGAGGTTAAGTCCGGTACCGCCGGCGCGCAGGCTGATGAGGAGCACCTCGGTGCCCGGGTCGCTCTTGAAGCGCGCCAGAGCGGCGTTTCGATCCTGCCTCCGCATCGTGCCATCGAGCCGGGCGAAGCGAATGCCCGTCAACCTGAGACTCTTGCCGATGCGGTCGAGCATCTTGGTCCACTGAGAGAAGACGACCGACTTGACCGGTTCGAAGCCGTCCAATTGGCTTGGCGGCTTTTGAACGACTACGACCGGGTCGCTCGCCTGCCGCACCTCCTCGTCGTCCGCCGTCTTTGGGTCGACGTGCTCGAGAAGCGGGGCGGTGGGGTCGTAGAGAGCCGACCGAGGGTTGCACCGCGAGAAGGGGATCAGGTCACTCAGCAGGGCGCGCACCTTGGTGCTCAGGTCGGTGCGATCGTGCAAGGACACGTCTCCCCGCGGCTTGCGGGATGCCGCGGGGGTGGTGGCCGCCGAGAGTCGGAATTCCCTCCTGGGCGGGGCACGGCCCTTGCCAGCTCCTGTAGCTGGAGGCCGTACATCGCCGCTTCTCGTGCCCTTGTCTTCATCTTCGGTGGTGCTGTCAGTGTCGGCCGTTTCGACATCGCTATCAGCCGATCCACGTTGATCCTTGTCCGGCTTGCCTCCGGTCTCGTCCTGCCAGTCAAAGTCGCTCTCGTCGTCGCTGCCAGCTCCGCTCCCATCTCCCTTGACGCTGCCGTTCTCGTTGGCCCCATTGTCGTCGTCCTCAACGTCCTGTTCCTCGTCCGTGGCAAAGTCGGCAGGCTCCAGTTGGATCGCGTCGATGGCCAGTTTGAGCGCCGAGCGGCAAGCCGGACAATAGTGCGCGTCGGTCAGCTTGGGCCGGGGCCAAGCTGCGCCGACGTGGCGCTTGAAACACGTCGAACAGATGAGGTGCTGGCACCGAGTGACGACCGGCCGCACGGCTGGAGTCGTCGAAGCGGCGTCGTCAGCGCTTACGGGCGTCTGGAAGCCATCCGTCGACCTCGCCGACGCTTTCTTGCCCTTGCGGATGCTTGCGATCCGGCGATCCTGGTCGACCGCAGCCGCGTGCAAGGCGTCATCGAGCGCATCTACGCTGCCGCTGGCGCCGAGCCCGTCGCTGTCGGGCGTCAACTGGGTCAGGTCGGCCTGACATTCGTTGCAAAAGGCCATGCCGCTGTCGCGAAAGACGGCAAAGAGGTCGGCCGCGCGCTCGCGGCTGAGTCCATCCTGGCTGATCGCATGACTCGGGTCAGAGCCAAGACCCGCCAGCCTGCGCTTGGCATCCTTGCTCGCGTCGACCAGCGAGGGATGATCGCACGCCAGGCGCAGATTGAGAATCTCGTGGAGGATGGTGGCGTAATTGTGGTTGAGCGTATCGTCCCGCAGCATCTCTTCGAACTCCTCCTTGTACCGGCTGTGAAGGGCATGGTACCTCGCCTTTTCGCTCTCTTCAAAGTCGAGCATTTCGGTTTTGGAGAGCTTGGGCGGCAAGCGCAGAATCGACTCGCCGTCGGCCGCCTTGGTGTCCTTCGTGCGCCGCAGCGCGAGGAACTTCATGATGATCTGGATGTGGCCTAGGCTGGCGGGGTCGATGGGGTCAGCACTGTCCTTGGCTGCCATCTTGGAGCGTCGCAATGCGGGCGAGTTGTCTTTGTGGCCGCAGAACTCGTTCCACACGGCGCGGTCGGTAAAGGGATCAAGGCGCAGGAACTTGAGTAGCGCGTAGAGGTCATCGGTGCTGTTCTGGATCGGCGTGCCCGTCAGGCAGAGGCGGCGCTGGGCCGAGAGATTGCAGACCGCCTTGCTTTGCCACGTCAGGGCGCCCTTGATGTAGTGCGCCTCGTCGAGCACGACACGGAACCACTCGATGCGCTGCAGCGCGTTGGCCGACTCTTTGCCGTCCTCGATCCTCTTCTTCCTTTTCTTGGACTTTTTCTTTTTTTCGACAGGGATACCGTTCTCGTTGACCATGATGATGGCGTCGTCGTCGTCGTCCTCCTCCTCCTCCTGCTCGGCGCCTCGGCCCTTGCCCGACGAGCCCGACTCGTCGAGCCACGTCTTCTGATTGCTGAATTCGTGGCCGAGCGTCGGGTACGTGGTGAGCACGATGTCGTGGTTGGACAGCCTCGCCGTGTCGGTGACTCTTGAGTTGCCGTGGTAGACATAGATGCGGGGCGGACGCTTCTTGTCCCAGTGCTCGCGGATCTGCTCTTCCCAATTTGCGACGACAGAGAGCGGGCACACGATCAGGGTGGCGCGGCTGCGACGCTCGAGGTGGGCCTGGCGCACCGCCTCTGGGTCGCGCTTACTCCGGCTGACCTTGCGCTTTGGCTTGGGCGAACTACGAGCGTTCGCCTTCTTCGCCTTCTTGGCGGGGCGAGGGGTTGGGAGGATCGACGAGGAGAAATCATCGGCGGTCACCAGTTCTATGCTATCGTCGCGCGCCTTGCGATCGTCGTCGCCAAGATCCGATTCGTCCGGCGGCGGGTACGAGGCAAGATCGCTATCGCCGAAAGCATCGGCCTCTTCGAGGGTGTGCGCTATCAAAGCAATCGTGGTGATCGTCTTGCCGAGGCCCATGTCATCCAGAAGCATTGCGCCGCGGCAGATCGTCGGAGGCTTCTTGACCTCCCTCTGTGTGATGAGGTTGACGTAGGAGCGTGCCTTGCCCCGCGAGTCCCAATTGACGGTCCATAGGGAGACCGAATCCTCATCGCGCCTCCTCTTGCGCACCTTGGCGCTCTCGCTTTCTCCGCCATGACCGATCACGTCATCGACCCTCGCCACCGATGCTGATGAGACCGGCGCGGGCCTTCTCGTACCCGAAACGTCGATCTCATTTGCTGGAGAGCGCCGCTTGAGGTCGGACCAGCTCCTGTGCTGCTCGCGCTCCAGCAAAAAGCTGAGCGCCTGCTTCTGGTGCTGAAAGAGGCGTGTTTTGATCACCGGTCGGGGGTCGACCATCTCGAGCTCCTCGCCGCTGGTGATGCTGCTGTAGATGGCGTCGACCTGCTCCCGCTTCTGCTTCTCGGTAGCCTCCTTGGTCTGCAGCGTGGTTCCCATGTTACTGCCGCGGTACAGGCCGCTGTAAGAGGAGCGAGCGTCGTTGCGGTAGCCCCCCGTTGGCGGGTTGTGCGGGTTCGAGTACTCCGGGCTCGTCGGATAATCCTCTGGCCGATACGTGGCGGGCTGCTCGAGCTGGATGCCGTGCGATGACAGCTTGTCCGACACCAGGGCAATGTCTGGTCTGAGTGCGAAGACAAGGATCTCGATCGAGTGCAGAAAGCTCTGAAGTTGTCAGTCGATAGCCGGCGATGGCAAATTCAAGATGGGTTGAGGTACGATGCAAAGGAGAAGCAGGGCGTCAGCTCGGTGTGAGAGATGCTAGCAGCGCCCGCTCTGGTCCAAACGGCACGCTGGTCGGAAGCCAGGAGCGGAAGCGTCGCATTGGGCGTCTCGATCTGCTTACCCCTGCTCTTCCGCCGCTAACGAGGCGGCACCTCGCCTCACAGCGGATCTTGTTGTTCCGCATCAGCGGCTCCAGCGCCGCCACGTACTTCTCCGCCAGCGAGCCGAATGGCGGCAGCAGGCTGGGTCCGAGCCGCTTTGCCTCTTCTGGCGGCAGGTCGGGGTGCGCCAGCAGGGGCGGAAGCACGACACCGACCTTGACGTCTGCGGGTTTGGCCCTGACGCCCCAACTTTCCGGCAGCGACCGGCCTGCGCCGATGGCACCTGGTGCGCTTGTTTGGCTGACTGAGAGCATCACCGGTCGGAACCCTCTTTCCGCCCAGAAACTCGTCGAGCTGGGCCAATGGGGCCGCTCGTATGCAGGATCTGTGGGAGGCGGAGCGGACGAACCATTGGTTCCGCCGGCGAAGGTGAGCTGCGGAGGCAAGCCATACATGCACAGGACGACCGAGGTGATCATGCCCAGGCAGACGATGGCATTGTTGCGCTGCTCGTCGAGCACCACCTCTCCACCGTCAGCCGAGCGAGATGACACGATGATGGGCTCGTCGTCGTCGTCATCGTCATCGTCGACGACATAGGCCTCGAGCTTGGCCTCGGACTTCCCACTGGTGGCGGATGAGCGCTGTGCCGACGGGACTGCGTCGACCTCCTCATCATCCCCGGTGAGATCAATTGCGCTCAGGGCCCGCGTACCGTCGGACGAGCTCAGCGCTCGCCGCTGAGCTGTCTGTGCTACTTTCGGCGCGGACGAGGTGTGGAGTATCGCCGTGTGCGAGCCTTCAGCGCCTTTGCTCCCGGTCCGATTCACACCATCGGCCCACATCCGCTGCTGCTGTCTGCGGACCTCCTCTGCAGAGGCATGTGAGTAGGCGCCAGAGCTGTCGAGGAATGTAGTTGGAACCCGAGCGCCGCTGCCGCTGATGACAAAGCCGTTATCGTCGTCGTTTGACGCTGGAATGGTGCGCACCGCAGGTTGCCATATCCTGCTCGGAACCGGGAGCCCAGAGTTGCTGTGCGCTGCGGTAGGGTCACGTCGACGTGGACCGCGCTTGTCTCCAGTTGACGAACCGCCGGTGAAGCCGGGAGGCAATGTACGCGTTTTCATGCTGGCCGATGGGAGGCTTTGGCTTGATGAGTCCGTATCTGACGCTCTCAGGGACGGCAGCGTGGGTGGCGAGGGCCTAGAGAGAGGCCTGGCAAGCAGCTCGCTGGGGTCGTCGATCTCCTCGAGCACGTCTTTGCGCCAGTGATCTCCTGTGGCGTCTGGAGGGATCGAGGCCGACGTCTCGGCCGCAGAGATGCCTGTTGCTGGAAGCGGCGGCGGTGTGCCGATGTCGATGAACGCTGCGCTCTGTTGCCGCTCGCCGCACCATGTCTGCATTCTGGAGCTGCTGACGGGCACTGGGCTCTGTCGGGGAGAGGGCGTGCCGATGTCGATCGATTCGGTTGAAGACATGCCGGCGAGACGCTGTCGGGCGTTGGACCGATTCGCAGAGCGAAGAACGCGGTCGGTATCGGAGTGGCTCCTGGCCTTGGTCGATTGCTTCCCGCGGCCGACGACGGGCTGACGCTACCGGCTTCGTCCGGCCGCACCACCGGCGGCCGCACTGCGGTCGAGGGAGGAGGATCTGCCAGAGTGTACTGCGTGGAAAAGAGTCGACCGGAGAGCGATCGAGCGAGGGCGAGCTGCTGAAAAAGGCCGCCGAGGTTGAAACCTCTCTCCTCTTGGCGGTTTGATGGGCGCGATTCGGCCGTGTGGCCGTGTGGACTTCTGGGTTCGACGAAAGTATGAAGAGCAGATGTGAGGTCGTCCGATGATTCTTGCAGTCCTTCACTTGCGATCCTGACGGGAAAAGATTCGCCTTGCGTCCAAAGAGGCGGAAGGCAGGGTTGCGATGCGTCCGGTTACGAGGTGAGCGACGAGCGGTGAGCGGCTGCGAAGGAAGTCGGGCACGTCGAGGGTGAGAGTGCTTATGGCGCGGCAGGTAAGGAGCCAGGGAGGGAGGAGAAGAGATGATGGAGGTCCGAGACCAAGGTATAGGGGCCGACGCCACAGAGCAGAGGACTGGGCGGTTGGGCGGGGACGAGGGTGGGCGGAAGGTCGCCAGGCCGGTCTTGGGCGCGTCGAGGTGGTAGGCGGCGTCTGGGGGTCCTAGTCTAGGCAGGCAGGGTCCTCGACCCTGGCGGGCTTGGTGTGGCCTGGCCTGGCCACACCGTTACGGACCTCTCGCCGGGTGGGCGCGCCCAGCTGCGTCGATCTAGTGTGGAGGACCGAAGGCGGCGATACAGAGCCAGGCAGCAGGTGCAGGCTAGGGTCTGGGACCCGGCACTACTCCACCAGGCCTCGGCTGACTCATCAAGGCCGCGACGCCCAGGCAGGGCCAGATCGACCAGATCGGTCGCGACGACCGACTGGCAGGCCGGGCCTGACCAGCAGCTGGCCTGCAAGCAGGCACACACACACTCTGTACGCACGACGATGCTGGCGCTGCTTCCCGACTGACTTCCTCTTACCTGCCAGAATCGCTCAGCCTGGCCCCGGTCAAAGCGACGGCGGCCATCAGCCGTTCGCCACGCATCGTTGCTTGGCGACATACAGAGAGGCCGGAGATGCTCGTGCTGACGCCCAACATGGCGTCGGCGTCGATGCTCGAAATGGACAGGAACGGGCGGAGCGACTTCATTTGCTATTCACGCGTCTTCGACTCCCATTCTTCCCGACGGACTTCCGCCACCAAGTTGCCGCCAATGCCGCCGTTCGCCTCCTTGGTGCTCCCCGGCGCAGCACAGTCTGTGGCATGGTCTGCGCTCTTTGGGCCGATCGCGGCCGCCACTCTCTCGTGTCTGCGATCCGGTTTCGCAACAGACGGGACTGCTTCGCCGCCGCCGGTCGCGCGCGGCCTCGCCTTGGCTCGCTCAACGCCCGGTTGACGATCCTCCTTCCTGCCGACCTTTCGCCCTTGCGCTCGTCGTGACCCAAGTCGTCGAGATGCAGCGCCGATCAACGACTTTTGAGCAAGACCCGGAGCTACTGCTCGCAGCGATGCGAGGCGTCGCGCCTCTTTCTTGAGCGACCCGTCGACCAGCTCCAGGATCAGCTCAATGACGCCGCGGCGGAAGCGACGCATGGCCACCTTCTCTCGCAGCGGTGTCAGCCTCTTGACCTTGCGGGCGCGCGCCAGATTTTGCCGTGCCAGATCCAGGGCGCTTTCGAGCTCTTGCCGGTCGAGTGGCCGCTGCAGCGTCGACCCGCTCAAGCGAGGACCGACGTGACGCGGATGCCGGCGGCACTGCTTGTCGAGCCAGTTGACCGATCGTCCAATGAAGCCGACTAGCACATCGTCCGGCACCAATCCGCGGTCCAGCGCATGGGCCACCAGCTGCTGTGCTTCGAGGTAGGCGAAACCGCGCATCTGAACCTTGAAACGGCTTGACACGCTGTGCAGATCGCCGAGATCGACGCTGCGCTCGTGCACAGGGACGGGATGGCGCTGCGAATGGGCCGTCTCGATAATCTGCAGGATGGTCTCGTCGAGCTGGTAGCCGTTGCGCTTGAACTCGGATAGCTCTCGCAGCAGACGGCGATCATCGCCGTCGCGAGCGTAGGCGCGGATCAGCGCGGTGTGCAGCCGCACCGATGGCTTGATGCCGTAGATCCGGACGGCGTTCTCCTTGAGCTTCTGGGCGTCTGTGAGCCGCGAGACGGCAAGCAACCCTTCGACCAACGGCTCGACGTGCTTGACAGTGGGCTCGATTCCATGTTCAATCATCGAGCGCCAGAGCCGCTGAGCCGAGTCAAAGTCGTGGCGTAGCACTGCAAAAACGCGCATTCGCATCGCATACGCTGCACGCTCGAGTGGCTGATCAAGGTCCATGATGTCGTCGAGCGGCGCCAGAAGCTCGTGCTTGGCCAAAGGTGCTGTCGAGGGCTGCTGGGACGAAGCCGTTCCATCAGAGGCACTCGTGGACGTTGCCGCTTGCGGCTGTGACCCGAGTGGCGTGCTCATATCGCTTAGCGCCCAACGACGCATAGCCTCGGCCGTCTCGCGATCGGACTGGTCCGCCATCTGCGAGGCACGCGCTAGCACCTTTGGCTTCTGCAGGATCATCTTGTCCATCAGACCGAGGCGATCGAGGAACTCCGCGAGTTTGATGAGACGTCGGTTCCTGGGGCTGTCGCCGATGCCGACCCCACTCGTGTCTCCAGACTGCTGCATCTTCGGCAGGACACGTCGGAGCATGCGCAGCATGTCTGAAGTGTCCTTGTTGGCCGAGGATACGATCAGGCGGCAGAGACCGCTCCGGATGCGGCTGTTGACAGGCAGCTCGCGCGATAGCATGTCGAGCAGGATGGAGCGCGCCGATCGGACCGACCTCTGGCGAGCGGCGCTCTCGAGCAGAGCCTTGTAGTGCAGCGTTGAGACCGACGTCGGCGGCAGCTCGTCGCACACGTCCTTGGCGAGTGCCGGCAAAGCGTTCCTGGCTGGCATGAAGTTTGGCAGCTTGAGCGCGCGCGATGCAAACGCGGTGGCCTCATGCAGCTGGCCGCAGTTGGTGTAAGCCTGGATGACACCGGCAATGGCGCGCTGCAGCTGCTCCTCGCCATGGTCGCGGCGGTGGAAGTGCTTGAGCTCAAGCGGGCGTAGAGAACCGTCGTCCATATAAGTTGCCGTGGCGGCCGGGGATGACCGCGGAGTGCGGCGAGGTCTGGTCGCATGCGCTACGGGAGCATCGGGCTGGAGGAGAGGGGCGTTCGAAGATGCTGCCGAGCCTGAGCCTCCGAGGAAAGGTCTAGGGTCTGTCGACGTCGCGGCTGGCGGGGATGGCAAGAGTGGCGGCAGTGATGAAGACGCTGGAGGAGATGCTGAGCTGGATAGAGCTCCTGAGGGCGATCGCGCTGTTTTTGGTGCCGTTGAGGAAGAGGGCTGCGGCGGGAAGCGCAGGACTGACAGTGGTGGCGCGGCCGGCGTCTCCGAAAAGGCGGCGGTGCCTACTGTCGCCGCCGCCTCCGCCGGCGTCGTCGAGGACTCCGATGTATGTCGCTGCTCCTCTGCTCGGGCCTGGATTGCCCGTCGGAGGTGCTCAAGGCTCCTGACGGGTTGGCCCTCGCGCCCAAAGGCTTGCGCTTTCGACACATTGACGGCGAGCTTGGAGCTGCGTGAAGCGGCGCGAACGCCCGCAGACATCAAGGGTCGGTGCGCAAGGTCGCAGTGAGACGCCCCAGCTTGCGAGTGCAGAGTGGATGTAGGCGCGAAGAGGGATCGTGGGCCCAGGACATGGGGCGGGCGGCGTGTCCAGAGTGCCCTCACTAAGAGGGGCAGGGTAAGGATGGTGGAGGACGAGGGCAAAGAAGAGAAAGAGAGCTCGGCGTGGTTCAAGGACTTTTGGCCAGCATTGCCAGGCGCCGCAGACGGCAAATTCGAGCTCGGAAAACGGGTCTGGGCGGCGGGGCCAGGCTGGGGTCAACCAACTGCATGTGTGCGGGCTGGAGGGGGAGCCGCTGCATCACCTGGCCAGCCCTCACACCTACCTTTCCATCAGCACCTAGGGCTGCCTGCCACCTGCCTTGAATTGAGAGGCTGGCAGTTTGGAGAGAAGGAACAGGTGTTTGCTTGTTTGTGATGGCCACATACTGATGTTGGGGTCAGACCCTTTTGCACATGGCTGTGCATCAAGACGGGTCAGAGCCACAGATGCCCACATCACTCTGAGGGTTGGAGTCACTCTCTGCAGCCTTGAGGACCAAATGAGTGAGCAGCATGGGTGCATGCCCCTCATGAAGCATGCAAAGCCATGTTGACTGCACAGGCACCAGCAGGGACGAGGCTGGGCGGTCTGGGCGCCCAACACTGGGAAGCCCATGACCGCTCTTCCCTCCTCCTCACCATCACCACCTTTCACCACTCCACCCCCTCCCCTCTCTTCCGCCAGATGTGCTTCAAGACCATTGCCGCCGTCGGCGGTATCGTCGTCCTTGGCAGTACCGCCGCCTTCTTTTATCCTAAGCGTAAGTTCTAATCTCAGATCAGGCTCTGTATGCATGCAGCACTAACGCAATTCTCTCTCCTCACCTCCCCTTTTTCACAGAGTTCAAGAGCCTCATGATAATCTTGGGTTGCGTGAAGGCCGCCCTGCACGTTTGCTTGTCCTTTTGCAGTTTGTTGCAGCAGTGTGCAAGCAGGCAGCACAGAGGTCTGAGGAGCCAATCATGGGCCCAGTGTAGAGCCCTTGAGGAAGTTCAAAGGACTGTTGCAGGCTCTCTGATGTTCAAAGGACTGTTGCAAGCTCTCTGGGATGTTCAAAGGACTGTTGCAAACCCTCTGCAAATGCAACATCAACGACCAGACCCGAGCTGTTGAAGGTGGGAGGTGCACGCACGGTCAGCCACTTCCCGGCTGCCCGAGTCAAAAATCCAGCTCGAACCACCGCCATCCCTTTGTGCGTCTTGAAGGCGGGCGGCACAAGGACAGAGGAACACACACGGTGCTGTGGGTATACATCTTGTATTCCTCGTATGGCACTGATGCGCAAACAGGTCAACAGGGGGGGATATCTACAGCAAACACGCAAAGCCGGCGATGAGGCCGGAGACCACAGGGCGCTGCGCAAGGCCCTCAGACCGAGATGGTCTTGAACAGGTTGAAACCGTCGAGGCTGGTGGTGGTGAGCATGCCGGTGATCTGGGGGTGCCAGTGCACCTCCTTGATGTCGTGGGATCCGTGGTGGCAGAAGAGGAGCTGGGAGGGCACGTCCTGGCCGTCGGGGCCCTTGAGGGCGCCCTGGCCATCGGCCTCTTCGTCATCCTGCTCGACGCTGAGGTCCCACAGCGTGACCTGGTCGTCGCGACCCGATGCGGCAAAGATGCTGTCCTCGGTCGGATGCCACTCGATGCTCGAGATGGGCGCCGTGTGCCACTGAAAGCCGGCCACGGGGCTCGGGCGAGCGGGTGCGGGAGCGCCGCCAGCTCCCGTCGACGACTTGAAAGTGCGCATGTCCCAGACGTTGATGCCGCCCTCGTCGCCGCCCGAGGCCAGCAGGTAGTCGGTGCCCCGGTTCCAGGAGATGACGTTGACGTCCTCGGGGTGGGCGTCCTCGACGGCAATGACGCTCTTGCGGCTCTTGACGCGGACGTCCCAGATGCGGATGCTGCGATCCGCCGAGCACGAGGCAAAGACGGTCGGCTCCGACGGCGACCACTGCAGGTCCTCGACCGAGGACGTGTGCGAGGCGAATGGCGTGGCGTTGGTGACGAAGCCGGCGTTGCTGCTCGTCGTGAGGTAGATCTTGCTGTGGATGTCGCCCGTCAGCAGGCGAAGGCTGCTTGCCTTGCCTGTGGCGCCACCGCCACCGCCCAGGCCGGCCCAGTCCATGGCGTAGCCCTCGACGCCGCGGTGCGCGTCAACAACAAACATCGGCGCATTGACCTTGCGCTTGTCGTAGGTGGTGCCGGGTCGATCGAGGGCGTTGTAGAGCGGTCGGACGTCGAAGATCTGCACCTTGCCGGTCTCGTTCCAGACGGCGACGGGATACGGGTCCAGGCATGCCTCCGAGTCGGCCGTTGGCGTGGCAACCGGAGCAGCTCGGACGCGGTTGATCCCGCCGACGACAGGGATGGAGCGATACTCGAGGATGGCGTCGTCGTCGAGGCCATCGTCATCGTCATCGTCCTCGTCGTCGGATAGGTCTGAGTGCGGTGCAAGACAAGGACGAGGGGGAAAATGGCGAAAGAGTAAGTTTTCCTTCAACAAGGCTGTCCGGCGGTGTACAGGCCTCCGATGTCCCGCCCTCTCCGTTGCCTCAGCCTCGGATGGTGTCGTGCGTGGCTCAGAGGTGTGTAATTAGGTAGCGAGATATTTTCGGCATCGAGCGATTCGAGGACCACCGAGGTGATCGCCCGAGGCTCATACAGCCAAATGCCTCAAACATCATTGCGACGACACGACAGAGGCCGAGGCGGAGGAGGATGGACGGTGGGCGGGCAGGGCGTGGCGATGCGGCGCGGCTGGAACACTCACTGTCGTCGCCCTGGGTCTTGTGGAGGCTCGAGGCCTTCATGACCATGATCTCGTTGTTCTTGGCGATGTCGGCCTGAGTGCCAGCGACAAAGTAGGACGTGTGCGGGAAGCCTTGGCGATCGCTGCCCAGGTGGTCGCGGAGATGGTCGAATGAGAGGCAGGGCCAGGTCACGTTGAGCTTGTGGAGCATCTCGTAGGCCGACTGGTCCGCCTCGAGCGTCTGACCCTCTTCGAGCTTGTTTACGCCGGGAATGTAGGCTTGGACCTCGGCCGCGGCGGCGGCCTTGTCGGCGGTGCCATCTTCTTCCTCGTCGGCCCTTCTGATCTTGCCGTCGGTCCTGACGCCATCGATCTCCATCTCCTCGCCGCCATCCTCGTCGTCGGACGCGTTATCGGAGTCGTCGTCGTCGTCGTTGCGTGCATTATGGTCGACCTCCTCGTCCTCGAACTCGTCCTCGAACTGATCCTCGAACTCGCCCATCTCGTCAGTGTCGGCCGCTGTCCTCGGTGGCTGGGTGCCGTCTTGGGTGGTGCGTTGTCGTTGCGCCGACGCCGAGGGGGACTGATCCGACACAGGGTTGACGCCCGCCTCGCGGGACTGAGGGCCGGGGGAGGAAGGGCGCTTGGACATGATGGCTGATTGTGTGGGGGTGAGGAATTGTGCGGCTTGAGGGGGTGATGCTCGATCGGGACTGTGTATGGGCAGGACGGAAGAAGGCGGTGGTGGTCTTGAGCGTGGCTTGATGGGAATGAAACGACGACGGAAAGAGGAAGGTGATGCGGAGGAGGGATGCGAGACACGATACAATTACAGGATGCGACGGGAGGGAAGAGAGCACAGGAGTAGCGGTTGTGGTCGAGCCGGGAAAGGTGGTTGAGAGGGGGAGGGGAGAGAGATGGCCCTGGCGCGTGGCTTTTTGAGGGATGGGCCGCGAAGACGAAGATGGGGCAAAAAAAGACGTCGAGGGAAGAAGAAAAAAAATCCGGCCATGGCCATAGCCTCAGCTGCGGACGGCTGCTTTCGGCTCCGAAGCGGGGCGGGGTCGAGGACGAGCGTGACTGACAGGGTCCTCACCGCCGCGCCTTGTGTCTGCCTCGCCTCTCTGACGGGACCCCACTCGGCGCATGGAGCTGACCACAGACTGCAGGCTGCAGGCTGCAAGCGCCATGCCCGCGAAGAGGATGCCCTCTCCGCTGCAGATCTGCTCCATCCACCCACCCACCTACCCACCAAGCCTCCTCATCCTCGCTCTCGGTCCGTCCTAGCTCCCAGTTTGGTCGACGTCGCGGCACTCCATCACGGTGCTCGTCGGACCCCCGTCGTTGTTAAATACCGACTTGCCCTGAACGCTCTTCCACCGATCAAGTCCATCTTCTCGGAGATGCACCTGCTATCCTTTGCTCGCAATCCAGCCTACCCGCTCGTCGTCCCCACACCGTAAGGTAGGGGAAGCTCGCCACTCAAGCCCCCAGGAGCAAGCCATCGACATCTCCTCATCGGTACTTGAACCTCGAGCTCGCTCTTGACCCACGGACCAACCTGCAAGCGTCACCGTCCACCGACTGACGAGCTCAACCACACAACAAGGCGCCATGACAAGCTTGGTCTCGTTTATCGTGCTGACGGCCAGTATGGGCGTCGGCACCCTCGTCTGCGGCCTCATCCCGCTCTCGCTGCCTCTTTCGCGCAGGGCTCTCCGGATACTCGAGGTGTTCAGCGCCGGCCTACTCATTGGCGCGGCCGTCACCGTCGTCGTGCCGGAAGGCGCCAAGACGCTCTTCAATTCCGACAAAAAGGCGGCCAGCGCATCACGCTCTTTGGTCTTTCCGAAGGACGGCCTACCGATCCACGCCGAGACCGCTCCGGTCGCGGTTCTGGACCGTGTTGCTGCGTCCAGCGACGTCTCCGACTGGGCTTGGAGCTTCGTCAGTAAGCGGCAGGCCACTGACGAGCCCCACGGGCACGAACACGAAGGCAGCGAAGGCAGCGGAGATCACCATCACCACGACGACCACCATCAGAGCGCAGGCGCGGATTCGTCAGAGCACCTCCTCGGCACCAGTATCATCTGTGGCTTCCTCCTCATGTTCGTCATCGACCAGGCCGCCGCGAGCGCTCCGGCCCATCACGACCACGAGCACACGCTCCATTCCCACGCCCAAACGCCCGCGCCGACCCCATCAAGGCGACCCGAGGCACATCGACTCTCACGCTCTTTCCAGCAGCGGAGGCTCCAGCTGTTTGCGCAGGTCGCCGAGGAGCAAGCAGCCGGCCCCAATCGAGCCGCAGTCACTCTGGACGACAACGCCGAGCCGCGGCGGCAAGATCATCACGACGATTGGCCTCCGCACCGGGCCCATGGCCGCGACAGCCGCTCCAGCAGCAGCGACTTGGATTACCTGCCCGACGACTACGACGACGATCGCCACGTTGGGAGCCCTACCGCAGTATCATCAAAGTTCGACGAACGCGGTTGGTCAGCAGCGTCGCCAACGCCTGCTGGAGCGTCGCTTGTGCGGGCGGACTCATCGGCGCCGCTCCTGTCCCCTGCCCCGCCAAAGAGACGGCGCGGATCGCACGCAAGTGCGCACTCGGCGCGCTCCTCGCCAAGCACCTCTTCGGCCGCTGTGCCCCGCGACTCGTTCCGGCAGATGTTGACGACCCTCGTCGGCCTGTTGATCCACGCTTTCGCCGATGGCATCGCCATGGGCGCCAGCGCCGGCAGCGGCGACAGCTCGCTGACGCTCATCGTCTTCTTCGCCATCATGGTGCACAAGGCGCCGGCGTCGTTTGGGCTCTGCACGCTCCTCATCTCGCAGAGGCTGAGCCGCGCCGACATCCGCAAGGGCGTCGCCCTCTTCAGCCTGGCGGCGCCGCTGGGCGCAGTGACGACGTACGTCCTCATCTCGCTCCTCTTTGGCGGCTCGACGGGCGGCGGCATCGACTCGAAGCACATTGGGATAGCGCTGCTCTTCTCGGGCGGCACTTTTCTCTTTGTCGCCATGCACGCCGTCCTCGAGCTCGCCGGTCCCGATGCCGATCTCGAGCCGGTGAGCGATGGCACGGGCGACACCGAGGCGCAGCGCAACGGCACCGACGATGCGGTGGTGGAGCGAGAGGTGCTGGGCAAACTGGTGCGCATGGGCCTCGTGATTCTCGGAGCGTGGACGCCGAGGCTCCTGCAAAAGGTGGCAGCTGGACTGGGCGGCGGACATCATCACTAGGCCGAGGCCAGCCTTGCCGTTCATGAGGCAGCGTTGGCCTCTCGAGCTTCGCTCATATTGCACTACCCACATCCCCACTCTGCTCACCGCAAGGATCTTTATACCGTCGCACGCGGCCAGTGCGGGGGACTGTGAGGAGAGGCAGGCATTGGTGTGCATGTGCATCGGTGAAGGGAAACTTGCATTGCGGTGTCGTCTTCAGGGCGACGAGCTGCACAGACGAGAAGCCGCAGCCCGGAAGAGGCGCACGAGGGATACCTCGGACCCGAAGCGATGCAGCGGCCGTCAGAGCTCTGCGTTGGCAGCATCGTCGACGTGGGCCGCGCGCCTTCTTGCTCCAGGTCGTGCCTGGTCCCGAGATGCCGCCGATGTTGGCTCGGATCGCGACGCAGACGATGGCGATGGTGTCGGCTTTTCGGCATTCGCGGCTGCGGCGGCGCCTGTCTGTCCGCTGCCTTGCGCGGGTGTGACGATGACGGGCTCGACCTGCTTGACAGGCAAGAGGCTCTTGAGCGACGAGAGGATCGAGATGAGCGCCCGAGTGCAGACCATTTGCCTGTTGTCGGGCATGGCGGCGAGCGTCGTTGGAGATTCAGAGGGGCACACATGGACGGAGAGAGTCAGCCAGGGCCAGGGACAGCGGGCGCGCGTCGTCGCAAGGACGTACCACATCGTACTGCTGATGGAGCCGGCCGGGGCACGAGGAAGGCTGAGAAACCATCCAAGCGGTCCGAACCACAGACCGGCCGGGGGGATCCAGAAGATGGGCGTCTTGCTGTAGTAGCTCGTCACGAGGAAGGGGAGCACGGTGGTGAGACCGAACATGAGCGCCTTGAAGAGGAGCGAGAAGGTGGTGCGCGAGCTCGACAGCGTGCCATCTGCCGATGCAAGTGTCGGAGGAGAGGGCCGAGCGGGTCAGCATGCACCCAGCAAGCCAGCAGCATGACGAGAGGAGGCAGACGCGCCGGGCGTCGACCTTTTGGCGCTCTCAGGGAGTCCGTTGGGGCCGAAGGGTAAGACGGCAGCACGGAGCACTCACTCGTCTTTTCGAGGTCCTGCAGGCCCTTGTCGACCTTGCGGCGAAGCTTGGCCCACTTTGCAAACTCATCCTGGCTGCTCGTCTTGGCGAGCTGCTGCTTGTTGGTGAACACTTCGGTGCGCAGCCTGCGCTGCTCTGCGAGGGTGCTGCGATGAAGGATACGGACGTAGATTGCGTAGGTCTGAATGCGCGGGTAGAAGACGATTCCAACAGGATGTCAGCCTAGGTGGCGAGCTTGCATGGCGCGCGCGGGCGAGGGGGGCAGTGAAGCGACTCACGACTTCCTGTAGCCTTTCCTTGCCCAGCACCGAAATCGACTGGACAAAGAGGACGGCGACGAGGATGACGAGGGCGGGGTGCATGGCGGCTTCCGACGCGTGGCGCGACGTTTTGTGGCGCCGTTGTGGTTGTCGTTGCGAGTGGCAACAGACGGTAGAAGGGGAAGGGAGAGTGCCGGAGAGTGCGGCACCAGCGAGGAGAGGCGAGGGTGATGGGAGTCGGGGCTAGGAAGAACGGGCAGGGCAGCCAGCGAACCAAACGCGGGTCGCAACCAGCAGCCCGAGCTGGCCAGGCCCAGAGCCAGAGGCAGCCTTAGCTTGAGACAGGCCAGCCGCCCAGCCAGCGCGCTGTCGGCCGACTCCCGCCCCCCAAGCCCCTCCCTCCCTCCACTTTTACCAGGGCAGGCGCGCAGCCAGGCCAGGCGACACGCCCTGCCAGCCCTGGCCTGGCCATCCTGGCCTAACAGACGACGGCGATCGCGCACGAGAGAGAACAGGACGAGTTATAAGGCAGCACAAGATGCAGGGCAACGGTGGAAGCAATAAGGAGCGAATCGGAGCATCTCGAGCCTGGGTATCTGAAAGGTCAAACAAGGAGAGGAGGCGGCTCCCCCAACGGGGCGCCGCAGCTGGCCGCGGACTGGTACTGGTGGCAACCTCAATGCTGGTTCGCCCGAAGCGGCTCTGGGACGCCTACTTGCGCCCAAACAGCGACGGCAGCCGGAAGCGCGAGCTGGCCGAGCTCATGACGCTGCGCGTTTCGAGCTTCTTCTGGCGCTCGTCGAAGCTCGTCTCCTTGTCAAAGGTCGTCGCCGGTCCCTTGCGCTTGCCGCCAAACGACGGCAGCCTCGACGAAGACTGGCGCTGCTGCTGCTGCGCGCCCAGGCTGCCGAGCACATCCTCCGACTGCCACTCGGGCATGCGGCTCGCGAGCAGCTCGCAGAAGAGCGGCAGCACTTTGCGCGTGTGCTTGAGCGTCGGAGGCGCCACATTGGTCGGCACCTTCGCCACGCGCAGCTCGCCCGCCTCGGCCTCAGCAGGCAGGTGCTGGTTGAGCGGATCCATCCCGGCGAAAAAGGCCCACGGGAAGTCGTACTTTTCGGTGCCGCGCACGCCGTCGGCACAGTTGCCGTCGTCGAGCTCGAGGCCCGACTCTTCGAGCAGGTCGCGCATCATGCCGTCGAGGTCCTCGAGCTCCTTGCGCAGCCCCGCTGCGGCGTCCGGCGGCAGCTCAGCCTCGCACAGGCCGCTCGGCGAAGCAGCCTCGGGGCGAGCGAGGAGGTAGTTCTTCCGAGCCTCGAGCTCGTAGCGCACCTTGGACCACTTCGTGAACGCTGCTAGGCGGTCGATCTCGATGAGCACCTTCTTGACGTCGGCGTCGGTGAGGCGAGCGTCCTGGAGCAGCTCCTCAAAGTTGACCTCGAGGTTCGGCGCCGAACGGTCCGCCGGGTTGGCCGGGTCCGTGGTCGAGAGCGCCATGTAGTCGAGGCCCAGCTGGCACCAGTCCCACAGCGGCTTGGCGATCGAGGCGCACTCGTGGAAGAGAAAGTAGAGGGCCTGCTCGTGGCGCGCCGCCAGCGCGATCCACGCCTCGATGTGGTCGTCGCCGCGCTTCTTGACGTCAAGCAGGTCATCGATGAACTTTTGCAAGTCGCCCAGGCGCTCGCTCAGATTGGCCGTGGCGGCAATCGTACGGATGATCGGGTAGAAGACGGATTCGAGCGAGTCCTTGATAATGGCGGGAATCAAGCTGCCGCTGGCGAATTCGACGGCTTGCTCGCGGTCGCGGCGCTTGAGCGACTCGCGCAGCAGCAGCTTGAGCAGCGCAAACTTGCGCGCGCGCCCATGCTCGGCGCCCTGAGCACCCCAAGATGGCACCGGCGGGCGGTCGGCGCCGAGCGGCGTCGTCTCAGGGTAAGCCAGGCCTAGGTCGCCCCGGTAGGGCGAGAGGGTAAAGCAGCGCTGGAGCTCGAGGACATGGTCGCGCGCTTGCTGACCAAGGCGCGGCTCGGTCGGCGAGAGGAGGATCGTGGTGAGGACATCTTCTCCGCGCTTGAGCGCCGTGTCGCGCATCCGGCGCGCCTCGACGCGGTCGCCGCGGCGCACGTACTCCTCGACTTTGCGCGCGAGTTCCTCGTCGTCGATCTCCTTGCGGATCGGCGCGACAAACTCCTTCTGGATGTAGCTGGCATCCTTGCCGACGACGTACGAAAAGATCCGCTGTAGCAGCGACTTTGCGCCGCCCGGGCGCGCCAGCAGGAGCGAAAGGATGCCCGAGATCATTGTCTCGGCGTTGGCATACTTGAGCAGCTGCTTGGCACCCCAGTAGGGCGCGAGAGCGTGGATGCCCTTCACCATCTTGTAGAGCTCATCGGCGTTGGGTGCGGCGACGAAGAGAGCGTGGAAGATGTAGGCGGCGTGGATGCGCGCGAATTCGACCGAGTTCTTGTAGTGCGGCGGCAAGTTCTTGATGCTGCTGATGTCGAGGTAGGAGATCGCCTCCTCTAGACCCGTCTCACTCTCGATAATACTCTCCTTGAAGCCGCACCAATCCCGCCGCACCTTGCGCCAATCCTTGCCCGCCTCGCGCCACAGCCGGCCGCCTTCGCCCTCGAACAGGTTGTCGATGCGTTCCAACAGCTCCGGCTCGATGCGGATCGGCTTGTCGAGGCCGCGCTTGACGGTGCCCTTGCCCCACTGCTTGCCGACGCCCCATTTCTCGGAGCCGGGCTCGCCGACTCCCGGCCCGCGCAGCTCGCCCTCGCCCCGGACGCCAAAGCCGCGCGCAAAGAAGCTGCCAAGGTAGCGCGTCAGCGCGTACGAGTACAGGCGCCGCTTGGAGATCTCGCCGCGTTCGAGCGACGAGGAAAAGTTGCGCGCCGCCATTTCGTCGAAAAAGGGCTGGATCCGCTTCTGCCAGTACTTTTCCGGCGCTCGGTCGAGGCCGGGGAAGGTGTGAAGGTGGACGTGGAAGAGGTGTCGGAGAATGAGCGGCTCTTGGAGATCTTCCGTCTCCCGCATTGTGTCGTCGTTGGCATATGGGTCGCGCGCCGACCGCGCAAACTCGCCGTCCTCGGACTTGTCGAACGTCTTGACTCGAGCCAGCTTGGATCTCGTGCTCGAGAACGGATATCCGTACTCTGTCAGCGCACCGAGTTTCTCAAGCTCACTCCATTCGCTCTGCATCTGCAGCATCACCAGCGCTTTGAGGAGGTAATGGCGCTGCTGGGGCGTCAGCGGGCGCACAGACTCGCCGCGTGTAGCGGGGCCGCGGCCGCCGTGCGGCTTCCGCCGACTCTGCCTGCGTGCCTCTAGGCGTTCCTCTTTGGCGCGCTCGGCTTCGCGGATGGCCAAGAGTTTCTTGGCCTCGGCGTCTTCGCGTTCGCGGATCGCACGGTCACGCGCTTCGGACTTCTCCCGTTCCTTGCGCTCCATCGCCGAACGCCGGGCCTCTTTGGCCTCGAGCTTCTCTCGCTCTTTCGCATTTCGCGCTTGTTCGCGCTCTGCCTTCTTGGCCTCCCTGTCCTTGATGGCGGCGGCAGCGGCGGCTGCCGCGGCAGCCTCCTTGGCCTTTCGCTTTTCGTCCTTGCGCGCCGCCTTGGCTGCGATGAGGCGCTGCGACTCGGCTTCACGCTCGAGCTCGGCCTGCTCCACCCGCAGGCGCTCCTTTTCAGCCTCGGCTGCGAGTTTGCGCTGAGCGGCAGCATTCGGCGATTCGTGCGACTTGCGACCGTTGAGGGCTCCAGCGGCCAGCGCACCCGCAACCACGGCAGCCCCAGCTCCTGCCACGATAGCCGGGGCGGCACGCGCCTTGGACTGAGACGCTGGCGATACGGTAGGAGCCACCGCGGGAGCCGCTGGATCGTCCTCTTCGTCCGATGCCGAAGTCGATGTTCCGGAGTCCTCCTCGGATGAGCTTTCGGTGGATTCGCTCTCTTCCGACACCTCTTCCCCGCCATGCGCGTTTGCACTGGCGGCATGGGCATTGGTCGAGGCGGCCGCCGGTGCAGCAGCGAGCGCGCCCGCCAGAGCTGGGGCAGCTGCGGCTGTGGCCGTCCTGGCCGTACCATTTGCGTCCGACGTGGACGCGTCGCGAGTCGTTGGCTTCTTAATGTCAACTTCGTGGTCATCGTCCTCCTCCTCAGACGATGCAGACGAAGACTGTGAGACGAGAAGAGGTACGCAAGCGCGGTGTAATGCGTGAGCGTCAGCGTGCTCGATGCTCTTCGTTACGAAACGCGCCGTATGGCGAGCTGTTCCACTGCAGCCAAAACTAACCTGTCCGTCGCTCGAATCTTCTTCAGGAATGGCCGCAGGGAGCGAGGCAGGCGCCGCGCCTGCCGGAGCTGCCGTGCCAAGCACAATGGTGCTGAGCGCGTCGTCGTCGTGCACGTCGGGCGCCTCGTGCGCATCCTCGAGCAGCTCGCTGTCAATCGAGGAAACCGACGATCCCGAGTCCGAGTCCGGGTCGGACGGAGCAGCCGCGCCGATGGCGACGCCAGTTGCAGCAGCTGCGGCAGCGGCCGACGCCTTCTTGCTCCTGTCGTGTGGTGCGGCCGGCTTTGGAGCGTCAAGGATGGCGGCACCGCGGTTGCGTTCGAGCGATTCGAGTGTCTTCTGTCGCTCGCTGTTTCTCGAAGAGCCGGTCCTCTTGCTGGTAGCCCGTCCGAGGGACTCGTGCTCGTTTTTGGCGCTCGGCACGTCTCCGCTGAGCCACTGTGGGTGTGACTCGTCAAACACGCGCGAGCGTCGGACGCCGCCGACGAGGCCGAGTGCTTCTTTGGCTAGCCTCTCTTCCTCGGCGGGATCGACCTCGTCGATACGTGCGCCGCCGCGCTCCGAAGCGTCGGTCCGCTTGACGGTGTTATAGCGCGTGAGGCGACCCGATGGAGGCGGCGCCTGGCTCGGGCGTTGGAAGCTGGAGGACGACAGGACGCGGCTCAGGACGCTCCTGCGTTTGCTGCCCGCCCTCAGCTCGTGGTCGAGCAGGTCATCGCCACGTGCCTCTCGTCCGTAGGTGCTGGGACGTGTCGCAGCTGCATCGTGGGGGACCGATCGAGAGCGAGCGCGGGGAGCCGGCTCCTGGGCGTCTTCGTACGGCTCGAGGTCGCGTCCGTTGGCGCCCCGGCGAGATGCTGGGACCTTGGAGAAGCCGCGAGCGCCCGCCGGCGTGAGATCGTCGCTGTCTTCACCGCTTTCTTCGCGTTCAACTTCGTCACGAGGATCGCGGTCAAGCTGACGGTGAGGCCTGCGGTCCCTGGTCCTGTCCCTGTCCGAGTCGATGCGTCGATCGCGGTCGTAAGTAGACCTCTCTGCGCGGAGCGATGCAGGTGCATCAGCTTTTGCGCTCCGAGTCGGTCTGCGGTCACGTTCTCGTTCCGCGAAGAAGTCGTCGTTGGAGTAGGCGGGAGGGATGGCTGGCCTGCGGGCATCGAGGGTGCGGCTGCGATCAGCCTTGCGCGACGAGATGCTCTCGTGGCGGGTGCGGTAAGGCCTGCCGCTGGAATCGTAGTAGTCGCGATCGTAGTCTCGCTGATCTCGTTGGCGTCGGCGATCGGGATCGGTGTTGGCGTTGTATCTGCCGTTGGGCAATGCGGGTTCGCGGCCGTTGGGGTTGTAGGACTGGTTGTAGGAGCGCTCGCTGCGCTGGCGAGCATTGCTGCCGGCGCGAGATCGGCGAGTGCCTTGGGGGCGACCGGGGTCGTAGGTGGGGCTGGCAGGGGTAGGTATATCTTGTCTGGGGGGCAGGCCGATGGATGAGAGGATGCTCTCGCGATCCGGGGGAGGCCTGCGAAGACCGGGTGCCATCGTGAGAGGCGGTGCGCTCCTCTAAGGATGCGGCCGTAGGATGGAGAGGCTGGAAGGATGTGACGGGAAGGTAGCCAATCTGCTCGCGGAGAGGTTGGCCTGTGGTTGATCAAGGAGCGGACGAGCGGTGAAGGTGATGGCGTCGAGGAACAAAGCAGCTGCCGATGGGAGCAGGGGGATGGAGAGCCCACGAGAACCGAGCGCAGCGGGCGGGCACGCCTTTGCCCAGACAACTGCAGGCCAAACGCGGGGAGAGGGTAGGCCTGCCAGGCCAAGCCCACACAAGGCCGCAACGCACAGGCAGGTTGAATGGGCCCGGGTCCAGGGCAGAGGCCACACTACTCAGGCGGGCGCGCAGTCGGGCAGGCGGGCAAACGGGCAGGCAAGCAAACCAGCTGCTACACGGGGTGCCTAGCCTGGCTGCGGGCTGGGTCTCGTTTGGCCGAGCACCACGCCGCAAAGGGACGGCCAGCCGGCAGGCAGAAGCTGGGCCTGCTAGGTAGCTCGGTTGAAAGAGCAAGCAAGCAGCAAGCAAGCAGCGACGCGCGCGCGTGCTTGCTTGCCTGGGTGCGTGCGTTTCGCGCTGTGTGCGCCGCCTGGCCCCGCCCGGGCAGCCGAAAAGACAGCAGCCAGCCAACATCCGGCCTAGCTGGGCGGCACGCTCACATGCGGAAGAAGTCCCGCATGCATGCGAACAAAGCTGGCAGGCAAGCCGGCAGCCAGCCAGGCAGGCAAGCGAGCCTTGCTTGGTTGATCCTCATTCGGCCATCACCTCGTCGGCCGCCTGGGACACGCACACGGCTCAATGGCGCCCCACACCTGGCTTGCCCGCCTGCACCGTTCGTGGTGGTCGAGAAGCGCTGCGAGAGCCAGAATGTGAGAGAAAGCGGCGCGGGGCCTGCGGGGGAACGAATGAGAATCTGCCACACAACGGCCACAGGTGAAAGCGCGGAGATGGCAGCATGCATGCGCCTCGATGATCGCACGCCGTTTTCCGGTACGGTGCGCGTGTTCGTGTAGCGTGTGTGCAGCGCGTGCATCGTACACCTCTGCTCTGCCAAGCAGGCAGGCACGCACAGAGAGAGAGAGAGAGGGCGAGCTGCAACGAGGACCACCGGGATCGCGCTGCTCCTCGTCGGAGCGAGGCAGGCGACTGAACGCGGCGGCGGGGGCTCGAAAGGGATCACGGGAGATTCAGCCTGGATTCGCAAAGGTGAACAGGCAGAGCTACGGCGACATGGTACACGGAGACAGAGGACCGCATGCTGGACAGAGTGTAACGACGAGACACGACCAAAGAGAGAGAGAAGCGAGCGGGAACAAACAAGTGCGCAGAGCGGGGCGAGAGCGAGAGCCGCGGCCGACGTCGTCAAGCCCGGCCGGCCGCCTTGGCCTTGACCTGCTTCTTGCCCGCCTTGTCGAGCGCCTTCTTCTTCTGCTCGAGCTTGGTCTTCTCCTCGCTCCGCTTGTTGGCGCTGTAGCTGAGCTTGTTGTACAGCTTGCGGCTGCGGTTGCTCATCATCATCTGCGCCATCTCCTTGGCCTCGTCGTCCTCGCTCTTGCCTCCCTGCCGGCCGCTGCGGGCACCGCCGCCGACCGCCTTGGCCTGCTTCCTGGCCGCCTTGATGGCCGCCTCGTGCTTGGTCCGCACCTCGTCCAGCGCATCCTCGCCGCCGACGGCTTCGGCCTCGAGCTCGGCAGCGTCCAGCAGTCCCGCCGATGCCGCGTCAAGAGGGTCGGCCAGCAGCGCAGCCAGCGCGGGCCGCTTCGACACGTCCACCGAGGCGGCCTTGGCCTTGACCTTGGCCTTGTCCTTGCCCTGGACCGCGCTCTTGCCGTCTGCATCGGCCTCGTCCTCGTCCTCGTCGACCATCGATCCGTCCCCGTCGTCGACATCCGCGTCCTCATCGCTGCTGTCGTCGTCGGACCCCTGCTCCTGCTCGTCCTCGATGCCGAGCTCGGCCCGCGCCTCGGCAGGGACGTACCCGCCACGGCGGGCCACCTCTGCCGAGTCGACAAAGGGACTCAGGTGCGGCGGCAGCGTCTGCCCCGGTCCATAGGGCTCGGTCGGCAGCAGGCGGCGCGCGTTGGCGCAGTCGACGATCCACTGCGGCTGAACGAACACCCGAGCGCCGCCGTACTTCTTCCGGCCGTTGGCCGGGATCGGCCGGTCAACGATGTGGTGGGTGATCCGCGCGTCGGTTTCGCTCACAGCGCTGCCGGCGCCCGCCACCTCGTCCCACCCCACCTTGGCCGCCGAGGCGCCAAACGACTTGAGGACGAACTCGAGGATGGGCCGCGGGCATTCGCGCGAGATGTAGAAGGTATACGGCGTGAAGAGCGTCGTTGCTGCCCCATCACCCTCGGCTGATGCCGCCTGGATCTCGGCCAGCGTCGTGAGGCCGGCCCCGGACTGCTCCTGGTCGTCGGCCGTCTTGGACGGCTGCTCGACGAAGCGCTCGTCGGCCTCGTCGCCGGCCGTGGTCGAGGCCTCGGCGCCGACGGTGTCGTCCTCCTGCACCTCGGACATCGCGTCCGCGCCGCCTGCCGCCGCTCCGCTGCGGCTGATCTCGCGGATCTGCTTCTTGATGACCTTCTGCGACAGCTTCTTGGCAGCCTCCTGGCCGCTGCCGCTGGCCGACGCCGAAGCATCGCCGCTGGCATTCTCGCCCCGCAGCACGGCGGCGCTGGCAGCGTCGAGCGTCAGGGCGCCCACGCCCGCACCCGCCGCGTCCTTGTCCTGATCAAACTTTGGCGGGTAGACGAGGTTCTCGTCGGTGTACAGCTTGAACAAGACGAAGCCAAGCAGCGTCTGGTACAGCTCCAGGAAGGTCATCATGATCCTGAAGTCGATGTCCGAAGGGATCTGTGCGTCGGTGCGAGGGTAGGTGCAAGTCCGCGGAAGATGAGGTGAGCGCGCTCATCGAGGGGAGAAGGGGAATCGTCCGGCCAGCTCTCCAGTTGGAAGACGACATGCACTCACGTTCTGGGTAAACATGTACGGGACGAGCCAGGTGATGGTCTGGCCGCGGACCTCGGCCTGGAAGTAGACGCCCTTGATGCTGAGGAAGACCTTTCGGAGAGCCTTTGCCTTCATGACGTAGAGCTGCCACTCTGCGCAGAGCCTGGCGCAGTTGGAGACGACATCGGCGTGCACACGCTCGCTCGCCGGCAGATTGGCAAACAGCGTAAGGAGCGAGAGGGCGTCGTCGATATCCTTGAGCGAGTCGTCGAAAGTGGGATAGCGCTCCTTGATGATGTGGTCGAGGCGGTAGACGGGCTTGTTGTCGTGGAGGTTCTTGGCCAGCTGCCACTCCTTGCGCCCGATGGCCTTGGAGAGCTTCTTGGCAAACGTCTTGTGCTCACGCAGCTTCTGGATGACGGGCTCGTGGGCCAGGTAGGCGATGTCCTTGGCGTAGAAGAAGGTCGTAGGCGCCGTCTTTCCCCGGTTGGCCTTCTTGACATTCTTGGGCTGGCGCGGGAAGATGCCCTTGAGGATGCAGAGCCTTCGAAAGTCGGCCAGCGTCACCTGCAGCTTCTTGAGCGCACGGTTACGGGTGATGTAGTTCTTGGCGGCGCCGGAGCGTCCCTTCTTGCGCATTCGGGCCATGGCGGGCGAGATTCGTGAGTGTGATGTGACGAAGGAGCGAGGGAACGACCGATCAGAGGGAGCAGAGGGTCTAGTTGCAGGTGAAGGAGGAGCAAGGCTGATGTGGTCGGTGGCCAACGCCGCTGCCCGGGCTGACTTTGGCCCTCGCCCCTGGCGGCGCAAATTTTTTGAGAAGCTCGCAGAATTCTCCTCGGGACTCGGAAGGCCCAGCGAAAAGGGTCGCGCGCTCCACACGGCGTACCTCACTCGAACACCCCGCGCTGCACGCCAGAAGACCGGCCAGGGGCAGGCCTGGCAGGCCTGACTTGCCAGGCCTGAGCTAGACGGCGTCAAGGCTCCGCGTGCACAACCTGCTCAGCACGGCCGCTCTCCGCCAGTGTCATCACCGCCGCCACCGCCGTCACCCCGTCTCCCCAGCCTTTCCGCTCGTCGTATCAAGGCAAAGGAGCGGCCTCATTCTTCGACGCTCTCCTGTTCTTCAACATGAGTCAACGCTGCTCGTCACCTTGCTCTGGTTTTCCGCTTCGCCACGAAGCCTGCTCAGTAGGATTTCGGCAGACCAAGCACCCGCTGTCCGAGGTAGTTCAGAATCATCTCGCGGCTGCAGAGCACAGAGAGGCAATCAGGACAGAGAAGAGAGGTCGCTTTCAGCCTTTTGCCATGTCGACGGTGGAAAGCGGACAAGGGCACAACGGGACCCACCTGACCGGCGCCAACCGTGGGACGAAGCTGAGATGGCGTCGCAAAAAGGGGGGAAGAGGAACGTCAGAGTGACAGGTGACGACGACCGGGCGATCTCGCGGCGCCCTGGCTGCGCATGGCTCACATCTCGCGGAGGTATCTCTCGACGTGGTACTCGCGCGCGTATCCCATTCCGCCCATGGTCATGACGGCCGTCTCGCAGGCCTCGTAGCCGGCCTCGGCGGCCATGTACTTTGCCGCATTGGCCTGGGCCCCAGCGTCGGCGGCGCGCTCGTCGTACATCCTGGCTGCGGCGTAGGTGAGGTGGCGGGCCGCTTCGAGCTTGGCCCACGCCTTGGCGAGCGGGTGCTGGATGGCCTGCATGGCTCCAATCGGCTTGCCAAAGACGACGCGGTCAGATGCGTACTGCACAGCCTTGCGGAGCGCCGCGTAGCCCGTCCCCAGCGCCTCTCCCGCCAGGAGGCATCGCTCGGCGTTCATGCCGTGGAGCACGTAGCGGAAGCCGTCGCCCTCGACGCCAATGAGATGCGAGGCCGGGACCTCGAAGTTGTCGAAAAAGACCTCGTTGGCGTCGACCGTGTTGCCGCCCATCTTTGCAATCTTGCGCATCTCGAGCCCGGGCAGAAGCCTGGACTCGTCCTCGGGCACGTGCGGCGTGTTGGGCCGGCGGCGCAGCGGGGCAAACAGCAGCGAGAGGCCGCCCGACCTCTTTTCTGCCGTCGCCTCGCCGGTGCGTACGAGGAGCACGCAGTGACTCGCCACCTGGGCGCTGCTTGTCCAGATCTTGCTGCCGTTGACGACGTAAACGTCGCCCCTGCGCTCGGCCTTTGTCGTTAGCTTGAGGGTCTCGAGGCCCGTGGTGGGCTCCGTGACGCCAAAGCAGCTGCGAATGCGGCCGTCGATCATCTGCGGGAGCCAGCTGCGCTTCTGCTCCTCTGAAGCGAACTCAATTAGGGGCATGAGCGGGTAGACGTTGGCGTGGATGCTCTGCGCGCCGGCGATGGAGGCGCCGCTCTCTGCAATGGTCTGTAGCATCACTGTGGCCTCGCTGATACCCAGACCGACGCCACCGAGCTCCGGGGGCATGCATATGCCTAGCCAGTTGCCCGCCGCGAGGGCGTCGTAGAGCTCGTGCGGGTAGGTCTGGCTCGCGTCGCGCTCGGCCCAGTAGGTGTCGGGGAACTTTGTGCAGAGGGCCGAGACTGCCTCTCGCACATCGCGCTGCGTCTCCGTCAAGCCGGCGGGCGACATGCCGGTGAAGGTCGAAGTGGACCGGCGCGGAGTAGAATGGAAACGGCACCGGTGAAGCGGCCCTGCTGGCATGCGCGGCGCCGGAGCAGGAGAGGGAGCGCCGGCTGCCATCGTCCTTGCGAGTGGCAAACACGCCCCCCGGGAGGTGCACGCGCTTGCGATTCGTATAGAGGCCATCGTTTCCTGAAGCGCCACCCGCGGCCCAGTCGGAGTGGTGGGGATGATGCCGGTGGTGTTGGGATGGTGGGTGACGGTCGGAGGCCAACGGACAGCAGGGCCCGGGCGGTGCTGCCACCTTTGACCTGTGTGCGGGGTAGACAGGCGGGCGCATAGGGTCTGGCAGGCCACACTGCGCTTTTACGCCGCCTCGCCTTCTTGCCATCTTCATCAGTTGTTGCGTACCGGCCCTCGCCGCCCATCGTCCGACCTTGCCTGCTTGCTTGCCCGAGCTTGGTTCTGCACCGCAGCTCCGCTCCTCCTCATCCTCCACCCTTCGTCGTCGCGATGCCATGGAAGCTCTGTCTTCCCCTGGTCGATCCGATCCCCAGCACTCGGTCGTAGGGCTCGGAAGCAACCTGTTTCGACAGATCCGCCAAGGCTGCAACCAGGACAAGGAGACGCTCGACCTGGATCACGACGCGGATGAGATCGTCATCGGCCCCGTCGCTTGCGTCGGCATTGACGCTCAACACCAAGCCATCCTCGGCGTCGTGGCCGCCAACTGGTCCCAAATCATATTCCGCTCCGCGCGTCCCGACTCGCTCATCGCCCGGGGTTACGACTACCAGTCCCTTCAACTACACCTCGACCGCATCTGTGCCCAGCCCTGCAACGACTCGAAGGACAGAACAGTGATAGCGTGGCTCGGCGAAGATGCCTTCACCGCTTACATCGATACCGATGGGCTGCTGCAACAGCTGGCCCCGGTGAGCAACGCAAGTGAGGGGCCACGTCGGATCCACGGCCTCGGCCCCTGGCGCACCGCGGCAATGGACAAGCGCGGAAGGATCGTGGCCATCGACCTTGCCGGCAACGCCTATCTCTTCGCCTCGGTTTCGGAGATGATGGCGGCGGCTAATGCTGTCGATTCCGCTGAACTTGAAGACCTCCAGCATCGCTACCGCTTCGCCTTCCCCGGCGCCCCAGATTCGCGGCCCGTCTTCACCGCAGTTGTCGCCGGCTGGGCACACTTCGTTCTCGTGGCCGATTCCGCCATCTGGCCTCTATGGGCGCTAGGGGACACGCGATTCGGAGTGGTGCCAATGCCACCTCGCCTCTCGACGGCAGCAAAGGGAGCTGCGGGCCGCCTTGACGGACGAGAGGAGCGTCCAGACGAGGAACTGCTGGTACCGCTCGAGTTCTTCTCTCGCTTCCGCGCCGGCTTTCCCACCTCGGTGGCGCAGGTCGCTTGCGGAGGCAGGCACGTCCTGGTCCGTACTGACAGCGGCGACGTCTACGGCTGGGGCTGGAACGGACAGGGTCAGATCTGTCGGCTCCAACAGCAGCCCGGCGGCGTCCACGACGAGGCCCTCACGCAGCCCGTCTTGGTCGAGCTGCCGGTGCAACGGGGCCAGGCGGAGCCCGTCATTGTCGACATTGCCTGCGGATCGGATCATTCGGTGCTCGTCGGTCAACACGGAGAGCTCTGGATCGCTGGCTCAAGTGGGTGGCGTCGTGGCGGACGCGGTAGAGTTGGGACCATGCTGACCAGCCACTGATCTTTTGTCCCGTCCCCGTTCACAGACGAGCATGGCCAGCTCGGCATGTCATGGCCGTCGAGGCAGAGCAGTCCGTCCGACGCAGACGAGTCGCTGCCAACCAGCCTGGACGCCGGCGAGCGAGCCTCCTCTGCTACACAATGGAGACCCTCGCAACATCGAGCGATCTCACAGACGGCAACTCAATGGCCATGCAGCGACGGCCCGATATCTCATCCAGCCTTCGGACCGCGGAGGCCATACGCAGCTCAGCACGCCATCTGCGGCGGCTGGAACACGGTCATTGATGTTGTTACCTCGACAGAGCCGGAACCGTGCAGCGCAAAGACGATGGCAGAACATGGACCGGCGTAGCATGTTGGCGGTTCGAACCATCTGTTGCGCCTCGGCCCGTTCCTGCGACGTGCGAGGAACGAGATCGCTCTTTCGAATTGAAAGCGGAGGCCCCGTGCTGGCGCTCAAACATCTGCCATCGAGACATCACCATCCCCAGGGCCTTGCCCGACTGTGTTCTCGGAGCCGACTTCTTGGACTCTTGCCTCGGTGTCCAGGATGTCGTCGGCGTGGCGCACGTCTGTGCCAGGTTCGATTGAGACGACGCCTCTCGTCTCGATGTCCTCGACCTTGGCATCGGCGGAGGGTGGAAGCGCAGCCTCCGCTTCTCGCTCCGTGTTGCCCTGCTCGCCTCCCGCCATCCTTGCGGCCGCTCCGCTACCGCTGCCACCGCTGTCATCGCCGTCTTCCGCCTGCGGCTGCTCTGTCGCAGCGGTCGCTTGATGATCCTCGTACGACAGGCCCGACGGCGGAGGATGGAGCTCGCCGGCGACCTGCGGGTGCGCCTGCGGGGTCTCGTCGCGGGACTGAGACTGGGATGGATCGAGAGACGACGGCGGCAAAGCCGATCCGGACGTGTCGGCCTCGGCCGCGGACGAGGCGGAGGGTGTGACGGTTCCCGAGACGGGGAGCGAGTCGATGCCCGAGATGTGTGGAGGGATCGCAGACGCAACTGTCGGGGCCGCCGCATGTGGTGCTGCCGACGAAGCCTCCCCAGAGTTCGCAGCCGTGGCATCTGTATCGGCAGCGGTGGAGAGAGCGGATGCGTCGACAGGAGGAGCGATGCTGCCCAAGCCGCCCGCCGCGCCGCCCGTCAAGCTGGCTGCGGTTTCGACCGGGGCTAGGGGCGCGGCCGCTGCCACAGTCACCGCGGGTGCCGATCCCGCGGCGACTGGGTCGAGGTCCATGGGCCCGGCATACTCCTGATCCTCTTCCTCGGGGAACTCGGCTGTGGCGTTGGTCTTGACCCACTTGAGGATCTTGAGGCCGCCGTCGTTTTTGGTGCTGCCTGAAGCGGCGGCTGCATCCGCCGCCACGCCGCCAGCCGACGACGCGGGCAGAACCCACTCCTGCCTCCAGACGCTGACGAGAGGCGAGCGTGATGGAAGGCGGGGGTGGTCGACTTGTCGACCGGGGTCAGTGGACTGAGCGCCCAAGCGATTCGACGACGGGCTGCGCGGGTCAATGACTCACGCTACAGGTTCCTTAACCGCCCTCCTCATCTCCTGCTCCAGCACGGGAATGTACCGTCCGCGAACGTGCGACATGGTGGCGGCCGATCAGAGATGTCGAAGGGTATGGGTTTCGGGTGCGTATGCGGGCACTGGTAGTAGCGTGCTTGCTTTGTCGGGGATGGTGGAAGAAGGCGAAGGCTTGCAGGCAAGGCACGCGCGCAGGGTTCTCCCTCCACGTCCCGTCCACGCTTTGCTCGACTTTCAGTCGCGTCGCTCCGCTCCCTCACATCAACAAGCGGAAACGGCAGGCTAGGCCGTGTACGAGCTTCAAGACGCCACGACGGCGACGACGATTCACAACCACCAGAGAGAGTTCGGCCGTATCCACAAAAGGCAGCACAGCTTGGTACGTCGACCCGCCACAGGAGCTTTCGATCCGTGCGGCCATTGAGCAGAAAAGGGATGCGCGCGCGGCAAGTCGACTCACGGGAGCCAGCCGAAAGACAGTCCGGCTCATGGTCCCCGAGATCCAACACCGTCAACTGGCATCGCAATGCGACAAGGTCAGCTAAGGGCGGGGCGACACTCTACTGTCAGTCAGAAGGCAGAACAGGTTTGCAGTGCGGAAGCGCGACGATTGTCCAGCGGCGCGTGCGTCAGCAGCGCCGTATGGCGCGCGACGTCAACGAAGTCGATGAAGTAATAGCTGAGGTACCGGAGCGACCGATAGCCGCAGCGAGGAGAAGAGAGTCATGGGGAGACGAGCAGCAGCAGCAAGAACCACCTATCTATCCCACGACCAAGGCGACCAAGACCGCCAGCCACTGCCTCAGAGCAGAGCAAGGGCTGCAACGCCAAAGACGGCGCTGCCCACAACGGCGGCAGCCGACGCAACCTTGAAGCTCGAAGAGGCCGACGAGGGCTGGTTGCCCGAGTTGAACTTGCTGAAGTCGATGCCGCTGCTGGTAGCGGTCGAGGCAGAGGCCGAGGCCGAGCCGGAGCGGGAGGCGGTCGAGGTAGGGGCAGCCGACGTGGGAGCAGCCGACGACGAGGCGGCCGAAGTAGAGGCGGCGGCGCCGCTGCTCGAGCTGGACGACCCGTCGGCGGCGCCGGCAGAGGGCACGGCGCCCTCGATGGCACCGGTGCCCCAGGGAATGGCGGGGCTGCCACCTTCGGGCTGGTTAGCCTCGGGCGGGTCGACAACCTTTCCGCTGGCGTCGGCGATGGCGAAGCGAGTGGTCCAGGTGGGCTCCTGGTCGTTGTGGGTAAACTGGAAGAAGTAGATCTTGGCGTTGGGGTTGACGGCGGGGGCGGTCCACTGCAGCTTTCCGCCGCCAGCGGCGGTGCCGTCGACCTTGGAGGCGATGGTAGCGAGCTCCGTCATGTGCTGGTTGCTGCCGGTCATGAACTTGATCTCCATGCTCTTCCAGGCGTCGTTGGTGGTGGGGGTCCACTGGATGAGGAGGGGCTGGCCCTCGTTGACCTGGTTGGGCGTGAGCGGGACGGGGGCGTCGCCAGCGGCCTGACGGGCGACAAATTTGGGATGCCTGCTTCCGGAAGACGAGGCGCTGACCGAGGCGAGGCCGGCGAGGGCAACGAGGGCCGACGAGAGACTGAAGAGCTGCATGCTGAAGCGCGGACAAGGAGCGAGAGTGGCGATTGCCGGTAGGGGATCGAAGCACGAGGTTGGCCGATGACGGGTATCGGGTCGAAAGGATGAAAACGAGCGACGGGGCGGAGGACGGGGTAGAGGACGAGTGGCGTGGGACGTGGAGAGAGAGAGGAAAGGGGGGTAAGGGACGGACAGGCTGTGCGGGTTCGCTTTAAGAAGTCCGACGAGGGGAAAGAGCGGGGCGGTAAGAAGAGGAGCGGCAAAGGAGTGTGGACGGTGAGGCCGTGGGTCCGTACGCTTTGCGATGGAGAGGGAGAGGGAGAGGAGCGAAGATGAGAGGGGGGGCGAGGATGGCGGAGGGTGGGTTGGAAGGGGGCGAAGGTGAAGGTGAAGCGGCACAGTACCTGTTTGAGGACCAAAAGAGGGGCTCAAGGCAGGCCGGGCGGGCGGCCAAGCGCACACACGCACGCCCTTCGGCACGCCAAGCAACACTCGACCGCACCCTCACTCGGCGGCGTGCCTTTGTCGTCGCCCGGCGACCCTCACAAAAACATTCACCCACACTTACCCCCTCCTAACTGTGGCTGCAGAGCCCACCGAGGGGTCGCTCCATCTCTGGCTCTCTGACTGCTTGTCGAGCACGGCGTACGTACAGAAGAGGCGGTACGTCTTGCATGGCGCCCCCGACTCCGAGATGATGTCCAACCGAGGTCAAATGGCCTCAGTAGTCGCAGTCGCATTCTTCGATGCAGATGCCGTGGCAGGCAAGCACGCTGGCACCGCGGGGGAGACGTCCGTGGATCGTCGTGGTTCCGGGGCACCGACGGCGCCGACGACGCCGGACGTACGTACGTACAGCTAGCAGAACGGCGGAACGACACATGGCCGCATCGAACCGAGTCGGCTTCGGACGTTCGTCGCCGCAGCCGCCGCCGCCGCCGCCGCCGTCGTCGTCGTCTGGAATCCGCGGCTGGAAGTTTCCCCTCCTCGGCGCAGGAGCGAAGCTGATCTGCAACCGAACCCCGGAGACCCGTGCCCGCCCCGCTCGCCAAGACGTACGCGGCCTTCATGTCCTCTATTGTGCGTCTGCGACTGAAGACTGGGTCGGCAACCCGTCGAGGGTGATCCGTGTGACCTCTGACAGGTAGGAGGGTGTGGTACGCGCAACAGGATGGCAGAAGGCACAGGCAAGACTTGCCGCAGCCTCTAGGCAGTCTTCGTTTGCTCCTTGGGTGACGACGGACCACGGCAGACATCACACAACGCAGATGATGCACCAGCGCACACGAGCTCAAACAACAGCTGCGAGCGATTCCACATCATTGTTGATGACCTGCTCGCCATCTACAGAGGACCGAAAGATTCAATGATGAGGTGGGGGAGCGATTCGGTCCTAGATCAGCCACCGTCGGGCCATGCTCCCAGCCTGCCCGTGTTGCTGCCACTCGATCCGTCAGAATTGCCTTTTACACTCTTCCAAGGACTCGACTCCATCAGCTGGTCATCCCCTTCAACTCGCGACGAGACTGACAAGGCAGTGCGGCGCAAAGATGAACGGGGCCGCCCGACCGGGTGAGAAGAGCCCTTGCCACATCGGCCGCAGCCCCGACCAGGCCGACAGACGTCGCGACGCCTCTCGGGACCAGACCAGGATGCCGCTGCCTCGGATGGCCTTTCGGATGTTGCTGTCGTCCTTCGGATCGGTGGGCAGAGCAACAGCCTGTGCAGAGGGGTTCCCACACTCACCGTTTGAGGTCAGTCGACAGAACCCTCTCTACCTCTTGTCACGCCCGGGTCGCCGTTGTCGACGACTGCTCAGGGGGTGGAGCAGTAGGTAGGAAGGACAATGGCGATGGATTTGGCAATACCGGGCGGGCCTCATCCTTACACGACGTCGAGCATATGCGCGGCACAAAACAGAAGATGGCGAGACAAGTTGAGAAGGAGGGAGCGAAGGGAGCAAGGAGGGGAGGAGGGGAGGTATGTCGGGGCAATAGGTCATCCCTGAATCATGGGCGCAGCGACGATGTACGTCGGCGCCTCCCAACAATGGTTTTAATGAGCCTTGTTCTTCTTCCCGCCGTGTCGTCGAGACGCCCATACCGCTGGCCTCGCCCTCAACTGGTCCCTCGAGCCCGCCGCCGAGTCTCACGAAGAGACTGCAAAGCAGCCGGCAAGAGGGCGACAGATTTGCAATGGCGAGCGAGGCCGGGCTGCGGCTCAACCGATCAAGGTGGCCACTGGGCGTCGACATGATTCTGGCGGGTGTGTGGGTAGTGGGCGGAGAAAGGAGGTGAAGCGGGAAATGACGAGGAGCTGGGGCAGGATCAGGGTAGGGCAGGCTCCAGGTCCGACGGCGAGGGACACGAGGCGAAGCGAAGACGGTAGCGTTGATCGGCGAATGACACAGACGGCGACACGGTCGAGCATCTGATGGGCGTGCGACGGTCCTATTGCGCAGCAAGGAGCAAAAGGTGCGGGAGAGACGGAAGGGAATGGTGATGGTTGGCGTGATGGAAGCAAGCACGGGCAGCGGGTGCCCTTTTTCTTCTCAAGTCGAGGTCGAGAGCAGAAGCAAGGAAAAAAAGATCGGCTGCGGGTAGCGGCTGCGGTTAGGCTCTCGTGCGACAAGAGGCTAAGGGCCGTGCTCGAGCCAGGGTCCCGCCGTGGGCTGCTCCACTTCAACGTTGGCCAAGAGCCTGCCTCCTCGCTCACCTCTTCCTCCATCGCCCGGCTCTCTCTCGCCACACACCGGAGAGCTTCAGCCTTCTTTCCTCCCTCTGGTCTCAAGGGACTACCGCCGCCAGCCCCGCTCCGAGAAGCGGCCGTGTCGCTCGACGCCCTCCCCTCCACCCGAGTCGCAATGTCGGCGCCGCGAAGGGCCCCACCGGCTGCTCGCAACGCTGCGGGCCGCCCTGGCGCCGGACCCTCATCGTCGCGACCCTCGGCGCCGCCGCCCAACCTGGGCCCCAAGGGCATCGTGGACAAGAGTGGGAGGGTGAGCGAGTTTGCCTCTCCCGATGACAAGTGCCCGCAGTGCAAGACCGACCGCTACCTCAACCCGCGGCTGCGCCTCCTCGTGAGCCCGTGCTATCACAAGATGTGCGAGTCCTGCATCGACCGCATATTCTCTCTCGGACCTGCGCCCTGCCCAGATTGCGGCAAAAAGGTCTCCAAGAATCAGTTCACTGCCCAGACCTTTCAGGACCTCGGCGTCGAACGCGAGGTGGCCGTGCGCAAAAACGTCGCCAAGCTCTTCAACCGCCGCGAGGAGGACTTTCCCGACCTGACGGCGTACAACAACTACCTCGAGGAGGTCGAGGAGATCACGTTTAACCTCATTCACGAGATCGACCTGCCAAGGACCCAGGCAAAGCTCGAGCAGTATCAGGCGGCCCATCGCTCGGCCATCGCCAACTCGGCCCAGCAGACGCTGCAGGAATCGGAGCGGCAGGCAAAGGCCGACGAAGACGCACGCGAGGCCAAGCGCGCCCGTGGTGAGCGGCTGCGTCTCGTCGAGGAGCGGGAGAAAGAGGAGCGAGAGCGAGAGCGCCTCGAGATCGTCCGCGAGCTCGAACGCGGAGGCGACCCCGACGCCGTCATGGAAAAGCAAAAGAAGCGACAGCAGGAGCGCGAAGAGCGGCTGCAGCGCGAGGAACGGGAAGAGCGGAGGAGGGAAAAGGAGGCGCAGCAACAGGCTGCCCTGGCGGCGGCGGGCGGGGGTGCCGATGCGCTCGACCGACGGGCATGGACCCTCGACATGATCCTCGACTACGAAGGACCGCTTGCTACCCTCGACGATGCCTCGAGCCTCTTCACGGTGCGCAAAGCTCCGACCGCCATGGGCGGGCTCGAGGGCGTACCGCAGAAGTTGGGCGTGGGCTATGAGGACCCGTGGCTCAAGCCGGCATACATCACCAAGGAGCAGATCCAGCGCTACCGCGCCGGCGGCTATGATTGGCAAGACGGTGTGTGGAGGAGGGAGATACGGGCTGCCTGCGAGGGCATCGGCGTCGCGCCCCTTCGAGACGATGACGGCGACGGCGAGCCAGACAGTGGCGCTCGCTCCGGTCACGGGCCCGTCGAGATGGAGGTCGAGGCCTGATTCGCAAGACGACGCATTCCGCAAAAAGACCCGAAAGACCCTGGTCACGATTCCGCCCAGTCCCTGCCACCTTGTACTCTATCTCAGCATCACATCGCACCGACAGCAACGCTTCCCACGATGACATCGGCTCTCTGAAGTCGACATCCGCCTCATGAGGGTATGCAGTATCGATTCATTGAAGACCGGGCAGGCACGCCCGCCCGTCGATTTACGACTGGTCGGCCTGCTGGCGAACCTGGTCCTTGGCTCCGGCGGCATCGGTCATGCTGTCGTTCGCCATCGTGCACAGGTGTGAGGAAGAGGAAGGTTTCGAGACACAGCGAGGGTCAGAGGGGACGATGTGGCCAACTGGGAGTGCAGGCCGACGACGCTCACCCTGCGGCGTCAGGCTGTTCGTTGGCCTTCTGCATTCCGGTGCCAACCTGAGCGTCCTTGTCTCCTGCCTCGAGGAAACCGGAGATCGACCACGGGAGCGTCAGTCCGCGCGCTCATTCGAAGCGACTTCAACGACGTCGTCGACGATGGCCTCTAACGCCGCAGGGACGGAGCGGCAAGGGGACCGCGACTCACCCTGCTCCTTGAGACCGCTGCTGCCCTGGATGCTCCCGAGGTCCTGCTGCAGCTGTCCCGCGGCGCGCTTGGCCGAAGCAGAGTCTCCCGAGGATGCCATGATGGTGATGGGATGACGGTGTGAATGAACGGTGGCGGGAGGGCGTGAATGCGTTCTTCCTGGTCGATATAAGGAGATGAGCAGAGTCAGAGCAACTTCAAACGTCCGTCTCCCTCGTCCGGCCTTATGTACCACTTCTGGCAGCGAGAGGTTCATCTGCACATCCCCCTCTCAACGTGACCCGAAGCGAAGGAGAGGGGAGGTATGCGACGTGTATATGACGACGGGGCATCAAAAGCTGACAGTGCGGCGACCGAGGCGGCGGCCACGTTGCCGTACGAACCGGTACCGGGCACCGGCACGACGAGGAGGTGACGACGAGACGGTGGATTCGGGGCGGCACCGAGGTTGAGGGCAGATCGGGCGGAAGGGCGCGCCATGGCGCTGCGCCTGGGCACCGGAATTCTCTGTATGACGCAAGCTGCCGAACCTCGGGTGGACCCTGACGCCGGCCAAGATCCCCACCAGGCATCAGCAAGCAGCATGTGGTGGTGACGAAGGGGCATCACCTCGTCACGTCCCGAGGATCCGGTATCGACGCCCTTTCTTCCACGAGTCGGCTTCGTCCGGCGGGCCCCGTGGAGGCCACACTACTCTTTTGCCACCGCTTCGCAAGTCCACCGACGACGGACAACACGTACGCCGGCAGCGAAGGCGGCCGACCCGTATGTACATACAGTAGTTACGTTGCCTACGCCCGTCGAGTCTGCTGGCCTGTGTGTGGATGTGCGTGCGGATGTACCGGTGCGTCTCGTCAGGCACATCGGCCGACGAGGCAGGCCACGCAGGCAGTTGCGCGTGAGCGGTTGGGTGGGTGGTCGGTGGCTGACCGCCGGTGGCCGAGCCTGGCCTGCCTTGCTGGCTTTTGCAGGTCGCTTCTGCGAGGGTCGATGCAGGGCCCCCCGGTGCTCTGCCGCTACAGGCAGGCGAGCGAGAAGGCCCGCAGCCCGTGCGTGCGGCGTGCGTGTGGGGCCAGGCAGGGCCAACCCGAGCAGGCCCACGGGCGAGCGCAGCGTTGCAGCGAACAGGCTGGAACCAGGCGGGACCATCGAGGCAGGCAAGCCAAGCCGAGCCCAACGCAGCGCAGCTCGCCCGTCGTATGTGCGCCTCAACCTGCATCAAATTCGAGCTCTCTCTCCGTCCTCGACTCCCAAGCCTCCCTCTTGTCCCCTCCCCAAAGCCAGCCAACCAGCCCGTCAGTCGACGCAAAAAGAGGGGGCCCCTCGCCCTTTGCACGCTGCGCCGCCGCCTTGCTTGTCTCTCCGCCACGGCCATCTCCACAGCAGCAGCAGCAGCAGCAGCAACCAAGGTTAGCTCGGGTGCCGTCGGCGCACACGCCCTCCTCCGGCCTCGGCCCCGTCCTTTACGAGTCGCTTCTTCCTCGATCTCTTCCTCTACCTCTCCATCGTCCTCGTCCACTTGCTACTACTCTGCGGTCCTCGGCCTGATCCTTCACCGCTCCCGCTTCGACGCCAATCCCGCAACCCTGTTTGGTGTACGATAGCCGTGCCGACCCTGCTCTCCCATCCCGAAGCCTTTGCGACCGACGATCGACACTCAGACACTCGCCGGCGGCCCGCCCGAAACGCCGTAGGCCCGCTGACCGCCGTCGGAACCTCTTCCGAGGCCTGCTTGTGCCAAGGCGACGCAGAGGACGGAAGTCGGGCCGATCCACCTGACGTTTCGGGACGCTTCCGGCCATCGCCGCCGGTCTCATCCTTGCTGAGGTTGGGGACTCGTATGTACCAACCCGACCTTGAACGGCCAACAATCTCTTCACTCCCGACACCGCGCACAGCAGCGCTGTCTGCCGACACTGCCCGACGTCTGATTTCCCGTCACTCGACCTTTACTGCTGCAAACTCGTTTGCCATCTCCAGCCCATTATCGACCCCAACACTGCTCTACTCTCCGACGGGTTCCTTCATCGAGGCTCCGATAGCCGCTGCCCTAGTCTGGCATGGGCAACACCACCTCCCATCCGGCGCAGGACCCCGCCGGTGGGCCCTCGGACCTCCAACGCGCGCGCTCACCCAGCGTCCGGCGGTACCACAGCATCGCCCACGCTAGCCTCGCTCACACCGGTCAAAAAGCAGGTGCCGCCCTCACCAACTCGAGGTCCGCCACCAGGGGCACGCCCGTCTTTGGCCGCATCAGCAGTCACGATGAGTCCTCAAGCAGCCCAAACAGGTCTCGCTCCCGCAGCGGCAGCGTGACCGGCTTCTGGTCCTCCCACCGTCGCGGCTCAGACACGGGCGACCTCAAGGAACAGAGCCCGCTCAGCAAGCAGGTCGAGCGGTCAGAGGAACAGATCAGCATGATACCAGAGTACGAGATTGCGACGCCTTCTGGCAACTCGGCGTTGGAATCCGTCGTGAGGTGAGCATCTCTCTCTCTCTCTTGGCTGCTATGACATGGCCGCTTCGCCCTTTCATCCTCAGAAATCGACGTCGAGGTGGCGACTGACCAAGCCTGGCCCTCTCTGTCCTGCTTTCCCATGCAACACAGAAAGAGCCCCTCTGCATCCAGAAAGGCGACAGGAGACGCTGGCACGCCAGGGACGCCACAGGGCTTCGACCCGCGCCATTTTGTATCGCCCCACCCCAGCCCCTCGGTGGCCACGCATGCGCATTATGCGTCAGGGACACCTAGCCACCATTCAGCGACGGGATCCGCAGGCTCGGGCCAAGCCTCGACCTCTTCTGCGATAGGCTCTGCCGTCCCGAGCCACACGAGCGTACGTAGCATCGGCGCATCGCAGCCGCAGCAGGTCCCCTCGGTGAGCGCGCACGCCCACCACAAGCTGCCCCTCTTCGGAATCGGCGGCGGGGCCGGCAGCATGTTCCCGCAGACCGGGAACAGCCTCAGCACGAATGCAGCCGCTTCGCCACCAGTGAGCGGAGCCAGTCCCGTCGTTTCATCGATGCCCATGTCGGCGCACCCGGCCGACGCCGAGTCGCTGCCCTCAAGACCGCCTGCGGCTCTGCCGTCGTACCTCAAGATCCCCACCACGATACCCAGCACGTACGCATCGGCAACGACGCCCCTAGGAACTGCGTTCGACGCCTCCACGGATCACGACGAGTACGAGCGATCTTCGTCGCCGTCGCCGCTCTCGGACGACGCTAAACACACCAGGCTGCTCAGCGGAGGAGGAGCGGCAGCTGCTGTCCTCGACCCGGTCGACATCGTCATTGGCCCCGGTCACGCCAGCCGCGTCAGCTCGCCGATGGAGGAGCGGCAGATGCACCTCCATTCAGACGCAGGTTTGGAGGCGGCCGCCGCGTCCAGAATGGCCGCCGACGGCTCGGATGACGGGAACGCAGCGCCGATCGACATGGCCGATGAACGGGGTCGGTCCCAGGCCCGCGAGTCTGACTTCGCAGAGGACAATGAGAGGGAACCTCGCAGTCTGGAGCGCGCGACGGCGGAAGAGGCTGCTAATCGGGCCAACTCCAGGACGCCGACGCCGACTCCGGGGACCTACGGCCCACGGGCGCTCACGCCCACAGCGGAAAAGGTCGCGCCCCTACGACCCATCTCGCCGACGTCGACATTTGCCACCTCGGTTGGGCCACCGGCTTCGCCTACGATGCCGCGCAAGCCCTTGATAAGCGTCCAGACCGGAGGCGAGAGCGGCGCCAACACACCAGCGTTGCCGCCAGGCCTAACCTCGGCGCCGCCGAGCGCTGCCGTCCCAGCCTTCACGCGCATGAGCTCGCACGGCAGCGACCAGCCGACGACCCCGACCGGCAAGGCCGCGACGAGCGCCATGCATCCCGCCGATCGTGAGGGCATTTCGGTCCGCTCCGATACGCCTTCGCGCTCGACGGGCAGCAGTCAGATTTCGACGCCGACCAAGGGCCTGTCTGCGGCCCATCACGAGCAGCACCAGCATCAACAGCAGCAACCGCCGCTGATGCCGATCGTACTGACCTGGACTTCGGGCGGACGCGAGGTGTTTGTGACGGGCACGTTCGCCAACGAGTGGCGGTCAAAGATCCTGCTGCACCGATCCAAGCGGGACCACTCGTGCGTGCTGCACCTGCCGCCAGGCACGCATCGGCTCAAGTTCATCGTCGACGATCGGTGGCGCGTGTCGCGGGATCTGCCAACGGCTACCGATGGGGACGGCAACCTGGTCAACTACGTCGAGATCCCCAACGTGGGACCGGCACATCCGGGCCCTCTGAGCGCGCCAGGCGAGGATCTGCCCGACGAGCGGGAACGACGTCGCGGTCACAGCCGGGATCGGAGCAGCAAGATCGATTCGAAGCGGACGACAATGGACCTGATAGAGGAGGCGCGCAAAGCAGCCGCCGCACGTCGGGGCGAGCTCGACGACTTCTTTGGGCCCGATGACGCCCAGGACTCCGAGGACGACTGGACGAGGGAGATTCCGGCATCGTTGCTGGCGGCGCAAGAGGCCGAGGAGGAAGAGCTGAGCGGCGGTGGCGGCGGCGACTCGTCTGAAGGGGCCCGTTCGAGGCCCCAGCACGAGCGGCACGACAGCGGTACGTCGCATGCGGCGTTGCCGAACCCGCCAGCCCTGCCGCGGCAACTCGAGAAGGTGATTCTCAACTCGTCCCCCGCCAACCCAGCGGGCAACGGGGGAGGCGGGACGGTCGACGACAACAGCATCTTGCCAGCTCCGAACCACGTCGTGCTCAACCACCTTACTGCCAGCTCGATCAAGGGCGGCGTACTGGCCGTGGGCACCACGACGCGCTACAAGCGCAAGTACGTCACCACCGTCTACTATCGCCCCGTCCAGGTGTGACGAGGCTTGAAGGGCCGACACGCAGCGGTCCATCCTCGCAGCGCCACTGGCGGCGGCGCACCGCGGCGACGAGGCTCGGCCGACAAGACGAGAAGACAAAGAGACAAACCGAGAGAGGACGGAAAGGCTCCTTCTCCGAAGCTAGCGGACTACAAGGCCCTCGTCCTTTATTCTCCCCACATCTAGCATCGATGCCGGTGGAAGGGTCGTCTGTCCCCCGCTGTCTCCATCGCCACGTCCCCTCTCTTATAGCAGCGCACAGTCTCCGCCACCACCATCCCACGACGCAGGACTTCTGTAACGCATCGCACCGCACCGCACCGCACCGCACCGCATGACGGTGTCGACATCGACCATGACCTCGCAACGACGATACCTTATCTCCTCCGCCTGCCCTCTGCCTTTACGCTGCGAGCGTGCGTGCGATCCACGGCCAGACACGATGACACGGGCTCTGTTCTCCGAGCTCTTCATGGAAAGCGATAGTGATTGAATCCATAGACGGGCGGAGCGACTGATCCGGCCCCTCTTGCGCCGTGGGGCACGGCGTCGGTGCGGGGCGGAAGAGCGGAGTCGCTCGCGCCAAGTCCCGAATGGATGTGGTCGACAAAGCTGTCTCTCAACGGCCCTCCCACGCTATATCGTCTTCCTCGTCGTCGTCGTCGTCGTCATAGGCGTCGTGTTGGTCGTACCGCTGATCGTGGCGATTCGACTCGACGTTTCCCCCTCCCCTCCCTCCTTCGTCTTCGCCATCGCTGTACTGATCGAGTGCGAACCTCGTATCCTCGTGCTCCTGCGAGTCGCGGTCGTCACCGCCGCCGCCGCTGCGATGATGGAGGGGATGGAGTGGAAGCGATTCTGTTGCGTAGGGAGGGCCGAGTCCCTGTTTCGATCCCGTCGAGTCGCGTCAAAGTGTATCGGACCCGGACAGAGGGACGTAGCCGTCACGTCGATGAGGGGTCAGCAGGGCGTTCGGCTTGTCCGATACCGCGAGGCGAGACGAGACGAGGCGAGGCGCGTGTACGTCAAGAGGAGCTCGTTCCAAACTCACCTAATGTTCATCTCTCCGGACCTGCTCGTACTCTCCCCTCCGATCAACGTCTGCGCCCGCCCCAAACAGCCGGCCAAGGAAGCCGGTGTTGGACACCAGGCCAAAGAAGGTGCGCGACTTGCGGCGTTCGTCTGCGGCAACACGCGTGGCAGCGGCACGGGCGGCGCGTTCCTCCTCGCTCTGCATGCGCGGGTGAGAGCTGATGGAGCGTCGGATCGGACGGGCGGCGCCGCCGTCCGTCGACTCGCGGCGGTGTCGACCCGCCTGCGCCTCCTCGTCGTCCTCGTCCTCATCCTCGTCCTCATCATCTTGCGGTACGACGATGCCCTCGTCGCCGAACAGCGCTCCGATCTCTTCGAGCGGCACACCCGCCGTTTCGGGATAGCCAAACTTGCAGGCAGATCGTCGTGGACCGACTCGAGAGCGTCAGCACGTCGGGAACACAAGCGGGTCAGTGTGACAGGCGCGAGCAGTCGCACTCACGTAGACAACAACAAAGGAGCACGCGCAGAAAAAGGCGTGCATCGGGTAGAGTCGCCACTTGATCGTCTCCTGAAGAACTGGCGTGGCTTCGCCGACAATGTAGTTGAACGCCCAGCTGGCCGGGGGTCAACGCAGAAAGGGGGAGTGGGACCGTGGTCAGCTCAGCCCTGCTTCAGCCATCGGCCTGGCGTGCGCCAAAGACTCACTTTGTCGCAGTGGAGAGCGAGGCGCCCTTGGCTCGGAACGCAAGCGGCATAATCTCTGGCGGGAAGAGCCAGGGGATCGGCCCCCACGAGTAACCAAAGAAGGCGTTGTAGACGATCACGCAGCCGACGACGGCCTGGGGCGTGTACGATGCGTCGAGGTAGAGGAACCAGCCGCAGAGGCCTAGGGCGATGCCGCAGACGACGGCCCCCGACATGAGGATGGCGCGCCGCCCCCACAGGTCGACGAGGAACCAGGTGGGCACCGTGGCGAGGACGTAGATGATGCCGTTGATGCCCGTCATGAGCAGCGCGTCCCTGCCGATCCAGCCCGCCGACTCAAAGACGAGCGGGGCGTAGTAGGATATGACGTTGATTCCGTTGAGCTGGGCGAAGGCCTGCGACGACATGGCGATGAGGGTGCGGTACTTGTATTGGCGCCACATGCGCGCGTAGCTGTTGTCGCCCTGCTTGCGCAGGTAGATGACGTTTTCCTTGATCTCGCGGAACTCGAGCTTGGCCTTTGGGTCGTTGGGGTCGCCCTTGCCGTGCAGGTCGGCCAGCACGCGCATGCCCTCCTCGTCGCGGTCGCGGTCCAGCAGCCACCTGGGCGACTCGGGCAGCAGCAGCGAACCGAGGGCGAGCGTCAGCCCGATGACGGCCTGCAGCGACAGCGGCAGCCGCCACGAGATGTCGCTCTCGATGAACGAGGAGCCATAGTCGATCCAGACGCTCGAGGCGTACCCGATGATGTTGCCCGTGAACTCGATGCAGCTCAGCTTGCCCCGGTGCTCGGCGGGAGAGATCTCGCTCTGATACGTCGGCACAATCATGCTCAGGAAACCGACGCCCAGCCCGGACACGATGCGGCCCACCAGCATGCTGTTGAAGCCCGTCGTCAGCGTCTGGATCGTGCCGCCCACCGAAAAGATGACGGCGCCCCAGAACAGCGTCTGCTTGCGTCCAAAAATGTCGGCCAGCTTGCCGCACGCCAGGCTCGTCACCAGCGCGCCCAGCTCCAGGCTCGCAACAAGCGTCCCCACCTCGTACGCCGTCGGATGGTTAAAGTACGCCTTGAAATACGGGCCCGTCAAAATCCCGCTCATTACGCCTTGGTCGTAGCCGAAGAGGAAGACGCCGAGGCTGGCGAAGCAGGTGACGAAGAGCATGAGGGCGTCGCCCTTGATGCCCATTTTGGCGAGCGGGCTGGCGTTGCCCTCCATCGAGATGCGTGGGGCGCGGATGCTGCGTGTCGAGTAGACCGAGTTGGTCGTGGCTGAGCGGTCGCGCCCGGGTCTCGCAGGCGTCGTCGAGTAGTCGTTGGGCGGCGGAGGGACCATGGCGCTGGCGGGCAGCTGGCTGGGCATGGCGGGCGACGAGCCAGTCATCCTGCCGTCGTTGAAGACGACCTGCTCACCGCTGCTCGGCGGTCGCCAAGCGGGGGTGAGGCTGCTTCCGGTGTGTGCCGAGACGTCTGGATCATCGAACGCCGTGGGCGTCTGATCCCAGACGGAAGCCGAGTCGTTGGTCAGGATGGCCACCGGTGCGTCGGTCGATCCGGTCTTCTTTTCGTCGTCGTCGTCGAGATCCACGCCGCTGCTATCCTTGGTGCCCTTGACCGCGGTCGGTTGCTCGCGCTCGTAGGTCGGCGTCTCGGGAGATGCGCCGACGGCGGTGCGCGCCTTTGCGCCCGGCCGGCCCTTTGACAGCTCGACTCCGGTGGCGGCAGCACCGGGGCGGCGTTCGACGGCGGTCGAGGCCGCCAGCACCTGCTCGGCGGCCTGCTGTCGTTTGTTGGCGGCCACCGCGGCGTCCTGGTCCTTCTTGGCGCGGAGCTCCTCGGCCGCCTTGATGCCCCACGAGTCGTTGAAGATGCTCTGAACCTCCTCGAGCGACAGGCGCCGGGTGTCGGGAAACCCGAAGATGCACGCCACCCAACCCAGGGCACAGAGGCCGGCATAGAAGCCGAAGGCGCCGGCGGGCGTAATGGCGCTCATGAGCGAAAGGTAGGTGGCTCCGATGAGCAGGTTGCTGCCCCAGTTGGTCGCCGTGGCCAGACTGGTGCCGATGGCGCGGGACTCGATGCCGAACAGCTCACCCTGCTGCCAGGGGACATTACCCACGCCGAGTCCGTAGCTGGCGACGTAGAAGATCATGGCGAGGATGAGCAGGATGGACCAGCTCTTGGGATAGACAAACCCGGCGTACTTGGCGCCGTCGAGCTCGTTGTTGGTGTGCATGGTGAGGAAGTGGAAGCAGACGGCAGCAAAGGTGAGGCCCAGCACCATGCCAGGGACGGTCCAGAGCATGATCCTGCGGCGGCCGATGATGTCGATGTACTTGAGCGCGACGAGCGTGGCAAGGAAGTTTGTGACGCTGACGATCAGCGAGACGGCCGTCGGGTTCGAGAAGCCGATGGCCGCGAAGATCGTGGCGCTGTAGTACATGAGCGTGTTGAAGCCGCAGAGCTGCTGCAGCGCCTGGAGGCCGCACGCAACGAGCAGCGGACGGCGATTGCTGCCAACGACGAGCATGTTGCGCAGGCGCTGGTAGAGGCTGACGCTGGATCCCTGCTGGCGGGCCGCCTCGACATTGGCGCTGATGACCTCGGCCTTGAGCAGACACTCCTCATAGGTGGCGTGCGGGAAGATGCGCTGGAAGGTGCGCGCCACCTTCTCGACGCGCCCCTTGCGGATGTCGAAGCGGGGCGATTCGGGCAGCCAGAGCATGCTGATGAGCTGGACGATGGCAGGGATGGCGCCGCCGGCGACAGTGTACCGCCAGCCCCCGCTGATCTTTTCGAAGCCGGCACCGACGCCGTAGGCGATGACCTGGCCGAGGGTGATGAAGACGACGTTGACAGTCACCAGGCGGCCCCGGATGTGGGTCGGAGCCAGCTCGCCGATCCAGAGCGGGACAATCATGCTAGCGATGCCGACGCCGAGCCCGACGACGAGGCGGCCGACAATCATGACCCAGAGTCCGTGGCAGGCAGCCTGGATGATGGCGCCCGCGATGAAGATGACGTTTGCGATGGCGATGACGGCCTTCCTGCCGAGCCAGTCGCCGAGGAGGCCCGCACCGAGGGCGCCGATGAGGGCTCCAAGGGCGGTGGCCGACGTGATGAGCTCCTTGTCGAAGCTGGAGAGCGTCCTTCCGAGGTCGTCGCCGATGTTTACGAGGACAGAGGAGATGTAGCCGGTGTCGTACCCAAAGATGGAGCCGGAGAGGGCAGCGCAGAATGCGAGGATCCACACGGCCCAGCTGGCCTCGTCGGAGCGCTCGGCCTCTGCGGTGGTGGTGTAGTAGCCCTTGCCCAGCTCCGGATAGTTTCGAGCGGGCTCGGCGCTATCGACGTCGTAACCATCGAGGCCGTCGCCGTCGATGCTGTCGCCGTCGAAGCCGCCCGCACCGCGCTTCAGGTCGACGGGGTCCCTGTCGGGTTCGGCCGGAGTGGTGACGCCGCTGCTCGAGGCGATGCGGTCGAGAACGCTATGAGGCGTGGCTGTGCCCGAGAGCGGGCTGAGCGGGATCTCGTCCCGCATCGGATCAGCCGACATCTGCTGAGAAGATGTAGCGTGCGGAAAGGGCCGAAGTAGCCAACGAGCAGCCTCAACTGCCACGCTAGACTCTGCCTCTGACTAGCTTTGACCCCAGGCTTCTATTCGGGCTGCGCGCCGGTCGGTGCCGGAGCTCGCGCGTCGATCGCGGTCGGTGGTGTTGCAAGGTGTGGCGGCGTAGATGCGTTTAGATGCTGTACATGGGCCTCGTTCCCCAGCAAGGCCCTGACAAGACAAGACACAGGGAAGATTTGATGGTGAAGGACGGGGGTCCGTAGAGTCGGCGGGTGACGTGGTGTGGGGGAGGCAAGAGACCAGCCGGTGAGGAACAGCAAGCCACCAAAAAAAGATCGCGCTGCATTTCTTGGCTCGAGCCCTCTCTCGGCCCTGCCTCGACCGCCGCCGCTTCGCTAGTCGCTAGAGCGGGCGCAACCCCACACGCCCGGACAGGACCACGAGGCACGCTTTTTGTGTGGGCCCTTTTTTCGGCGTCACAGCCCCGAAAGAGAGGCAGGTGGGCCCCAGGCAAGGAACGCCGAGAAGGCAAAAGCGCCTGGGAAATTTGGAGAAAAAAGGGCCTCGCCGCTCGTTGCTGCTGCCGTAGCCACTCGCTGGCCATTGAACCGGGGAGCAGAGAGAACGACGCCAACAGCAGGGCTTCGGCCGTCGGGCCTCGACTTGACTCGGCTGTCCAACAGAGTAGTATCGAGCTCCTCAACAGCAGCAGCAGAAGCAGCAGGGCAGCTGCGCCTATCTATTGCGGGTGACCGTGGACGCATTCGCACAGGCACAAGAATCAAGGTGACGGCGATTTGACGAATGCACCGATTCGACTACAGAGCATGCGCACCGAGCGGCCCCAAGCCTGCGACTGCGGGATGAGCTGCAAGACGCCCGTGCCTGTCGAGTCTGCCGACATCGTCTACTCTGCCGCCTTTGCGCTGATGCCGGCGCGGTGGACGGCCCACTCCTTCTCGACGAGGTGGGTGACCTTCTCGACGGTGCCCATCAGCCTCTGCAGGTCGTTGCTCCATGCGTTGAGGATGTCGGCGTTGGACTTCTTGGCCTCAAAGTTGATGACGCCCGCCGGACGGTCCATCTTGGCAAATACGGTGCCCGACGACACCAGCGACGCCAGCGACGACTCGGACGCTTCTGGAGACAGGTCGAGCAGCTGCGCCAGCCGCGACAGGCGGATCTTTGTATAGTATTTCGCCACCACGCGGATGTTCTGGTGGTTTGGCGGCGCGCATGAAGAAAACAGGACGAGTGCAAAGGTGAAGATGCAATGATGTGAGCGGCAAGCTTTAGCGAGGGCCAAGGCGCGCTGGTGCCGGGAAGAGCAGCGAAGGAAAGGGGAACTCACGTGCTCAACGACGCGCTTGTGCAGCTCCTCCCACCGGTGGTCACCCTCCTTGCCCGGGGCAAAGGTGGCCGTAGACCGCAGCATGGGACCGTACAGCGTCTCGATTCCAGGCCATCGCATCAACTCGGGCGTGGTAAAGCACTTGAGCAGGTTCCTGTGTTCCAAGGGAGAGGACGAGGGCGGCAGCGAAAGGGAGGATGGGTCAGTCATGTGTGGGCCAGGCCAGCCACGATGGGAAAGGCACTAAAGCGGAGCGGACACCCACTTGTGCTCGGGAACGCTGTCGAGGCCGTCTGTCGCCTCGACGCGTGCCATCAGATCGCTCTGCTCGTTGTTGTACGGGCTCAGCGCGAGGAAGACGACGACGTTGCGGAGGACGTCGGCGGCCTTTGCCGGGTCCGCCTGGATCGAGGGGGTATCGTGGATCTCGCGGTAGTATCTGCACGTGTCGAGGAACTTGTTGGCGTGGAGCGAGTGGCGGATCATGAGGTCGTAGAAGCGCAGCTTGAGGTCCTGCTGCTTTTCATTCTCAAAGAACTTGGGGTTAATCTTCTTGGCGACGATGGCGAGGCGGGTGTAGTCGCCGCGCTCGAGGTTGAGCCGCATCTGCTCGAGGATGAACTCGACCTTTTCGCGCCGATCCATGCTGCCAAACGTCTCCACGGCGAGCTCCTGGAGCGTCTCTGCGGCGTCGTTGACCTTGCCCTCGGCGTAGAGCATCTGCGACAGGATGAGGGTGACGCGCGCCCGCTCGACCTCGACAAAGATCTTGCCCTCGGTCACGGTTCGCAGCGTCTTGACCAGCTTCCGTCTCGTGTCCTCGGTGACGCCCGTGTCGCCGATCCGCTTTCCCTCGTCCATCAGCGCGGTGATCTTTTCGTTTTCCTTGCCCTGCTTTTCGTTTTCGCGCTTCTCGTCGTCCTTGGCGCGCTTCTTGGCCGCGTCGTCCTTGGACTCGCCCTTTGCAGCGCCGTCCTTTTGCTTGTCCGCGTCGGCATCCTTCATGTCCTCGTCGTGAAGCGCCTGCTGCTGCTGCTGCTCTCGCTCCTTGTCTGCCCGTTCGGCGACGGGGTCGACGGGCTTGTGGAGGGAGAGCATGACGAGCTGGACCATCTTGGTGATGGCCTGTTTGAGCTGGCCATGCTTCTTGGAGAGCGAGGTGACGGTGTCGGAGAGGAGGTCCCAGTCGGTGCTGGTGGGCGATGGTGTGGTGCGGATGAGGAGGACGGCGAGGAGGAGGAGGCGGGTGGTGCTCGAGAGGTCGGCGGCGTTCCTGGCCTTTTTCTCGAGCGCAAACACGTTTTCAAGTGCCTGCTGGAGCTGGCCGGCCTTTGCTGCTTGCTGAGCCTGTGGGATGAGCTCGTCGACCTGCTCCGTGTAGTCGGCCTCCTGCTTCTTGTCCACCTGTCCGCTCATGCCGGGCAAGTTATAGGTGGAAGGCTGGGCAGGCGCAAGTCAGTCTGTTGGCGAGAGAGCAGGCGAGGAGACGCGATTGACGCTCAAAAGTGGGTTGGTGATGCGAGTGGACGCTGAGGATATGGTAGAGAGTGAAGATGGGTTGTCGGTGTAAGGGAGGATCGAGAAACGGGTCGTGGTAGTGGAGGCCTGGTTTCGGCAGTGAGGCCAGCCGGCCAGCCAGAGAGGTGTTGGGTGGTGGGTGCGTGGCTCTCGATCACCAGAGCCTTGACCTGCCCGACGCTGGCGGCCTCCACCCTCAGGCCTGCGTTCTCTAAGTCTGCTTATGTCAGCTTGACAGAGAGATGGACCCGTCGAGCCCATGCCCCCCTCCACGCTCGGAGCCTTTTTTCGGCGGAGATGCCGGCGCCTTCGATCTTCCAACCTGGCCACCGCTTCGAACCCCCCCCCCCCTCCATCCCATCATCCGGCAGACATCCGCCGAGACCATGTCGTCCTTCAAGCGGCGTGGGACTTCCGCGGCGGCCGCAAGTTCGTGGCCGGCTGGCGTGCGGCCTTCGTCGTTCTCCTCCCCCGTACCCCTCGTGTCCACTGGGGTGCCGGCGCTCGACGACATCCTCTCTGGCGGCGGTCTTTCTTCCGGCTCCATTCTTACAATCATCCCCGCCACCGGCACTGCCGCGCTATCTGCGGCTCAGATCGGCTCTTCCGCTACCTCGGCAGCAGCTCGGGCCGAGAGCGACCACATCTCCCGCGCGGCCGCCGAGCCCTACGCCGAGCTCCTCCTCGCCTACTCGGTCGCCCAGGGCATCGCCGCAAGGCACAGAGGCATCGCCATCGGAGAAAGCGTCGACTCCTTTGCTCACAGCCTCATGGCGAGGGCCGGCGATTTCGACGAAAAGGAGCTCGAGCGACTGAGGCTCAGCGGCGAGTCAGTCGCCCCACAGGACGACGAATCGCTTCCGGGGCCTTCGGAGCGCCTGGGCACCGTGCCAGATGAAGATAACGGCCCAAAGGCAGGCAGAGCGGCCGATACGGATCCACAGAGCAACAGGGAGATGAAGATCGCATGGCGCTATGAGAAGATGACCCAGTTCAAGACCACAGTCGAAGATTCGTCAAAGGGGAAAGGTGCGCTTGGGCAGAGACGCACAATGGCGGCGGCAGGCGGAACACCGCGCTGACAGCCCTTCTCTCTACTCGTCCGACAAACAGATGAGGCCGAAGCGTTCTGTTCGATATTCGACCTCTCTCGACGCATGTCGCCTCGTCTGCTGTCCAAGGCCAAGGCCGACGGCTTTCTCGAAACGGTCGAGATCGACTTCGACGAACTCGACCCTTTTGTCAACGACGATGAGACGGCAGGCAGCAGCTACGACCTCGCGCTGGCGCGGATCCGCAAGCACGCCGACCTTTGCCGCCAGTACCGCCGCTCGGCTCCGACCTCGCCCTTGCCCGTGCTCCGCGTCGCGATCCGTTCGCTCGGATCGCCCTGCTGGCGAATCAGACGGGGTCAGAGGGTCGAGACCGAGCTCGTCCGCTTCCTGCTCAGGCTCAAGAACCTGATCCGCTCCCTTGCCCTACCCGGATCGAGCGGCAGCGATGCCGTCGCTAGCAGTAGCACTGCAGCAACCGAAGCCGCCATTCCTGCGATCGCCACCATCACACTCTCGCCCTATCTGCTCTCAGCCATCCAACCCTCCAGCCCGTCACCCGCGGCTTCAGTCTCCGCCAACCTGATCCATCGCGTCTCACACGTGTCTGATGCCTGCATCTCCCTCTCCGCCTTTGCGCCATCGCCAGCGCTGCGGTCTGCCTTCCCGAGCTACACGGGCGCGCTCAAAGTGCTCAAGACGCCGGCACTCGGCACGCTGACAAACCCATCGATCCGCGCCTCGGTGCTGCGTGGCATGGGGGCGGGAGCAGCAGCGCGTGGATCCGACACGGGGTCGTCTGCATCGGCATTACTCGGAGGCAGCGGCGCCGTGGGAGAGGGCGGTGCGGGCGGGGGCGAGAACAATCTGGCGTTCAAGGTGAGGCGCAAGAGGCTCGTCATCGAGACGCTGCACCTGGACGTCGAAGGCGGCGTCAGCGAGAGGAGGACCAAGCCGCCCAAGAATATGGACGACGGTTCCTCCGCCGGCAAAGGACACAAGCCAGGCCGCACCACCGCGATCAGCTCCGCAGGGTCGACGACAATTGCGCCGGTCCAAGAAGCCAAGCCAAGGGCCACCACGACCTCTATTCAGCGTCGCTCACCGACAGCCACATCTGCCGCTGGCGTCGGGACAATACCACCAGCGTCGGCATCGGCGTCAGCCTCGCCAGTCCCGGCCGCTGCTCCGCCACGGTTTGCCGGGCTCAAGAGCCTGCGCGAACGCGGTCTGGCCGCGGCATCCCAGGCTATGCCTTCAATCTCTTCACACTCAGCGAACGACTCGGAGCCCCTAGAAGTCGAGCTAGATACTCGCCGATCTTCGCATGGTCACTCGCACGGGCATGGACACGGTCCTTTGGGTTCGGGCAGCGTCTCGACACAGCCCGCAGCACGGCGAGGGCCGGTGTTCAAGAGCGACAAGCCGGAAGACTACGAGTTCTGACCGAAGGGCGGCGTGGTCCAATCTATTGCAACGATTGGGGAGAACGGATCGCATGTGCTGGTGAGGTTGCGCAGTCCGACAACGAGAGTGTGTGAAAGAGCGACAGAACGATCCAACCGAAAGCGCGCAGATCCCAGCTCCTAGATCCCAGATCCCAGCTCTCGGCCGCCAACCTCCTCATTGCCCTTTTTCCTGCACCCATGGGGGAATCAAGAACAGATCTCGAACGTCCAAGCCCTCCACGTTCCGAGTCTACGATTCTCTGTCCCCTCCGACCCTGCCAGTCTTGCTCAGCGAGGTCAGGGCGGGTGTTGTGGGGGGATCCCTAGATCAAGCATCATATTCCGCTCTGTCCTGATTCACCGTCCCATGCCGGCAAGGGTGTCGCTTGGCGTTTCGTCCTGCGAAAGGAAGGAAACGCCAGCGGGACTGCGCTCCGACCACGTCCACTGGACGAGGCCAACGATGGCGGGTCACGGTATTTGACAGAGACACATTAGAGGTCATCTCACCGGCAGAAGAGGGAGAATTAGAAGAGGTTGTGTCGATTAGGCGGTCGATCGGTAGTCGACGGAGGATGATGTACAAAAAATGTGTCGTATGCTACAGCCGTGGAGGGAGGGAATCAACAGAGGATCTTCACGAGGAAGAAGATAGAAGGCGAAGGGAGAGGGGGGATCGATCTTGGATCAAGCCGAGCCCGTGGGAGCAGGGGCAGCGGAAGCACTGCCGACGGAGCCGGTGAAGGCGCTAGCGCTCGCCTGGGCGGCGCTCAGCTCGCTGCTAATGCCGCTGGCGGTGGCCGAGGGAGCGGCCGACGAAGATCCTGCGGCGTCAGTGGGCATCATGCCCGACGAGCCCGACGAGGTGGCCATAGGTCCGGCACCAGCTGCACCGCCGTTGGTCTGGGTCGACGAGCCGGCAGCCGAGGAGGCAGTGGGCATCATTGACATGGAGCCAGTCTCGGAGGCTCCGGGCGCGCCGGCGGCACCGGTGCTACCGGCCGACGACGAGGCGCTGGCGGAAGCCGAGGGGGCCTCGGGGAGGGGCACGTTGATGTAGGCAACGGCGGGGCCGGCGATGGTGTTGTCGTCCGTCACCGAGCTGTTGGACGACGTGACGATGGCGTAGATCTGTCCGCCCGTGAGGTTAGAGGGAAGCGTGACAGGCTGGTCCTGGGTGAAGGGCAGGAAGACGGGAGGGGTAGGGCCCTGGATGATGGCGAGGTAGGTCTGTCCGTCCATGCCGCTGGACGAGTTGTTGCCCATTGCACCACTGCCGCCGTTGGTCGAGTTGCCGCTGTCGTAGCTCACGGTGACCTGCGATCCGGGGGTGAAGAAGCCATTGTTGCTCGAGGCATCGGCACCGCCGGCGGGCGAGAGGCTGGCAGCAGGGAAAGGCGAGAAGGGAAGGCTCTGGTTGCGGGGGCACTCGGTGATGAAGGGAGCCGCGAGCGAGTAGACCTGGTTGAAGTCGAGCGGGGTGTCGTAGGGCGAGGGGACGACGTTGCCGTCCGCGCTGACCTGCGAGTTGATGTAGCTGGCGTGCCTCGACTCGACGGTGAGGATCGAGGCGGCCGAAACCAGGTAGTCCTTGGACGTGATGTTCCTGGCAGCCCCGATGTAGGCGCTCACGCCAACGCCCTCGAGCACCTGGGCGGTGGCAAGGAACGAGGGAACGTCCTGGACAGCAGAGAAGTTGTAGGTGCACGCGCCGACCGCGTCCGGGCCGAGCGCCTGGGTGAGGAAGTCGACGTGCGCCGCCTCGTCGCGGCCGATGCTGTAGAGCTGGTTGCGCGTCGAGGCATTGAAGCCGGCCTGGCTGAAGGCGTCCTCGCCGAGCTGCTGCAGGCTCTGGTTGTAGAAGGCGGCCTCGAGGTGCTCGAGCGTCAGAGCGTACTGAAGGATCTGCGTGTCGTTGAGGTTGAGCGGGATGGGAGTCGGGTCGTTGGTCGAGGTGCCGTTCTCGGAGCCTCCGCTGCTCGAGGTGGAGTTGTCGCCCCCGGCGCCGGCGGCGCCACCGGTGGCATTGGGGTCCTGCTGCCTCTTGAGGAGGGGAGAGGCAGACGCGACGGTGGCAAGAGCGAGAGCGGTAGCGGCCGAGAATTTCATGGTGGGACGAGGTGGTTGAGTGGTAGTGATGCTGTTCCAGCGAGGGTCCCCGTCTCTTCCCGGTCCTTATATACGACGCCGGCTCCCCTCGGCTTTGCAGCCACGACCACGGACCCAGCACCCTTGATCAGCGTCGTCATGACCGAGGAGGGGTCGACTGATCTGCCGCCCCTCGTGTCTATGAGGTGCCTCCCCACATGCCCAGGGCGCGGCAGCTCGGGGCAGGCCTGACGGTTGGCTCGATTTCGAGCGTTCCTGCCGCCTCTCGCCTCTTCCTTCTTCCTGTCGTCGAGTGCCTTGATCGAGGGGCACTGCCTCATCATCGAGGCCTAGGCAGGCAAAGCTGAGGGGGGAGAGAATTCGCCTTGGGCTGGCAGTTTGGGCGGACGTCAGGTTTGGCAGCGGCGGCGGCGGAAGAGCAGTGACACCTTTCGGGGTCCCGTCCGACGAGGTGGAGGTTTTTCTCGACTTTCATCAGCCCGGCTGTGCCGCCCGCTCGGCGTCTCCGGCCTCTCTCTTCCTCTCTCGATCTGCTGTTTGTGTGCGGGCAAAGTGGTGGCGGCGAGACGGCAACGGTCCGAAGCCGCCGCTGACGACCAGGAGGAACGTCACAGCCGGATCAGCCGAGCGACAAGCTTGGGCACGTTGCCGCGCCCGCCGCTGTAAGCTTTGCTCGATCTTCCTTGACGGAAGAAGCCGAAGAGGCGGATCGACGGCGCTCCAACATCCGCAACTGGCCGAGCACAGCCCAACGTCATGGATACGGCTCCGGGGCCTCGGCAGTCGGCGGTCTTCAGCTTTTGCAGCGAGACCCAGCTTCGATGTCGGCAGTTTGTCTTTCAATGGCCGATGCCCTCCAGCTGGCAGACCTCTGCATGTCTTCGCGGCGGTCATCCGAAACGTTTCTTCGGGCGGCGGCCGCACACCGCCACACCGGCTTCCCGCCGCCCATGACGTCAAAGCAAATCCGTGCCGGGCGAATATCCTTTCGCGCGAGAGAAGCCGGGCCAAGACCTCGCGCCGCCGTCCGACAAGAGCTGCCTGGTGGTGCACGCTGGTGCCTCACACGGCAGGTCAGCCTCACGGCATCAACGACGTACGTGGTCCCCTCTGACCCGCACACCAGACAACGCCAAGCTAGGGCGTCGGCACCGGATGTCGTGCGCATCCCTATCGCGACACGCCAAGAGCAACGCAGGCAGAACTTGACCGACTGTCGTCCACTGGTTCGATATCCCATGTCAAGGGCTGGGCCCACGGAACGCGTGCCGCTCGCCGCTCGCTACATGAAAGACGGCTGCGGCCGGGAATGCACGGGTCGGCCTCGTCTAGCGCTTCCTCTCCTTGCTCCACTTGAACATCTTCTTGACGGGCTTCTTCCTGCCTCGGCCGTCTTTCTCGTCGTCGTCGTCGTCGCTCTCGTTGCCAGGAAGGGCCAGGCCGTTGGCGGTCATCTTGCCTGCCGCCACAGCGTCAGTGAGCGACTGCTTCTGCGACGACTGTCGCCGCGCCGCCTGACCCTTGGTCGTCATGAGCGCCTTGACCAGACCGAGTTTCTCAGCAGCCTCCCTGAGCGAGTCGAGGCGCTCCTGCCGAGAGCGGAGCTCAGAGACGAGGTAGCCCAGATGCTTCTACGCACGAGGGCGAGATGCGGAGCGGAAGGGCGTGGGAACGGGGACGAAACCAAGTGTCAGCACGTCGCAGTGCAACGCTGAAGGCATCGAAGGCGACCAACGGAATGCTCACCTCTCCCTTGCGTCGTGCTGATGCTGCCGAAGGTGCGGTCGCGTCATCCTCTGATGAAGATCCGAAGTCGCCGATGCTGCCTTCATCGTCGTCGTCGTCGTCGTCGTCGAGATCGTCCATGTCGTCCCGTAGCGCGGCCGTCCTTGTCGGTGCCGTCGCTGCGGGTGCTGTCCCGTATGCTCGCGCCTGGTCCACGTCGTCCAGCCAGACCGTCTTCTTCCCCATGCCACCGACGAGGCTCCCCGCTCCCGCTGCACCTTCCATGTCGTCGTCGATGCCATCGAGCAAATCGAGCTCCCAGTCGTCCTCGTCTGCCTTGGCCTTGGCCTTGCCCTTGACCTTCTCCGACCTCAGCAGACCAGCCCTCTGCAGCGTCTGCTTCCTGCCCTCTTTTTCGTCGAGCCACTCCTCGCGCATGCCGGGCAGAGCGATGGCGATCCTCTCCTTGAGCTTGTCGATCTTCCTCCTCTCCTTTGTGATGTGCAGGCGCACATAGCCGGCATCCTGCGTCTTGAGCAGGGCCACGACGTCGTTCTTGAGCGCCTCGTTGCCGCGGTCCTGCACATGGACGCCATTGACAGTCTTGGTCCGGACCATGCCAAAGTTGAACTCGTCCTTGTTCCGCATCGCCGCAATCTCGCGCAAGCGCTTGAGCCGCTGCTGCTTGACATTGTGATCCTTGGCGCGGAGCACGTAGTCCTTGTGCTTCTCCAGCAGACCCAGCTTTTGCCGGCCGACCGGCTGCGACCGCTCCTTGTGGTTGCGTCGCTGCACGGCATTGCGGAGCGAGGAGCCGGGCATGGTGAACGTCGGTGGGCGTCCTTGGCCAAGTCAGAGGGCGGTGTTGGCTAGAGGCAGAGGGAAGAAGAGCGCGCTTGCCGGTGCAGTGCGGTCGAAAAGGGAGAAGCTGAACGGTGCGGAGGGTAGAGAGCGAAGGCAAGGGTGCTTCGTTGATCGCAGGACCGATCGAGCGGGGATGTGGCCGATGGAAGGTGGACTGAGGCAAGACGGAGATGCAAGCGGCAGAGCGGGGAAACTGAGGTGGCGAAGGCTCGCCCGTCAAAAATTTGAGGAGACGCACGTGACTGGACCCTGAAACAGGGCCCTTCGCCCTCCGCCACACCGACGCCTGCTTCGTCTTCGATATGGCACAAGACACTCTTCCGAGAGACAAAGAGATGGATTACAAAGAGACCGGTGCGCGAGGGTAGAGAGGTGGGTAAGGGCACTGCCCAGGGGATTCGGAAGACACGGAAAGGTCTAAAGATCCTTGCCGACCTGGTACTTGGAGAGGTCCGTATCCGGCCTGTTGCATCGGCACAAAAGGCAAGGGGCACGGTCAGCGTCCCGAGATAGCGCCGCATAGATCGCCGTAAGGAAGATACATACTCTAGCTGACCGTTCTTCGGATTCCTCCGGGCCGAGAAGAAAGTGTAGCTGAGCACGACGTCGTCGACGTCCTTGACCGACGGGTCATCGAGCACGTCCGAGTCGATGAAGAAGAAGATCGGCAGGTCGACCTCTTCACCGGCGATCAGCTTCTGCTCTTCAAAACAGAAGCACTCGACCTTGGCAAAGTATGGCGCGATCTAAAGCGTCGAGGTTGTCGGGAAGGGAGAGAGGGGCGCGCTGGCCACACGGCGTCAGCGGTGCGGGTCTTTGGGGGCTGCAGGAGCTCGGTTCAAGGGCGTCGGCGTCCCTCGAGCACTCACCCTATCCGGAGCGACATTGTAGGTTGCGATGCCGATGATGTCGCGATCGCTCTTGTTTTTGGCTGTGTAGAAGGCCAGGGCGGTCTCGCCGGGCAGCACGTAGATCTCCTTCTGCTGCGGAGTAAAGGTCCACGGGATGGCGTCGGAGGCGTCCGCGTTGAACGTGACGCGGATCCGCTTGGCCGGCCGGTTGGTGGAGGGATCGAGGTAGGCCGGTACCAGTCGAGATGGCTCGAACCTGGACGGGTCGGTTAGCGGCGTGCCAGAAAAGCCCGTGGCGGAGCAGAAGGCTCGGTACAGAGGCACCGCGGCGTAGGTGAAGCCAACGGCAAAGATGATGGTGGCGGCCGAGTACATGAAAAGGGACTGGTTGCGCTTCTTGTACGTGTCGCGCTGTCTCCGCTGAAACTCTCGATTGAGCTCGGCCATCCTGCTGGACGGTGGCGCCGTAGGAGAAGGCGACGAGCCAGAAGAACCGCTACGGGGTGGGCTCGACGTCGCTTGCTCGAATGTGCTGCGCGTTGTCGAGAATCGCCTCAAGGACACTGGGCCAAGCTGCGACACGGATCGACGACATGCCTGGAAGGGAGCTCGAGCGCCGTGTGGCGGCGTTGCCTGTGCGTTGGCCCAAGTGTGTGCGAGTTGGCGGAGTGTCGAGACGGGCTGAGAGGTCTGACGTACGCCCGAACGCGCGAGCGGAAGACACAGCCTCGCTAGGGAGCAGCAAGAGGCTCTGGACATCGTGATTGTCGTGCCGGCGCGGGTTTCGCAGAGGAGGAAGGGGTGTTTGCCGTATCGTGGGTCGAGGTGATGAGCGAAGGTGATTCGCGGGTGGGGCTTCGCGGGCGTTACGTTCTTCTTGGAGCTCTAATCGCTTAGTAAGCGGGGGTGGCTTACCCGAACCCACTTTGCTGGCGCCGAAGCCGCGCGTCAAGCTCCCGGTTCCCACCGAACCAACTTATCCGCCACCTCGACCCGCCGAACTCGATACCTACAGTACACAGCCCTCGACAGTCGATTCACCGGGACTTCTGGCGTTTCCGAGCTTGCCCATCAATCATGGCGTTCAAGAAAGCGTTCGACGGACACTGAGATACGCGACAACGACAGTGGGACGGTGAAGAGGCCAAGACAGAGAAGGATGGAGGGCATCGCGAGAGGGGCGATCGAAGAGTTTCACGATGGGCAAGGAAGGAAGGGGACCTCTACATTAGGTGGACGAAGCGAAAGCGAATACGGACGGTCAACGAGCGCCAAATTGGCTGCCCATGTTGAGGAAGACGGATGCGAAGCTGGCCGCTTCTTGCTGGGAGCTCTCGGTGCACTCCTTGGTCTCGGAGTTGTCCGAGCTCTTCGAGGAAGAGCTCCACGACGACTTGCTCGACGACGACCAAGACGAAGACCAAGAGGAAGACTTCTGCGAGGTGGCCAGCCTGAGCATCCTCTGGTCCTGGATGCCCCATCCCTTGGGTCCCAGCATGCGGTTGAGGACCTGGTCGACATTCTCGCCGCTGCCGTCCTCCTCGCCGTCGTGGGTCTTGAAGAAGTCGTCGAAGTTGAAGGCGGCATGGTCCGGATTGCTTGAGTCATGCGAGACAAGGTCACCGAGCTTGCCAAAACCGAAGTTGAGATGGCTGGAAACATCGTGCATGCCATAGGCCTTGTCGATGGGGATCGCCTCGTGGTGGTCGTTGAGGAGCGACTTGACCCTGTCGTTTCCGAGTTGGATCTGCTCATTGATCCACTTGTGGAAGTGGGCTTGCCTCTTCTTTGGGTCGTAGTTGACGGCGATGTGCGTCAGAGCGTGCTGGAGCACGGGCTGCGTCTCGCCAGGGTACGGCGAGCAGCCAGAAGAGGGTGCAGGAGGAAGGGTTGTCAGTCCGGCCGCGATCGCCCTCATCTCTCAGATGCCCTGCCGTACTCACCGAGACCTTGCTCAGCAGGCCCGAGTCGCTGTCCTCGTTGCCTGTCTCGTTGCGCACGGCGGCTCCGAGGCCCGAAGATGCCATCACGGCCACAGCTGCGGCGAAGACGGACACGTTGAGCACCTTCATGCTGGCAGGCGATTGATTAGTGCAAGGTGGTTTGAGAGGAGCCGACGAGCGGGGTTCGACGAGATCGACGAACAGAGTCGGAGCAAGAGGTAAGGAGTGTCGGGGGACGGCCAAGGACGGGAGAGCAGGGGGAAAGTGACAAAACAGTCTAAGGATGAGGGGACCGAGGTGGTCCAAAGGCGAGGGGTTTTTAGCACGTCCGCCTCCTGCACCTACTACGGCCAAGTGGGCGGCCCGAGCCAGGGCGTCTTCCACCCACCTTGGCTCGTTGCAAGCTGATGAAGGACCGGGACGGCCGCTAGTCTACGGGCCCGTGAGGGCCGGACCCCCACCAAGACTTGGAACAAAGGCCCGGCGGGCGGGCACTGCTCCTCTCCTCCCTGCGACAACCTTGCAACGCCGTCAGCCCGTCTACACGGTCACGTAGTCAGCGCAGAAGTCGTCAGCCGGCGAGGTCGCTGCAGCCAGGCTCAAGTGGCGGGAGGAGATATGCTCAACCTGCCGTCCGACTCGATGGATTCATCGCCCGTCTACAGGGGTCCTGTTGCGCAGCACCCGTGGCGACTCTGGTACGCAAGATCCCCCTGCGAAACCTCGGTATCTTGAGGCCTTGGTCTGCAAGCATCGCAGAAAGACTTGCCCATGCCTATACCGGCGCTTTGGCATTGAACGGCAATCCACTTCTCCAAGACCCACCCGATGTTGCCATGGCAGAGGTGGGCGCAGTTGCAAAAATGGGCAAGACCGCCCTCGCCCTGATCCATCTTCGGACGGGCGCAAGGGATCGGCGGCGGTCTGCAATTCAGCAGCTTGCAAACTCGTTTGCCAGCTTTCCGATGGTCGCCGGGAGCGATCCGGCTCGCCGTCGATCGGGGGCGAAGTCCGACCGGATCACGTTCCGTGGCGCGAGCGACAGAGAGATCGTCAGTACAACAAGAGATCCACCCACCAACAGCCACAATTTCGGCAGCATGGCCAAGGTATCGCAAACACGCGGATTGAGCGCCGGTCTCAGGGCTCCAAACCGCTGTCGACATGGTGACATGATCACAAGCGCAATTGCAACCCCCCCGTTGCACAAACGACAATGCACTCGATCCATGTTAAAGGCGACGAGCGGCAACGGTAGACACCGACATCGTAGGGGTATCATTTCTCAGCTACGGCCAGGGTGTGGCGACAGCACCCCACCGCTGTTGCTCTTGCTGTTGCTGTCGCCACCCACCAAAGCCGAGCACCACCCACATCCCGAGGGGCCGGCGTGGGCGGGCGGAGCATGCGGTGAGATGAGGTAGACCTGGCAGCCTGGCACGTTTGCGGTTGCCGTGTAGGGCCCCTCCTCGGAACCTCCTCGTACTCCTGGCTGCCCCATCCTCAGGACCGGCGGCGGAGCGAGTCCATAAAGCGCGAACGAATCGTGCCACCTCTCTCCCTCTCATCCACCAAGAATCTTCCCCTCGCCCCTCCCCCCTAATCCCTCTCCTCCCTTCTTTCCCCCCTCGTTCACCATTTCTCCCCTGAGCTGTCCCACTCCTGCAGATCTCTACCCTCGCTAATAACGTCTCGTTAAGTATCAGCCTGGCATGGCGTCCTTCTCAGGAAAGTGGTCTGGCCTCTTGGCCATGGCCCTGCTCGCCACCGGCGCGCTTGGTCAGACGATCGACTACCTGATGTCGACCAAGCACGACTTCAAGAATCCCATGGACGTCACCAAGCCGGGCATCAAGTTCAAGCCCGGCAAGCCGCTGACCAAGTCGACCGACGCCGCCGGTGGTCAGCCGGACGCGGTCGGGCTCTCGATTGAAGACTGGAACTCTTTCCAGACCATGGAGAACGTCGGAGGCTCGGTCACCGACGCCACCGGTATCATCCTGGCCGATGTCCGCAAGGCCAACCCGCAACTCTACTGCGAGATCCTCAACATGCTCTACTCGCAGAACGAGGGATGGCTCAACGCCGGCGGTGTCGGTATGAACTCGGTTCGCCTCCCCATCGGCTCTTCCGACTTCAGCCTGGACTACTACACGGCCGATGACCCGCAGAAGTGCGGTGCGCCGTTCACGGGGGACCTCAAGTACTTCAACCTCGCCGGATCGTCGCCCAAGCTCTTCCAGACCGTACTCGACATCAAGGAGGTCATCGAGAACAGCAGGGGCTCGTCGGATTCCGTCAAGCTCAGCACTCGCGCCCTGCCCTGGACCGCCAACCCGGCGGCCAAGTCGTCCAAGAGCTACGTTGGTGCCGGACAGCTCGACTCCAAGTACGAGTCCTACTACGTCAACTACCTCCTGCGCTCGATCAAGGAACTCTGCAAGCTTGATCTCTGCCCCGAGTACTTCTCGCTTCAGGAATCCCCGCAGCACGTGTCGGGGACCGTCCCAGTCATGCAGATCCCGCCTGACCAGGCGGCCCGCCTCGCCAAGGCGCTTTACCAGAAGATCCACGCCGACTCTGAGCTCAGTGCCTACTACCAGGGTCGTCCTCTGGTGAAGCTGTGCGCCCTCGAGGCTTCGTGGTCCGAGTCTGACTTCGAGTACGCCGACAAGGAGCTCGGCCTTGCAAAGGATGCCTTTGGCGCCGTCGTGAGTATTCCGCGATATACTCCCTCCAATCTTCGCTCCACGGACGCCTGAGCTGACACTGACCTGCGGTCCACCCTGCGTCTTTTTGCCTGCTTGAAAACGCAGTGCTGGCAAGGATATGTGGGCTACAATGCGACCGTTCAGACCGACATCCAGGCAAAGTACCAGAAGAAGACACTCTTCACCGAGATGACTTACACGCTCAGCCAGGAGCCCTGGGGCAACATGAGGGACTTTGTGTTTAAGGTCGGCACCAACGCCATCTCGCGCAACACTTCGGACGTCAACGTGTGGCAGACGGCGCTGCGTACCGACGACGCCATGTCCGAGACCTTCCCGAGCCTCAACGATTCCTGCAAAGTTTGCCTCGCCAACGTGCTCATTCTGCCCAAGGCCTTCCGCGGTCTCCGCTCGCAGACGCAGCTCACCTACGACCTCGACCACGTCGCCACCCCCAACTGGCTCGACGTCGCCGACAAGGTGGCCAACCAGGTGAAGCTCACCTTCCAGGAACTCGAGTCCCTCATGCCGTTCAACGTGAGCAGTGGCCAGAGCATGGCCCAGGTTGCCGAGAAGGTTGGTCTGGCCAAGCCCGGCGCTGCGTCCAAGCTGCAGTCGACGCCAGAAACGACCAAGGACAAGGGTGGGGCAAAGCCGAGCACCGAGGATGCGTCGGCCAAGGTCCAACAGCCTGCCAACGGACACAAGAACCTCTCGTCGCGCAAGCTGCACCGTCGCCAGGCCGCCAAGGGAACCACCGCCAACGGGCCCAACGAGTCCAAGACCACAAAGCAGGGTACCACCGCTGACAAGGCGACCAACAGCGGCAAGACTGACGGCAGCGGTGACAACGGCTCCGAGAAGCAATCTGGGCCCGACCCGAGCGACCACATCTCCCAGACGCCCACTGGTAAGCCCCTGGAGCCAGCCGAATGCTTCAAGGAGCGCGGCCTTGTCTTCAAGTACGAGCCTTCCCACTGCTCGGCCATGGCCGCCCCTCCCCGCAAGGGAGGCCAGGGCATCTATGGTCCCAACGGCTACTACGCTCGTACCTCGCAGATGGACTTTGTCGGCCACCTGTAAGTGCCACGCGCTCGAGACGGAGACGACGCCTGGACAGAGTTGGAACCTCTTGCGCGCAAGCTGACGCTGACGGATGCCTTTGTCCTTGCCGTCATCCTTCGCGATTTGTCTGCCGGCAGCGGTGCTGCCGTGACTGCTCGCGCTGGCTGGGGCCAGGGCGTGCGTATCGGCCTCTCGTCGACGGACAACCCCAACAACGCCGACGTCATCAACGGCAAGATTATGGGCACCGCCTTTGAGCAGGTCAGCCTCACCAATGCCGACACGTCGCGCTTCTGCGTGCTCATGCTCAACTGGAACGACCACGACCAGAAGCAGTTCGACCCGGTCAAGGCCGTCATCAGCTTCCGCGGCCAGATCGCCGAACTCGTGACCGACCCCGGCGTCTACACGTACTGCTTCAGTGCCGAGTCTTCGCGCTCCTACTACAGCAAGAACCCCAAGCCTTCCTCGTCCTCCAACACCGTAACGACGAACACCGATGACCTGAAGAAGCTCGACGGATCGACCAACCCCGCTGACAGCAAGAGCGGTCTCGGTCAGGGCACCGCGGGTGCGACCGGTAAACAGCAGGCTGAGGGCAAGAGCAGCAAGATTAACGGTGCTGGCGGTGTCGCTGAGGGCGCTGCTGGCGGCGTTGGCGGTGGACCTGGCGTTGCCGCTGGTGCCGGAGCGGGTGGCGGAGCTGGCGGTGGATCTGGTGGCGGCATCGGTCATGGATCTGGCAGTGGCTCTGGCAGTGGCAGTGGCTCTGAATCTGGCTCTGGCAGTGGCTCCGGATCTGGCTCTGGATCTGGCAGTGGCTCTGGCAGTGGATCTGGCAGCGGCTCTGGCAGTGGCTTTGGCAGCGGCTTTGGCAGCGGCTTTGGCAGCGGCTTTGGAAGCGGCACCGGTGGCCATGCCAACTAAAGAGCTGAGCGCCAGTCGCTGTCTCCTCTTCAATCGCCTTTTGCTCCCACACAGACCGCTCAAGAGGGCCTGTAGGCCTTCTTGGTGCCATCCGCCGCCGCTTGAGTCCGCCCCCTCGTCTCTAGCTGCATCCCTCCTATTTCCCCTTTCCCCTTTCCCCCAGCCCCCTCTTTCCCCCAGCCCCCTCCTTTCCCCCTTTCTCTCGCGGCTCCGGCCTTTGACAACCCCCTCCCGCCCAACCCCCCCTTCCCTCCCCGCGGGGCCTATCTCTCGCCGATATACGCCTCGATCCCATCTCGACGTCTTACGCTCCATGGCGACGACAGCTTTAGAATGCAAACGCCTGCGTTAGACGTCCTCCATTGGTTGCCAGATGTCATATCGCCCGATGAAGGGAGGATCAGCTCGAGTCGAGAAAAGGTAACGCGAGCCTGCTTGAGATGTGCGCTCGCGGCGCTTTGACTGCTCGCGGGCCGGCGATGGGCAGGCAGACAATCGAGGTTGCAGGGCAACGGTGACGACGACGACGACGAGGCACGACGAGGAGATTGATCACAATCGATTGATGGGTCGAAAGACGATGAGGATGGGGGAGAGGAAGATGGGATGCGACTGTCGTTACGAGGCGTGACCGGGTGGCAAGGGATGAAAGGTGGACACGAAAAGGGGAAGTGACTAGTGAAGCGGGGGAAAGAAGGCGACAAGAGGAGGAAACAAGAGAGGTGCGTGGAGAGGGGGAGAGATGCAAGGACAATTGGGCCGAGTAGTGACAGTCTGTGACGAACTGCAGAGAATCCGCACCGAGCACCGGGCCCCTTCTCTGAAGGAAGAAGGAGCGGGCGCGCGGGTGGGCCTGCCGTCACACACATGCCGCCTCGGTCGACGAGATCCGGCTGTCGAGGCCCGGCTACGCTTTGCACCAGAATGGAGGGTGCGAAGCTCAAGCTCGGCAAATGCTTGCTTGTCGGCGGCGGCAGATGAGCCGTCCGTGGACTCAAGGGCCGACGCAACCGCTTCCGCGCTGCAGAGGGACTTGCCAGCCCTGCCACGACGGCGTCAGGACGAGTCGGACACGGCAGAGGTCGAGGGTGTTCGCGTGTTCCGAGACCTGCCGACGTGGACCGGGCAGGCGCCTCTGCAGAATCAGTGCTCGCTAGACATATCCGGATGCAGTGGGATGGCCCCCGAGCCGAGAGCGAAGGGTTCGTCGATAGACGGCGATGTGTGGGTTGTGGGAAGACGAGCGCGCGAGGTGCCGAGAGCCCTGGCGCGGCCGACTTGCACAGGAGCGTGCTTGGTGGGAGGGAATCGAGAATGGGATGAAAGGCGGTAGGCGATGGTGGCTGGATGTCGACCCTGGGAAACTATCTTGCGTGTGTCGGAGCAACGTCGTGTGCCCGCTTTTCCTCGGAAGCCTTTCAGCCGGATGGTGCGCGCGCGGGCGTGCACCGAAGCTGTGAGATCAGAGAGAAGAGCAGGGTTGGGGACGAGTCGTGGCGTGGCGATGATCTCTGGCCGCTGCAGAGACGGCCTTGGTCGTCATCATCGCCATCGTTCTCGTCCAGGTCTTCAAGCCTGTCCAGTCGCCGGAAGATGGCGGTGAGGAACGAGGTGTCGACCGTGTTGCCGTAAGAAGTTGATTTTGCTGCACAAAAACCGATCAGAGGGCTCCTGTGTTGTTTTCCTCCGAAGCCCTCTCGCATTACCGCGAGGAATTGGTCCCATCTCACCGAGATCGGATCGTGCAGCTGATCGACCATCCATGCCTGAATCTTGTGTTGTTGAAAGAGCCCATCGCTTGACTGCCGGAGACGAGAAGGGAGCCGTGAAGTGGCCGAAAGGGATGCGGAGCGGCATACGGTCTGCCATGACTTGCGCGGCCATTGCAGCGGACGCGAAAGTCTGTCGGCTTCCCGCGAAGGCCGCTGACAATGGCCGTACGGGACGGCAAGCACAGCGGATCGGGACGAGCTTTGCATCCCGACACGGATGCTCTTGTTCGTCCCTTATCCTACCCCTCATCGACTGCGGCGCTCGCTCCGCCTAGATAGCGAAGGCGCGTACGAATTGCTGGCGCCCTTCCCTACACCTGGCCGCCGCGACTGGCCAGTCCCGATGACCTGCCAGGGATCGCCGCGAGCTGGGCCGGGTCTACATGTCGTCGGAAGGACAGAGCGCGTAGCACCACATCGTCGATGTGCCGCCTCAGTAGTACTGGTTGCCGCGCGGCTGCTCGTCGCGGCGAAGCGGCTGAGCGGCGTTGGCGGCCATGGCCTGCTGCTGCTGCTGCTGGGCGAGGTAGGCCTTCTCGTTGGCGCGGGCGGTGCCGTGGGCAGCGCGGGTGGTGTCCATGCCCGGGTTGACGCCCTCGTCGCCCTCCTGGGGCAGCACCTTGCGTCGCGGCAGCTGGGTGGCGCCCTGCTTCATCGGCATGGCGTCGCCGCGGGGGTTGCCGTCGTCGCGCTGCTGGATGCTCCAGTCGAAGACATAGTCGTACTGGAAGCCCTCGCGGACAAAGAGGTCGCGGAAGAGCTTGCGGAGGTAGCTGTAGTCCGGCTTGTCGTCGAAGCGCAGCGAGCGGCAGCAGTTGAGGTACAGCGCCATCTCCGAGGGGAAGCCGCGGCAGAGAAGCTCCGTCGGCGTCGTCATCTTCTTTTCCATGATTCGGTCGTACTTCTGCTTCTTGGTGGCCGCCTTGAGCCCCTGCCACGGGAGCGATCCACGCAGGAAGTACATGAGGACGTAGCCGAGCGACTCGAGATCGTCACGTCGGGATTGCTCTAGAGAGTCGAGCGGAGGGGAATCGGAGCGAGGTCAGCGGTGGCTTCGGGGCAAAGATTCGACGGAAACCTGTCGCGGAACTGCAGGAATGCCGCCGCGATCGAGGTAGACTCACCGACACCAAGGTGGGTGTTGATCGACGTGTATCGGGCGGTGCCGGTCAGGTTCTTGTTCTCCCTGTACGGGATGTGCAGGTGGGTCTTGGGGTCGCGGTACTTCTTGGCGAGACCAAAGTCGATGACGTTGACCTGGTTGCCGCGCTTTCCGATGCCCATCAGGAAGTTGTCGGGCTTGATGTCACGGTGGATGAAGTTGCGCGAGTGGCAGTATTCGATTCGCGAGATCTGCAAGAGGCGGGACGAGAGCCCAAAGAGCGGGGCAATGCATGGCTGTCAGCTGCCTTCGCTTCAGAGAGAGAGAGTGCCGAGACAGGCTTCCGCCCATGCCGAAGTGCGGTGCGCCGCCCGTCTCGTCCATGCGGTCGCTCCGGCGGTCTGTTCGGAAGGGCTCTGAAGCAGTGACGGCGGAAACAGAGGCACTCGCGGGGCACTCACCATCTGGTCGGCAAGCAGAAGGACAGTCTTGAGCGAGAATTTGCGGTTGCAGAAGTTGAAGAGGTCCTCGAGCGAAGGGCCGAGGAGGTCAATGACCATGGCGTTGTAGTCGCATTCCTGGCCGTACCACCTGACAAAGGGGACGCCTACGCCGCCAGCGAGGGTCTTGTAGACCTTGGCCTCATACTCGAGCTGCGGGTGCTTGGCCTTGATCGACTCGAGCTTGATGGCCACCTCCTCGCCCGAGATGATGTTGATGCCGAGATAGATGTCGCCGAACGATCCCGAACCGATCTTCTTGCCAATGCGGTACTGTATGGGAGCGAGGGAGCGGTCGAGAGCGAGCAGATAGGAGACGAGTCGTGTCAGCGCCACAGCCTTGGCCCTGCGGTTGCTAGAGTCAGGAATTCCACGAGGCGGAGCCACTTACCCTAAGGGTGCGCAAATGATCGCGAGGCAGTAGAATCGGCGAAGACGAGCACGTTTAGCGGAGAGAGCAATGCGATAAGGACACGATCAGACGCAGGGACACGGCCAAGGAGTCAGCAGGGTAGTCGGGAGCGGGGCAGAGTGGCAGGCCAAGATCCACTCACTTTCCGCCGACTCGGAGATCCATTGTGGCTGTTCGCGGGGCTGCTCGAGGACTACGGTGGTGTGCTGTGGATCAGGATTGGTACGCAACAATGCTGCAGAGACGCTCGGGAATGGCCGAGTGCGTGAGCGCAGACGTGGCGAAGCAGGTGGACGTGGGTGGATGCGGTGGGCGTATCTTGTCTGTCGGTGGTCGGTCGTGGTCGATTACGTCGAAGCGCAAAAAGCAATAGGGGGCAGATGACGGGGAAAGTAGGTTAGGAAGAGGAGGGTGTGGCGCAGTCGCCGGAGTCGAAGGGGGTGAACGACGTCGGTGATGGTGGTGGTGGTGGTGGTGTTGGTGATGGTGGCGGCGGTGGGGTGAGGGGGCCGCTGAAGTTTCAGAGATCGGCCGCCCGCCCGCCTGCCAGGGGAGGGCGGCCGTCAGCCGGTCGGTCACAAGCACGCCAGAGCCGGTCGCTCGCTCGCTCCCTCACTCGGAGCGTGGCCGGACGGGCGGGGTCGAGGGTTTCGCTGTGCTGTGCTGTGCTGTGCTGTCTAGGGGCTAGGCTGGGCTGGCTGGCTGGCTGGCTTGGCTTGGCTTGGCTGGCTTTGGCTGGCGTGCACAGCCTGCGCCTTCCCGCCCACTTCCCGCTCGCCTGTCTTTTCGTCGGAGCTAGGCTGGCTTGCTGGGCGGCGGGCGGCCCGATCATCCGTCCAACGGGCAGGCGGCGAGTCGCCCGCCCACCTGCTGGCTGGCCTTGGCGTTGGGCCCCCTCTCTCGCACGCAAACGACGCGCCAGCCGTCCCGAAGCGGCGGTTTCCGACCGAAGTTGGACCTGAGCTCGTGCAGCGGGCGGAATTCAAACTAGCCCATGCTTTGATTTTCGGTTTGTTCGAAAGCGACAGCGACAAAGACGGGGCCAAGTCGACGGCCGCCGGCCTGCAGGCGCGGGCGGCAAGCCTGCCTGCGATGCTGGTGGCGGGCCAGTCAGTCACCTTTGGTGTTGGTCGCTCATCTCGTCCGGCGGCGAGGCGCCTCCACCACCTCCTGGCAAGCAACCGTTTCCGTCCAAAAGAAAGAGCGTCGCCCGCTTTCGGCGTTGGCTTTGCGGCCTTGCTAACGCCAGCCGCCCGCTCACCAGTCGAGCGGGTCCTCGCAGCCCGGCCTGGCCATGACACACGGTGATGCTCTTCTGTCCAGCACGCACGGCCGTGGCCGAGGGTCAGGCCGAGAAGTGTTGAAGATGGCCGCAAATATGGCGCCGGCGCCGACAGCATCTGCACGTCCGTAGCAAAGAGCTGGCCAAGCTCGGTTCACCTGCAGGTCGCGGCCGGGGCAGGTTATAGCCAGAAAAGTCGGGCATGGCAAATAAATCTCGAGAGTCTGCCTCGAGACGAGCACCTGGCACGGGGATGGCGCCCCTGAGCCGACGTCGGCGCAGCCCGCTAAAACAAAGGACACGGCGGTCTCAGCATGTCGCCTCGACTAGACCGACCCATGACACGTACTGGGCCGCACGGGGATCGAGGTCCGACCACCTCCAGTCAAGATGGCTGCGCGTACGGATGGGCATATCTGCTGCGCTGATCGGCGTCTTCTGCGGTGCAAAGTCGAGCGGTGATCCAACCCAGCGAGCATTAGGCTAGGCGGGGTAGGTCGGGGAGCAATGGACGCGCTCGGGGCCAGGCTGACCGACGTCGGACAGCGGCAGACTGTCCGCTCCTTGCATAGGGGGGGAAGAGGCGAGCTCGTCATGCCAGATGTTTCGAGAACTACCGGATGGCCTCGAGCAGGCACCTCTAACCATCATGGCGATGTTGGGGCGGTCGGAGGTGAGCTCGGTGGGCGTCAGCCGAGGGGCCCGAAACCAACACGGCCTGGCCAGGCCTGACCGATCCCCGCCTGCCCCCTGCCTGCCCGCACTCTGCGCGACGAGCCCGGCCGGCGCGTCGACGCGTCTTGGGGTCACAGGCGAAGAGACGCCCACTCCGCTCTGCTGCTCGCAATTTTCCGGGGGGGCGAGCGATGTGCACCCGTCCCGGCCAGCCTATCGGCCCACCGACCCAACGACCAACACCCTCTTCGGATCCCTGCTCCGACGCTGCCATCGACCACGCCGCACCTTTAACCCTCGCCATCGCCATTGCCATCGCCATCTCTGCGACTGCGACGACGGGCGACCCACAGCCATGGAGTCGATACTTCGCAAGGAGCTCAAGCAGTGGCAGCGCCAGTTCCGCGCAAAGCACGGCAGGGAGCCCACCAAGCGCGATATCCTCCGCCACCCCGAGATCGCTTCCACCTACGACACTTGGAACGCCATCTCGGCGGAGGGCGGCGCCTCAAAACCCAAGCCATCGAGGTCCTCTTCGGCCTGCGACGGCCACGCCAGCAGCAGCACCGCCCACACCGACAATGCCCGCGCTCGCAAAGACCACGCACATCACAGGAGAGATCATCCACCCGCCCCGGAACCCAAGAGGAGAAGGGACGACACCGCATCGACCTCCTCGGCCGCCAGCGGAACGCAGCCAGATGCTGCCATTTTCAAGACCCCGACCAAACCACGACGCAGCTCCGACACCCACCCTTCTAATGCATCGTCGACGCCAACCCACGGCAACCCCTTCAGAACACCCAGCCGCTCCGATGATCGACACAGTCGCGCCTCTTCGTCCACACTCACACCGCAGGCACAGCGCACGGTCGAGACAGGCGGTCGCCAGCACCCACCACCATCGCCGACCGGCTCCATCATCGACGTCCAGATGACGCCCACCAAAGCCTCCCCGAGCGGCACCACCGGGGATCGTTACGACTATGCGGCATCGCCCTCGAAGCTGCGCATGCTCGTGGCTTCGCACTCGACACGCTCGCCCATCAACGATCGCGGCACCGGCAGCGGGGCGAACATCGCAGACCGCACCGAGCTGATCACCTATACGCCTCGGACCAAGGCGAGGAAGCGGCTGCGGGGCGAAGAGGTACCACCGACGCCGAAGCAGCACGAGGGCGGGAAGGCGGTCAAACGGGGCACCGGTGCAGTCTTTGCAGCCTTTTTGGCCTCAAAGGACAGCGAAGGCGACGGAAGCATGGCCGTCAGCTGGGCCCAAGACAGCGACAAGAGGAAACCTCTGGGCAGGGGGAACGCGGTCGGTGGCTTGGCTGCATACGGCTTCGGGTCCTTGGGGAAGCCGTCTGCTTCAAAGCAAGGCAAGTTCGGGCCTACTGGTCAGAAGAGCAAGAGCCTTGGCTCCGCGCTGGGCGTCGGCATCACATCGCTCTTGAAGCCCGGGCAGCGGGCGGCTAATGGCGTCCCAAGGACCGCCGAGGCTGTCGGAACCGGACCTCGTGTGTCCGATGATGAGGATGACGACGACGATGATGATGAGGAAGAATTCCCGTCCTCGCCCAGCAAGGCTGTTCGGATCGGCAAAGAGCTGTCCAGGGGGACGTCGCAGGCCCAATCGCTACCACGGAGCGCAAGCGGGGGTTCTCGCTCCTTTCAGCCGCTCTTTGCGTCGCCGTTTGGTAACCACGCACCCGTCAAGCTACCTAAGGAGATGCTGGGCACGCCACCGTCTAGCCTCGTGGCTGGGCCTAACACCGCCGGCGGGGGACTTTTTGCGGCAGAGCTCGCGGCCCGCAGCCGATCAGGCCAGGCCTCGCTGTCGCCGCCCGGGGCCACTAGGTCGATGCCAGGACATTCGTCGTCCCCCGAGGCGGACCACGCACCATCGAGTTCGGCGCTGCGGGTGGGCAGAGGCGGGCGCACCTCATCTCCGGCGACAGGGATCACGACACCGAGCCCTGCTGGCGGAGCAGACGACGAACACCTGCTCGATGCAGAGCGCGCCACCGAGGCGGACCGGCACTCGCACCAGCCATCGTGGAAGGTGTCGACCATTGAACTCTCGGACGACGAAGGCGAGTCGATGGCGGGTGCTGGCGGGCACCGTCAGGCCAAGACCATCACCGTGCTTCCTTATCAGCGCTACGGATCCTTGCGAAACAAGGCGGCCAGCCTGAGTCGCACCACGTCGCGCCTCGGTCAGGAAGCCGCAGCGGACACCGGCGGTCGCGGATCTGGGCCTGGACCAGGCGCTGAGAACGATCGCGCAGCCAACATCGTCGGCGAGAGCGGGGACAATGACGACGTTGAAGACGATGGCGATGACGACGACGACGACCTCTTTGGCTACGCAATCCATCACTCGCCGCACAAGGATCGACCCATCGCACAGTTTGGCGACACAACCGGCGTTGCCAGCTATGTTGCAGCAACAGACGAAAGCGCCATCAACTCGAGCAGCGACTCGGAGGCGTCGGACCCGATCCAGAGGCTGTTGCTCTCGACGCTTTCCCTCCATTCGCCGGGCGGACGAGTCCGACGACGGCAGCGGCGTGATGCTGCCTCGAGCTCCGGCTCATCGCTTCCGATCCAAGCCCGCGCCCTCCTCAGGGCACAGCGGCTCAACGATGCACGGCACATCGAGGCGCTTCTAGGCGCGGGGCGCGACGAGCTAGAGATGCTCCGCGTCGAGGACGAGATGCGCGAGGAGGAGGAGGCCGCCGCCGCTGCCGCCGGCAACGGCAAGAAGGCGGCCAAGAACTGGGGCGAGGCCAAGAGCCGCGCCATGCCCGAAGGCGGGGCCAAGGGCAAGGGTCGCGGCCGACCCAAGAAAGAGGAGGCGGCCAGCCAGTCGGCCTCGGGGGCGGGGGCAGCACCGCAGAAGCCGAGCCTGGCTTTCTCTAGGGCGGGGCGGAGTGGCCTGGCGGACGACGAGGAGGCGGACGCGGACCGGCTCGCGGACCGCGTGCTGCGCAACCACTTTGGCGCGAGCGACGACGAGGAAGACGACGAGGGGCGCGACCGTGCAGCGGCAAGGACGATGCATGCAGGCGGCGGCGGCTACTTGGGTGGTGTCGACAGCGACGAGGACTGGATGAGCGAGGTGGAAAGCGACGAGTACGGCCTAGGCGATGGGCGGATGGATGAGCTCGACGTCATCTAGGCAGGGCCGTCGTAGCCGTAACCGCCACCGCCGCCACCGCCGGATCCTGCGCTTTTGCTAGATAGATAGGTGCCTGACTTGTGACCAGGGACAATCGATAGACGACTTCGAGCCGGCCTGCATTTTCATCAGCGAAGGCTGCCGAAGCGATTCAGGCCTGTGGTTCGGCGAGCGGAGGTCGAAGACGAGGAGCCGGAGTGCTGCGCTCGGCCGAGCAGCTCGTCGAGGCCTATAGAGGCGGACGGTCGTTGCTGTTGCGGTTGCTGAGCTGCCGTTGCTTGAGCCGACCGGGTGGCGGCAGCGGCAGGCGCAGCGGCAAAGAGACGGCGTTGCTCGTCCTCGTCGCTGTCGCGGCCGTTATTGGACGACGATCCTGCGTCCTCGGTCGGTGCTCGGCCGCTTTGCAGCGCCCTCTTGACGGCTTCGACAGCCTCAGTCTCGTCCATCCTCGCCCTCTTGTCGCTCGCCACCGCTTGTCGATCCGCGCGAGTGTCGCCGTGTTCCCCACCCTCGGGAGGACCCCAGATGACGCAGCGCCTGACGTGTGTATCTTTGCCGTTGAGGTGGTTGGCCAGCACGCACACCTGGACGATCCAGCACCATATCCCCTCCCTCTTGCCCCTCCCCGTCCCCCCTCCCTCCCCCTCGTCGTCGTCGTCGTCGTCGACCTCTTCCTCTTCCGGCGTCGAGGTGTCGGACTTGTCGAGGAGAAAGTGCTTCCACCCCTGCGGACTCTCAAACGTCCTGGTTCGTACGGGGATGAGGTCCGAGGCGTGCGTCCCCGCCCTGATGCACAGCTTGGTCGGCGTGTAGCTGTCGTCTTGCCGCACGTCGAGGTAGAGGGACACGTGGGTCAGGTGCGTGAGCCGCGAGAAGGTGATCGTGATCAGGTGCGGTTGCATTCCGTCGCTCCTAGAGCAGGTCAGAGCAGAGGAGCGAGCAGGAGAGGGATGTCCGCCGTTTCGGTCAGCAAAGCGGCCTGTGATCTGTCTGTCCCGACAGACCGAGCGGGAAGCGATGGGATCCGAGGGATACATACTGCCACAGCTTGGACATGTCCCTACTCCTCAATTCGGCGACGCCAGAACCAGGTTTGAAGGAAGAGAGCGTCCATCTGGTGCCCGGCTGCGAGCCGACATCGCGTTTGTTGCTCTCGTCTAGGCAGACAGGCGTACAGGAGGGCTCTCAGCGGCGTAAAGGTGGCGGAAGAGAGGGGGGAGATTCGACTCACCCTCGACGTCGTAAAAGGACCGCCTTTGCGGCGGCACTGTCGTGGTTGTCGCCGCCGCTGCAGTGTTGGCCATCTTGGCGCTAGTATCGTCGTGATGCGGAGGTGAGAAAAGGGTGCAGTGGTGGTGGTGTCATTGAGAAGACGGCCGTCTGATGTTGAGCCGGAGGGGTCCAAGCACGATTGTGAGGCCAGGCGATGCCAGGTGGAGGCCGCCGAGGACCGTGCAGGCCACCCAACACGACGTTACTGCACGCCGTGTCGAGTGTTGGTTGGCCAGGCCGATTTGGCCACCCAAACCACCACGTCCACCACCGCGCCTGGCACGGTCATTGCTTGGATCTGGGTCGTCTTGCCTTGCCAGCATCGCCTGCCATGACCCCCGGCAACAACCACAACAGGCCCCGAGCTTCACGCTGCGGTCAGACGACCCTCCAGAGAACTCAACGTGCGGCAATATTGCAAGGCGCCGAAGTGAGCGCCGGCAGCCCCACAGCCGTGGGACGCGGCATCGTCTCACGGTTCTACCCGCTGGTCCTGACGCTTTCCCAGTTCACCAGCAGGGCGTTTGGCATCGATCTCTTCGATTCCACGGGAAGTCAGCATGACGGCCATCAGCCGACGCGCTCAAAGCTGTCGCGCTTCCTCGTCGCAATCCCGGATCAGGAGCAGGCCGTCTCGTTGCGACCAGACGCCACGACTGCGACCGGCCAGGGCACCTCGTCGCCACCGGAGCGACGGGAGCCCGCTCTCCAGGTGGTCCATCGAGCCCAACTCTCGATAGTGCGGGCCCTCGCCCGCGATGCGCCGCCGACCTCCCGCAAGACCAATGTGCTGACGCTCGGGTACAGCAAGCCAGACGAACGCAGCGATACCTTCCACGCCCTCGCTGCCGGCCAGATGGGGCTGGCCAACCACTTTCCCAACACGCTCGTCACGACCATCATCACCGCTCCCGAATGGTCCTACCTCCTGGATCGCATCGGCGACGACCACTTCCACAGACTCCTCTCCACCACCGCCGTCTACGCACCGCTCCTGGACCACGAGGCCGATGGCAGCTGTTACGTGCAGATGTGCGGTCAGCCGCTGTCGGAGATGCAGGAGTTGGTGCCGCCTCTGCCGGTCGCTCCGCAGCAACACACCATGTTGGCTCCCTCGCTGCCACTCAAGTCCGCATCGCGCAAGCGGAAGCGCAAGGGTGGCCGCGTCGATGCGATCGAGGCCGGAGGTGAGCAGCCGGCGGTGGGACCGTCGATCCGACCGCCGACCAAGGCGGCCGACGTCAGCCGTCCGCGCAGCCTCGCTCGGATCGCATCGATGCCTTCGGCTGCACCCGCGGCACCCGTGCCGTCGCACCATGCTTCAAATCAAGACGGCAGCAAACGATCACAGGTCGTGCGCAGCCACTCCCAGATAGCCTTTGTCCGCAGCAGGATCTTCTACGCCAGGCCCATTCGCGGCAGGAAGGCCAAGGTGGAGCTTGGCTTGCCCTTTGTCCGTGAGTAGAGAGCGACATCTCACGCCGTCAGGTGTTGCAATGGCCGGCCTGCTCAAACCTCGACCCTGCCGTCCCTCCCGCTCCGGCACAGACGTCTTCAATCGATCTGCCAATCCATCGGAGCTGTCCAAGCTGCTGCGTTCCTCGCAGTCGCTGCGGGCACCCTCGTGCTACCCGGGCGACCCCAAGCCGGATCAGACGTTCGCCGCCAAGAGGGCGCGCCACGTGCTCAAGTACATCTTCCCGCGGCAGTTTGGTCTTGACAATGTCTTCACCACGCCCAAGGACAGCCGGGTCACTTCGCAGCCCCTCAACGACTATACCACGCGCGAAACCGAGCTGCGCTCCAGGGGCCCTGCAAAGACGCCCAACCGATTGCGCCAGGCGCTGCCGCTCGTTGCCCTCATGATCCGTCGGCATGACAAGCTGGACTACAAGAAGTTGCTCGACCGCTGCTGCCCGAGCCGGTTGCCGAGAAGACGTCTGACCGTAGCCGAGAAAGAGAGGATCGCCAACGATCTGACCGAGCAGCCCATCCCAGAGTCGCTGCCTCGGGCGGCCTCCACGCCGAACCGCTCTGGCCCTGATCGCGACGGTGTCGGCGCTTTGCTCGACGGACTGGGCAAGCGAAAGAGGCCTCACACCACCGACAGCGGCGCCGCGCTCTCTCCAAAGGCCACGGCAAGGCAAGAGCAGAAGCCTCGATTCGCAGCGTACGCGGTTCCCGCCACTGGCCAAGTCGTGCACTTTGTCACCACCGTTGTCCGCCGGCTGGTGCCTCTGGATCTGTTTGGCTCTCAACACAATCAGGGACTGGTTCTGAAGAGTGAGCCTCAAGGAGTCGCCCGATCAGGGTGATCAGGGCCGCTCACATATGCCTTTTGACCTCACACCTCTCCGCACCGGCTCTCTTTCAGGCATATCGCAGTTTGTACGGGCTAGACGCTTCGAGACGTCGACGCTGCACCAGGCCATGCAGGGCCTCCGGGTCACCGACGTCGACTGGACGCTTCCGCCGGGCAAGGCGGCACGCTGGCAGCGTCCCACGGCCTCGGAATCGGCCAAGCGGCGTGAGCTGCTGTCCGAATTCGTCTACTGGCTCTTTGACTCGCTGCTCATCCCGCTGCTGCGCACGACTTTCTACGCGACCGAGACGGCGGCGTACCGCAACAGGGTCCTCTACTTCCGGCAGGACGACTGGCATGCCATCAGCCGACCCTTGCTCGACAAGCTCAAGACGACGGTCTTCGAGCCCCTCTCCCGGTCCGAGGCGCTCGCCGTCATGTCGAGCCGCAAGCTGGGCTACTCGCACATCCGCCTTCTGCCAAAGGAGACGGGCGTGCGACCCATTGTTAACCTGCGACGACGCTCGACGCGGCGGGAGACGGGCACAGGCGCCGACCTGTTGAAGCGCAAAAGGGAGTCCGAGAAGCTGGGTCAGTCCATCAACTTTATCCTCCAGTCGGCCTTCCACATTCTCACCTACGAGAAGAAGCGCTGCACCGCGACGGATTCACTCGGTGCCTCTGTCTTTGGCCCAAACGAGATCTATGTCCAGCTGAAGCGCTTCCGGCAGGAGCTCGAGAAGACGCCCGGCCAGAGGCTTGCGAAGGGCGCCAAACGCAGGCTGTACTTTGTCAAGTGCGACGTCAAGTGTGCCTTTGACAGCATCGACCAGGACCGGCTGGTGGAGATCATTCAGGACATCCTGAGCGAAGTGAGGGCATGGACGTGTGCGCACCTGACGATACTGCCGAACCAGGGGCTGACTCTTCTGTCCCCTGACATGTGCTGCGCACGACGACGACGTCGATGATTGCGCCGCGCGCAGAAAGACGGCTACCTGATCCACCGCTTTGCCAAGGTCATGCCGTCTTCATCGTCGTCCTCGGCTGCGGGCGCGTCGACCAAGCGCGCGTTTGTCAAGCTGGCGCAGCCCGACAGTTCGCAGCGCCTCTTCATCGACCTGGCGGCCGAACTCGCGGCGGCGCTGCACCACGTCGTCTTTGTCGATTCCGTCGTGTACCGGCACGAGGAGCGGTCGCGCATCCTCAACCTGCTCCGGCAGCACGTCATGGGCAACCTGGTCAAGATCTCGGGCGACTTCTACCGTCAAAAGGTCGGCATCCCGCAGGGTTCCTCGCTCTCGACGATGCTCTGCTCGTTCTTCTACGCTCACCTCGAGCGGACCAAGCTGGGCTTCGTCCGGGAGAGGGGCAGCCTGCTGATGCGCTACACCGACGACTTCCTCTTTGTCACGACGAGCAAGCGCAAGGCCAAGACGTTCTACAGCGTCATGCATGACGGTCACGAGGAGTATGGCTGCTTCATCGCCAAGGAAAAGACGTTGGTCAACTTTGATCTGCGGCAGAAGGACGAGGGCGGCAAGCCGCTCGTCGAGAGGTGCACGGGCAGGGGATTCCCGTGGTGCGGCGTCCTGCTCGACACGAGCACGCTCGCCGTTGAGCCCGACCTTGAGCGGTACCGCAACATCGGTGAGTGTGCGCCGCCTGTCCCATGCTCGCAGCCATCGATGTGCGACTGACGGCGTCTACGATCTCGAATGTCGTCGATTCGCCGGTGCATCGACTGGCAGACATGCGCGATACGCTCACCGTCGAAGCCTCTCGACGACCCGGCCTGGCTCTCATCGAGAAGCTCTTCCAGTAGGTCGATCCATGCGTTGACTTGCGGACACGGAAGCGACGTCCCGACCTCGACCGACGCCTGACTGGCTCTGCACTCTCACCCCTGTGTCATCGTCGTCGCGATCCTCAACGTCCGAACAGGTCCATCAAGAGCCGGTGCCACATCCTGTACACCGACACGGCGCTCAACTCGCAGGCGGGCGTCTACCGCAGCCTGTATTCGGCCTTTGTCATCGCAGCGCTCAAGTACGAGGCCTACCTGGCCGAACTCAAGACGCTCGGCATCTCGTTTGCGCCCAGGTTCCTCATCCGTGAGTGCGCCCTGCTCCTTCGCACCCTCGCTTGCTCGCTCGCTCGCCCTCCCTTTCTTGCCGTGACGCGATTCCCGAATGCTGATGCCCGGTGAGGTCGCGGTTGCGAAACAGATGCGATCCAGCAAGTCGTTCGACTTACGAATACGGCCGTGGCCAGGAGGGCGGCGGCGGCTAAGAAGCTGCACAAGCACGCGCGCTGCATTGTCGCTGCAGACTGGATAGGGTGGTAGGTACCACTGGCCTCGCCTCGCACACCCATGACGAGTAGGCCACTGCTTGTGCGATCTCCTGGCTGATTCGTCCTCTTCCCGCTCTTCGCCACGCTTCCTTTCTCTCCGACAAACCAGGCTGGGCCACCATGCCTTCCTGCGCGTCCTGACGACTCGACACTTTCGCGACCCGACGCGGCGCCAGCGTCTCAACGACACAGAGGCACAGGTGGTACACCACCTCCTGGCCGCGACGAGCCGGCCGAGCCTGGCGCAGACGGCGCGTCTCAAACTGGCCAACCAGGCGTGGAGCAAAGCCGTCCGCGAACTCGGTTGGGCCTAGCTAGACGCCAGCGGCGCCTCTACGTCGTCCGCTCGTTCGCTCGCGTGCGCCATAACTACTCGATCCTGGCAAGGTGTCAAGATTCCTATCCCGTCTAACGTCGATTACGGATCCAGCTTGCCCACATCTAGCTCTACGCCGATCCTCTCCAGCCTCCACTCGTCGCCGCCAACATGGCCCTTGGTGGCGACGACGTCGTCCATCCACCTCCACACTTGGAAGGCGTGGTTGAGACCCCTCTGTTCCTGGATAGCGTACACGCCGCCGT